CAAGCTTAAAAGCCAGAATAAATTAATATGCATTGCAGGGTGGGACACTCTTTAGATGGCAACGTGAATTACTTAAAAAGTTTACAAGCAAACCCTGCTCTGTTTGGGGACCTTTCTACCCATTGTGATGAGCAGAATCCCTGGACATCTGCCCCCAAGTCCAACCCTGATGGCACCGCTAAAAAAAGTAAAGGTAAAGGACCCCTGACAGTTTAGACCAATCACAGATGACTCTGGGGTTGCAGTGCTAGCGTCATCTCGCTTTACAGGCCGAGGGAGCCGGCGTTTGTCCACAGACAGTTTTTCCAGGTCATGTGGCCAGCATGACTTAGCTGCTTCTGGCGAAACCAGAGCAGCGCACGGAAATGCCATTTACCTTCCCACTGGAGCGGTACCTATTTATCTACTTGCACTTTGACGTGCTTTTGAACTGCTAGGTTGGCAGGAGTTGGGACCTGTGCAACAGGAGCTCACCCCATCTCGGGGATTGGAACCGCCGACCTTCTGATCGGCAAGCCCAAGAGGCTCAGTGGTTTAGACCACAGCGCCACAAGCCGTGGAGTTGCATATGAAAGAGGTGCAAGTACCAGAATTGAAAAGAAATTGCTGGACTGCACATGTGTTAGGAGGCACCCTGCCCCTTGTTTTGAAACGTATGTGCAACGCCTGCTGTTTCACACCTGGCTCAGGTTGGTAAACTTTGGAGTTCTAATGAAAAACATAGGTAGATCCTGCAGTGTCTGAGGTCCTGTGCCATTACATGCATAGACCAAGTACCCCACCAGAAATGCAATACCACTAGCTAATCCACCAGATATTTAAAGAGGGTGTTGTGGCAGGGCTATTGCATGTACAGCCACCAGGTTTATATATCAATTACTTTCAGAATGTTATATCTGCTTTTCAAGGCGGATAACGACATCTGTGTTGACTCAGTTGGGATTCCCAAGCACATATGCACAGATTGCTTGTATGTGTGTGTGATCACAGCTTACTCATTTGTGCTTTATGCCAGCTGCATGGCCAACTTCTCCCACGAGACTTGGTGAGGCAGTCATCTCAGGCAGCAGGCTGGAGACAGCTGGAAGGGGTTACAGATCTAGGGGGCCCGGGAGCACACTACTCACTGCCTCCTGCACTTGCTGCCTGCCACTGCCTCCACCATGATTGCAGTCATGGGATTGTTGTCTATCACGTGACGGTGTATGTTTTGACTCCACAGAGTGGGAAGTGACAGAGACAGGATGTTTGTGTTACTGTGTTCCGTGAAGTGGGACTATTGTCCTTTGTTCTTTTCCTCTTTGCTGTCTGATGCTAGAGAGAGAGGGAGCCATGTTGCAGTGCTCTGTGTGTGTTTATATGCAAATAAAGTAGATTAGCCAAAATGTTGAGTTGCTGAGGTCTGTTACACAAACTGTGAACACTCTGCGGATCCCTAAGTGTGCCGGTGTCTGTTGGCATCGGTCGCTGTGATATTCGGGCTGAAGAAAGCTTTGAAGCTTCCGAACGAATGACCAGGAGGGAGAGAACATGCCAGTCGGGCATGTGTCTCTACCAGGATCCTACTCGAGTGTAGGGCGAGCTCCTGACACCGCCCACGTGCCACTGCCTTCTCCTCTCCTGCTACCTTTCCCCCAGGCCGCCTCTGCTCATCTCAGGCAGTGGAGGAGGAGGAGGTGAAAGCATCATTTTCTGTTTTGCTTCAAGTGGCAAAACATCTTGGGCTGGCCCTGCTCAGCTGTCACCTACCAGGTGACCACCAGATGTTCTGGACTAGAATTCCTCTCAGCTGCAGCCAACACAGTTGGGAGTTGTAGTCCAAAACACCTTAGAAGGCACCCAGCAAGCAGAGGCTGGTTTTATGTGTGTGCTTGAGGTTGATGAGAATTCCAGTTCCTTCTTTGTTTCCTGGGGGATCAGGGCACCCTTCATGCTGTCAGAGGTCTTGGATGAATGAAACCAAGCTGGAGTCCCCGTCTTCACTGCAACCTCCCATTCTCCCCTTGTTCCAGCTTGACTTTGACATCGGAAGAGTGCAGCTGAATTTCCTGCACCTCCTGAGCACCGAAGTCATCCAGAACATCACCATCCACTGCCTGAACACCTCCGTGTGGCAGGAAGGGCCATCAAGGAAAGCTGTGCATTTCAAGGCCTGGAATGGACAGATCTTTGAAGCTGGAGGGCAGTTCACACCTGATGTAGTGGTGAACGACTGCAAGGTATGCCAAACCTTCCAAATTGCCAGTGAAGCACCACAGGAGGGCTAGAAAGAGGATCTGTAGCCAGAGGTGGGGAGTTGTTGATTTTGTCTCAACACTTTCCCCAGGAAAAACCACTTTTTACTGCTAAATTGGAACAACACGAGAACGGGCCTTTTCTGCAGTGGCTCCCCATTTGTGGAGTGCTTTCCCCAGGGAGGTTCGGCTGGCACCTTCATTATTCAACTTTAAGTGCTAGGCAAAAACCTCTTCAACCTAGCCTTTGGCTGATTAACATCCTATACCCTTTTAAATGAGTTGGAGGCCGGGGAGTATTGTTTTGTGCTTTTGCTTTTATTATGCATTTTGTGTTTTCATCTTATATTTTTATGCTGCAAACTGCCCTGAGATCTTCAGATGAAAAGTGGTATACAAATGTAATAAATTAAAAAAAAAACAAAATTCAGCTGGATTTTCTGTGGATTGACGTTTGTTCTGAATCAGCAGTAATCAGTGGATTTCTCCAGGGAAAGCTGCAGGACAAAGTCAAAACCTATCAGACCCGCTGCTAGAAATCACAGGACAAATGGAAGTGTGTGGGGGCCCACCTTTAACACTTTTTTGCTGCTTATTTTTAGGGGACCTTTCCTGTTTTGCAGCTTTACAGTCTAGTGCTACTTTGTCAGCCAGAGGCCTGGGTAGTTCTGCAAAGCAGCAGCGCCACCTGCTGCCATTTTGCATGAACTGAATGCTTCTCAAATGCAAATCTAAAGTAGGTTTGGGGGAACCTGTGACCCATCAGAGGTTAACTGGAATCCAACTGACTCCCAGAATCCCTAGGGCTTATGGGAGTTGTTGTCCAAGAATATCTGGAGGGTCACAGGTGCTGCAAAGGCTAAAATGGCCCCAGGCACATGGTTTAGATATTTTCCATTAAAATATCTGGGTGGTGGGGATTCCAATTTTAATCAGATCAGTGGCATCAGGATTTGGGGAAAGAGTGTTCAACCCTTTCTTCCTGTGCTGTTTTCACCGTCTACATAATTTCATTGAAGTACTTGTTAGCCGTGGTAGAGGAGGACTACAGGTCACTGTAGCAGCGTTCTCCTCCCTGAGACGCTAATAGCATTGGGGGAAGGGAGATTTGGGTGGCACAGGAGAGGAGGGTTAAACCTGCCTTTCCCCAGTGCTGACACTGATCAAAATACCACGTCAAGAGAGAACCAACGTGATATAGTGGTTGCAGAGTTCTGCAGTTGAAATCCCTGCTCAGCCATAAAGCTTATTGGGCCAGCCACACTCTCAGCCTAAACCTATTTCACAGGATTGTTGGGGGAGATAAAATGCAGGGTGGGTGGGTGAGCACAACCATGTATATCTGTGACCTCCTTGGCAAAAGATTGGCATAAAAATGTAGAGATTAGTGTTGGTGTTGTTTGGGTTGCATGCAGTGTTAGTCCTACTCGTTGAAGGTGATGAACATGATTTACATCGGTTCATGTCAATGGGTCTGAGCAGAACATAGCTGGATACACCCTATTACAGTGATACCTCGGGTTGAAGTAGCTTTGGGATAAGTATTTTCGGGTTGCGCGCTGCGGCGACCCGGAAGTAACGGAGCGTGTTACTTCCGGGTTTTGCCGCTTGCGCATGCGCAGACGGTCAAAACGACGTCATGCGCAGAAGCCGCGAATCACGACATGCGCAGACGCGTGTTGCGTTTGCTTCTGGATGTGAACGGGGTTCCAGAATGGATCCTGTTCACATCCAAAGGTACCACCATTTTGGCCTTGGAGAAAGCCACCAAGACTGCTAATAATCAATAATCTGTTCATTTGTATGCTACTTTTCAGGCTTGCGTGGGAAGGAAGACACACTTTTCACATGTACTGATGATGTGCTATTGTTTGGAGAGGAAATGCAAGGGACTGTTGCACCAAAGAGACCTGGCATTGTTGTGAAAAGTTATCCTTTCTCTCTCTCTTCCCTCCCTGCCTCCTTTGCATTTAGATTCAAGATGGACACTGGCACAGGACACTCTTTACCTTCCGGACACAAGACCTGCAACAGCTGCCAATTACCAACATCTACAACCTCCCGCCATCCGAGCCAGGGAAGCAGCACCTCCTTGAGGTTGGGCCCATGTGCTTCCTCTAAAGGCAGCCTCTGTGGCACTTCAAGCTCATTCATTTTGGAGATGCTGTCTCTTTGAGCAGGGCCTCTTGGCCGCCCCTGTACCTCTCTACCAGCCTTGAAAGCTAGGCCTTTAGCGTTTGGACTCTGCCAAGTCATAAGGAACCCTTGGCCCGTCAGACCGCTGCTCTCCAGGATGGGGAGAGGAGGAGAGTGCTGTGGCTTCAGCAAAGACACAACTTAATTAGTGGAGCTTCAGGTGCTGAAGCAGGAGGCCAGTTGACATAAGCAGTTCCACACCCAAAGATTCCCCACCTCCCTCGCCACACCTTCAGCCAAAGAAACTGTATGCAATATCTCACAGAGAAACCCAGATCATCCCGACAAGCCACCGTACTACCAAACGTGGCTGTCCAGAGACGTGATGCTAGCAGGCAGGGCTTTTTGAAAGGAGACAGGAAGGAGTCTGGGGGAGACAGCTTTGCAAACTTGTATTTGTCTGCTTGTTGTTCCGGAACAGGAAGCATTCTTACGTGCAATATTAGAGAGAGAGAAAGAGAGAGAAAGAAGAAGAAAATGATATATCTAGATATATATTTTATTTAAGGCAAAAATAAAAATAAAAGCAAGCAAGATCCTTCTTCCCTTTGGGAAAGAAAACAGCCCTTTTTAAGTGACTTGAGAAGGGAAGGCAGGAAGGAGAAGAGATTGGTGCTAAACAGGAAAAAGAGAAAGAGAGAGGGATGGGTTTGTTAAATTTGATTCTACCTCTCACTGTGAAATACCTGGTGCTCTTTAATTTTTTAAAAAGAAGTGTGTTTTATATATATGACTAAAACTATTTAAGGTACTAAGAGGTGCTACTACAGTGTCTCCTCACAGGCCCCTCCGGACCCTCAGCATTGGAGCATTCCCTTGGGAATGAGGAGCAGGGGCAACACAGGGCAGGGAAGAGGGGGGTCTTTGTGACCATCAGCACAACAATGGCAAATAATCTTTTTTAACTTAAAGGTGCATTAAATATTCTACAGGGGTTTTGTATGTTCTTTGAAATCCAGGATTCGTTAACCAGTCATTTGTCATGGATGTGTTTTAAAATGAAAGTGTAACTTTAGAGGGTGGTTTTTCAGAGCAAGAACTGAGCTCATGAAAAACACATTTCTCTGCTTATAGATATATGTATGAGTGTGTGCCTGTGCGTGTGTGTGTGCATACATGAGTGTGTGTGTGTGTTCCTGTACAACTGTTACTCACCAAAGCATTAGGCTGCAAGATAGCCAAGATGAGAGTGAGAGGAAAAATGAGAGTGAAACAGTTTGACTTTATTTCTGTGCTGAATCTGGGTCTGTTGTCCGTTCCAGTCCTTCTGTCTATGGTGAGTCCTAGATCTGAACACCTAAGTCTCTTGTTTAAACAGCGGGAATACAGGAACCTCTTGTTTAGGTCCAAAGACCGTTGTCAGGGGTACTTTGTCGCTTCTCCACCTGCTCAGTCTTGGATGGGTTTTGTTTTGGGGTGTGTTTCTTTTTGTTGTATTTGTTGTTGTTGTTGTTGTCATTGTCGTTGTTGTTGTTCTGTTTTGTAGAAACCTAGACTCTATATGTAAATTTGGAGTTTAAAAAAGAAGAGGAGGATTAATATTATGGTAATCGTTTTATTCTATATAAGGAATGTAATATTAATGTAGCTGGGGCCGTACTGTAATGAACATTTTTGTGCCTGTTTTTTATTTTATTTTTTATTTTCCATGTTTCGTAAAATATATGTGAGTCTTAATCAGTTTGTATTCTCTTTTTTTGTGGGGCGCGGGCAAAACACAACAGGATTCCTTCCCCCTACCCCCTCCTTCCTGAGATACCTCCATCCATTCCTTTTGATTTTAGTTTTTGGTCTAATGATACTTCACCCTCACAAAGCAGGTCTCGGCTGGAGGACCTTTTTACCACATGAGGACCGCTTTCCCTTTTGGGAAACCTCCTGAGAGGCACATGCTCTCATATGGGTGGGGCCAGAAGCAAATTTTACCTTTGTACCAGGGTTACCATAATCAGGACACAAAGCTGTTGAGCTTATATTTATTTTTTTCCCCAAACCTGTTGAGCAAATGAAGTTTTTAGCTATTTTAAATGAAATTCGCCAAAAACAAATTTCAGCTTTCAGCTATTACCACCCGGACACTGTTTCCAACTGCCATATTCTGGCTATGTCTGGAAAATTCTGGGCGTATGGCAATCCTATTTGTACAGTAGGCTAGTTTCCTCACACAGCCAAACCCTCTCAGTATCTTCCATCTAGGAAACAGGAGGCATTATTCAGTTACTTTATTTCTTTGTAAAATTAATACATGACATAAAAACTAACAAAGCAATAAACCTTCCCCACAGTTTAAAAGGGCATATATTGTTTACTCGGTCAAATGCCTGGTTATAAAGGAACATTTTTGCCTGGCATCTAAAGATATGTAATGAAGACGCCAGGTGAACTTCACTTGGGAGAGCATTTCAAAAAACACGGAACCACTGCAGAAAAGGCCCCTTCTTGTGTTGCCACCCTCTGGACCTCTCATGGAGGAGGCACACAAAGAAGGGCCTCAGAAGATGATCTCAGGGTCTGGGCAGGTTCCTTTGGAGAGAGGCGGTCCTTGAGGTAATTGTGTCCCTGAGCCGTTTAATGCTTTATAGGTCAAAACCAGCACTTTGAATTGGGCCTGGAAACTAAGTGGCAGTGAGTGCAGTTGGGCCAGGATTGGCATTGTACGCTCAAAACATTTTGTCCTGGTGGACAACTTGGCTGCTGAAGCCCTACATACAACACATTGCAGTCATCTAGCCTAGAGGTTACCAGAGCATACGCAACAAGAGTTAGGCTATCCCTGTCCAGATGGGGGCGTAGCTGGGCCACCAGTCAAAGCTGACGGGAGGCACTCTGCACCCTGAGGCCACCTGACAGTGAAGGATCTGGGAGGACCCATTCCTTCAGAGAGAGTGTAACCCCATCAAGAGCAGGCGATCTCCCAGCCATTCGGTCTAGGGAACCACCCACCAACAGTGCCTCAAGTCTTATCTGAATTGTGTGTCAGTCTGTTGACTCTCATCCAGTCCATTACCAAGAAGGCACGTCGGTTAGTGGGGGCTGAGGGATCTTCAGCCCCCCAATTTTCAAGGAGGGGGCCATCCCCACAAAAAAATCCCGTGGTCCCGCTCCACCTCCTCCCTGCCAATGCTACGTGGGGAGAAGGAACCAAGAGCCCAGCTCTGTGCTCCCCATTCCCCACCCGGCATGCGAACACTGGCATTGCGGCAGCGAGGGTGGGATGCCTCTGTGTCACAGTCTGGCACATGAGCGTTCTCACACTTGGTGGGGGCACGTGGTGTGACCCCCCCCCCCCATGTGGGGGGCAAGTCGGTGCCCCTGATACCAAGGCAAGATAATGTTCCAGCATATCCAGTGTCTCACCGACAGATATAAAGGAGAAGTAGAGTTGTGTATCATTGCATATTATTGACAACGTACTCCAAAACATGGAGACTTCCAGGTGGGCAAGGCCAGTGAGGCTGAGGAGAGTTTTCAGGGCCAGATGAAAATGCCTGTATTTGTACCCCCCACTGAGCCTGAGGCTTCCCCTCTCCTTTTTACCTCAAACCATCTCTCAACCCCAAATGGGCCTTCTTCCTGAAATGATCATAGACCCTTCTCCATCCCAGTTCCCTTTTGTCATACTCACTCATCCTTGTCCAACACTCATTTCCTCCCTGTTAGGGGACTCGTACACCTTCATGAGATCAACACTTCCTCTCTCTTTTGAATAAACATTTAAAGCTGGGACAGCTTTTTGTGTGGCTCTTTTTCCCTATAATGAGAAGGTGAGGGAAAGGAACCTAAGGAGGGAATGCATCGGTCCTTCGTCATCAGCCTGGCCAGCTCAGAACTGGTTTAATCCCAGCGCTCAACCCTGGAAATGTGGAGCAAATTAAAATAGGTGGAGACTACACACATCTGTTGAGTGCTTTTCTTTGCCACTGAGCAGCATAATTAACCCATTTTTTGTGGATTAACCATATTTTATGGATTAACCATCCATTAAACCAGGACTGTGGCCTTCCCGATGTCCTTGGACTCCAGCATCCATCACACCAGCCCAAGTTGCCAGTGAACAGGGATGATGGGAAATGAAGTTCATCAGCATCAGGAGGACCACATGTTCCCCAGCCTAAGGTTTCCAGATTTTTTTCAATGAATCCGGGGAAACTTTTCAACTTCAATGGATTTTGTATGAGTACTGATTTGTAAATCCGGGAACTGTCCCTGGGAAACGGGGATGTCTGGTACCCTTACCCTAGCCCTACATTAACCCAATGTGTACAAAACGTAAACACAAAGTCACTGCCTCAGTAGAACCAGTTACTAAACATGACAAGAGCTAACAACTCTAAGCAATGCACAACATTTGGGTTTTGCCACCTGCATGGGAATGGATTTATTAGACCTCTCAAGAAAGGTATTCAAAAGGGTCTCTGAAGGATCGGCATGAAGCCACTTCAGAAAGGGATTGATGACGTATTCTGCAACTCAGAGTGCTGTGTGGAGCCAGAAGCAAAGCCGGGCAGAGCAACGGGTGCAAATGCTGCCTTTAAGCTGTAAGCTACCGTATTTTTCGCTCCATAAGACGCACCTGACCATAAGACGCATCTAGTTTTTAGAGGACTCAAAGTTGTTGAGCTTACTTTGCAAAGGGAAAAAATCCTGTTTTTATGGGGTTCAACTCACAGTTCTGCAGCTTCTTTAGGAAAGGAAAGGGAGCCGTTTCTACAGTTTCCAAACAGATAATCTAATCAGCCAGTCACATGTCGCTGGGGAAACAAAACAGCCTCCGTCTGCAGAACATTCAACAATGGAGGCCTGGGCAAGGGGGCAGGGCCAGAAAGGGAGCCAGCGACTGACCACACATTCACTCCATAATACGCACAGACATTTCCCCTTACTTTTTAGGAGGAAAAAAGTACATCTTATGGAGCGAAAAATATGGTAGCTTCCACATACACCCAGACAACCATCTCTGCCCTTCATCCAGGCAAGCAAGAGGCATGATCAGTGCTCAGGGACACATTCCAGCATAGGTGCTTGGGCCCACACAATAATATAATACAAAGTCCATGAAAAATGGCGGCAGGCGGCAATGGCGCTGCTTCCGAGAGAGGGAAGCAGTTCAGCTCTGCCCTCCTCAGCCAGCCTGTCTGAGCCCCTGCCCGCGGAAAAGGGTGCCTCGCTGGCTGTGGATAGGGGCGTTGCTGCCACCGGCCACCACAACACGGACATGTGACGTCACACACCTGCACCAGGGAATTTACTGGGGGGTTAATGTTATTCTATTTGTTATATTTCTTTGTCTTCAATAAAACAAAAACAAAAAATCCGGTGGAGAATTTCTCCCAACAGATTCAATTTTGGATGCAATTTTGCATAATAATAATAATCATATAAATAAATAAATAAAATTATTTATACCCCGCCCTCCCCAGCCAGAGCCAGGCTCAGGGCAGCTAACACCAATAAAATCACAGTAAAAAACATAATAGGGGAAAAAGAAAAAGAAAAAAACAATTTAAAATACAGGTTAAAATGCAATAAAATATACATAATCTTGAAATCACTTCTCACTAATTTTGTATGTTATTTTCACTAATATATTGCTTTTTATGTAGGTTTTCTTTCCCTTAATGCAATTTAATTCAACTCAAAAGTATGGTAATCCTTAGATACATACACAGAACCTGTCCTTCCAAATTATATTATTATCGGGCTCACTTTACATTCCTCTGCATTCACAACAATTTATATCTGAACCAGCCATTAACCCAGACATTTAAAATTCCGGAGTGGTGAAATAACAACTCCCATCTTCACTACCTGTACTTCAAGGATTTCTGAATCATGTAACATCTGCAGAAGCAGCCCCTCTGGGAAAGCACAGGGAGCCTGACCACCCACCAGGGGGCAGCATATCGCTAGAAAATCCAGCCATGTTTTTCAGGACACTTTGTCAGACGTCTCACCAAATCTCTTAGTAACTTTCTAGAGGTGCATAAAAATATGGATGGTGTCAGGAAAGCAGGCAGAGAAGCTGAACACGGGGGATATATACGGAGCTTTTTGAATTTAAAAGTGATGCTATAAGACTCAAAAAGAGAGAAGTGGCAGGACTAGTCATAGATTGGTTCCAATATCTGCAAGTAAATGAGATTTTTGAGAAAGGATAAAGAGAGGATTTATGGAAGGTGGATCAGAATTTGAAAAATATATATATATTAGGAAATAGCAAAAAATGAACATCAAAAATATATAAAATCCTATTAGAATGGGAAACGAAAGATGAATTAGTGGAAGCTGCAATGATACACAGGGTGTCAGATATTGGACATAATACTGAATTTTCGGCTTGGGAAAAATTGTGGAATAGGACAGTATTTATTTCAGCCTGTTATACAATCAAAGAGAATATTCAAAAAATGATATACAGATGGTATCTGATGCGAGGTAAATTGGTTAAAATGTTCAAGAGAGGTTCCAATCTGTGCTGGAAATGTTCAGAGACAGAAGGCTCCTTAATACATATGTGGTGTCACTGTAAGTATGCCAAAAAAAAAAAAAATTGGGAGATGGTATATGAAGAATTTTTAAAAATGTTCAAGCTCACATTTCCAAAAGAACCAGAAGACTTCTTGCTAGCAATAGTCATAGCTGTCAACTTACAGATTTGAAAATAAGGGACCAGCAGCCTCAAAAATAAGGGATCAGCAGCCCAAATAAGGGATTTTCCAGGCACAGGTATGTTCAACTTCTGAGCCCCTCCAAGCCAAAGGCAGAAAGCCCAGCCAGCAGCCAAACGAAGCCTCAAGCGGTGGTTCCCACAGCGCAGCAACCCGGCAAAGGGGATGCAGCAAGGAAAACCACCATCATCTCTCCGCTGGGAAGTGCTGAGCAAAGGCGAGTCCCCAGGCAAGGCAGCTGATTTGATCAGCACAAGGCATGCAAGCTCCACCCCCCAGTCATTCTTAGACTCCTTATTGGGTAAGCAATGCAGCCAAGCAACACAGTTGGAGCCTCCCTCCTCCCTGGCCGGCAGGGAGGGAGGGAGAGGAGCTGCTTCCTTTGAAACCCAGGAAATGTAAGGGACATCATCTATCCAGGACAGCAGCGGGACATGACGCTGGGATAAGGGACTTTCCTGCCAAATAAGGGACGGTTGGCAGCTATGGCAATAGTAGGGCAGGAAATTCCAAAGGAAGTAAAAAACTTATTCCCATATGCAACAGCGGCTGCAAGAATAGTCTATGCAAAAACTGGAAAGAAAAGATTACTCCAACAAAAGAAAAGTGATTACACAAATTAATAGAATTTGTGGAACTAATGAGTATGATGGCAAAAATAAGAAACCAGGATGAAAATACTGTAACATAAAAAGTGGGTGGGATTCCTTTCGATAATATTTAAAAAGAGATTAAAAGGTATTAAGGCAAACTTTCAAGTGGGAAAAAACTTGTGATCACCAGAGGGGGGGAAATAAAATCAATAAATGAATCTTAGGGATGTGAACGTGGAAAAATAAAGGAGATGTAGCAAATCAAAGAAAATGTCTTAGGAGGTCAATGAGGGATAGGTTGGGAAGTCTAAGCAGTATTAAAATAAGATGACAAATGGGTGTACAGCAAACTGTAAACTGAAAAATGCATTAAAAAGTTTATTTTAAAAAATGGATGGTTTGGGGAAATCAGGCAGAGAGATGTTCTTGTCCTTCTCCCATATAACACCAGAACCAAGCTGGACACCAGGAGGGTTCAGGAAAGAAAAATGACTTTCTTCAGTTCATAGCTGCTTCCAACTTTGCTTACTGAACATTCATCCTGATTTCAAAGACACTGATAACATACAGACAGGGAACTGTGGGAATTGTTTATTTGTAAAGAGTCTCCTAGTGGCTCTCACACCCTTAGCAAACTATAGTTCCCAACCAGTTTTCTAGCCAATCAGGCTCTGCACAGAAACCTTTGGCTGAGCTTCACTCTTGACGTCACTTCCTCTAGCCAATCGGGATTGTGCACGAAAATCTTTTTGCTGAGCTTGACTGCAGGAGAAAAACAGAGATTTGTTTGAACAGCAAATTATAAATACACTTCCAAAGCGGCCCCCTCACTCGAATAATCTGTTTGTGCAGTCTTAATTATATCCTTCTGACCCAGAGAAATTACTCTCAAGTATTTCACTGGACTCTTAAGTGATTGTCAGTAGTGGAGCTGGGGAGACTCAACTCTTCCTCATTTCCGCTTTATTTGGGTTTCTCTTCTCTTTGTGGTGATAGTAACTGGTTACCACAGAACTCTATATTTAGGTCTCGCTGGCCTCAGCTTCTACAAAACTGTAAAGAGACACAGTGTATCACACTTGATTCTTTCATTCAAACATATTTTGGAACATTTAGAGATTGCAGCAGCAGCAGCAGCGGAAACTTTCTGCTCTGGTACAGAAGGGCGATCCTGTACATTGCCTTTGCAGGAAACTACCTTGGTATTATGCCCAGAGATTTTCACAGTGACACTGCAAACATGAAACAGCATGAACAGTCTGCTGGAAACCCAGGTTAGATAATGGTCCAAATGGACACCGTTGGCAGGGTCAAACAGCAATAAGGTGACCTTATGTAGACTACATGGGCAGAGTACTGCTCATTTTTGTCCTCTGAGCTGCATGCACTGGTAGACAGCTATTTGACAGCAGGATGTGGGTTAGAAGTGTCATTCAGAACACCACTTGGCTGCTCTTTCGGCCCACACTGTTGCACATGTATTTATTTACATCAGGGGTGGAGAACTTTCTTGACCCAAGAGCCACATTCCATCTTGGACAACCTTCTAGAGGCTGCATTCCAGAGGTGGCTGGGGCCAGAGGCAAAAGCAGGCAGAGCAACAAACATATCCTCCCCCTTTGTACACCTCCTACTCTCACACACACCACTCGCTATATTCCAGACAGGTGAGCAAGAGAGGTGATCAGAGTTCAAAGTCATATCCCAGCCTGCTCTTCGGCAAGATCCTTGGGGCGTGTATCTTGGCAGCTGACCACACCTCGCCGTTTCTCCGGAAGGCTTGCCCTCGCAAGTTGTGGAGGGCACACCTCTCTCCCTTGAAACAGGTCCAGGTTTTGCATATCTAAGCAGCAGGAAAATCACCCAGGCACACCCTGGAATCCTGACCATGGTCCACGTGCCCCGGGGCTGTTTTCCTCAACAGTGACAAAGGCCAACAAAGTTGTGGGTGTCTCTCTGGATGTTTGCTGGTGACCTCATACTTTGCCATACTTTGCCTTAAGAACTCCCGCGTGAGATTTCTGAGCTACAGTTTATCAGCAAGTTTGAGTCTATTCCATTTGGCCTCAGTCCAGATTATGGGTTTCTTGCCACACTACCAGTGTTAAATTAGTGTTACACAGTTCAAATGGTAAGTATCGTCTCTGATGACTTCTGTTGCGAAAGGATCCAAAAAGCAGTATCTTCATTAAGACCAAGCTGATTAAGGCAACAGAATGGCCAAATGTCTGAGTTCAGACTAGATGTTTATGTGTGCAGGGGGAGAAGAGTAAATATGCCATCATGGGGGGGGGATGCTGTATGTCTACACAGAAGTAAATCTTGTTGCATTCAATGGGACTTATTCCTAGATAGGAATTTGCAAGGTGGAGAAGCAGAGCAGTTACACAGGAACATAAAAACACAGGGAGCTATTCAAATGAATTTTACTCAGAACAGAGCTTTTGAAAACAATGGACATAACTCAGCCATGTTCATTAATTTCAATGGGACTCCACTGAGTAAAACTTAATTGAATATCACCCACTGCCTTCCACTGAGAACAGAGCATTGGTTAATGCAGCTCACTACGGTCTACCCCAGGGGTCAGCAGCCTTTTTCAGCTGTGGGCCGGTCCACCGTCCTTCAGACCATGCAGTGGGCCGGACTACATATTTGCGGGGGAAATGAACAAATTCCTATGTCCCACAAATAAACTAGAGATGCATTTTAAATAAATGCATTCTACTCATGTAAAAACACCAGGCAAGCCCTACAAATAACCCAGGGATGCATTTTAAATAAAAGGACACATTTTACTCATATAAAAACACGCTGATTCCAGGACCGTCCGTGGGCCGGATTGAGAAGGCGATTGGGCCGCATCCGGCCCCCGGGCCTTAGGTTGCCTTCCCCTGGTCTACACTGACAGGCAGTGACTCTCCAGGGTTCCAGAAGGGGTTTCTCTCAGCCCTGCTGCCTGCCATCTCCCTCCTCCTTGGAGTAAGGGGTGTACTCTAGAACCCAGTAGGGAGGAGGATGGGGACAAGATTAGTTCACTCTGATTGTCTTGCTGCATCCTCTGCTGGCTTCCCTGTCTTCTGGCCTCCCAGTCCCAATGGCACCAGCCACCACTGCTGGATTGGCAGGGGGGCACACACATGCCCCTGCCCTTTACTACCTTGCCCTGCCCCATCCAGGCAAGTGGGAAGGAGGGTGGGGCACAACTGGACTATGTTGGCTCCACCTGCCATTGGCCCTTGCTCTGACTGCTGCTGGCCCTACCTGTGGGCATGACTTAGTTTGGAAAAGTTTCCTTCCTCAAGCCTGATGTTTCCCTTGCATTCCTGTAATGCTGGAAACGTCTAAGACTGAATTCCAGAACTAGTGTGTGTGCAACTTCCCACAACTTCCATTTTGTTCTGTTTGGTTCTCATGCTTTTTTTTCTTTTTTAAAAAATCCTTATCTGAAGAGTTCCTTCAGATGGCCCTGCTTATTGAACAATCAACCTGATTTGCTAACACAAGGCTTAAGCAAAGTTTATGCCCTGCTGTTTATTGAACTTTTGCTCTGGTTTGTTTGTGGGGAGGTTATATGTCATCCTGCTAATCATTTGTTCACACAACACTTTTTAGTGCATTTCCCTGTAACTTTCCTAACTGCCAAAAGTTGCTGGTTTTCTGTTGTTGTTTTTTTTAAGTGGATTTGTTGCACCAAAGCCCTTTGATCACCTGCAGGACTTGTCAGGGCACACAGCTACTTGTCCACATTGACAAAGATAAAAATAATGATGGTGCTCTTTATTTCATAGAAATAATTACCGTATATAATTGTAGAGATGGAAGGGATCCCAAGGGTCATAGAATCATAGAATCATAGAGTTGGAAGAGACCACAAGGGCCATCAAGTCCAACCCCCTGCCAAGCAGGAAACACCATCAGAGCACTCCTGACATATGGTTGTCAAGCCTCTGCTTAAAGACCTCCAAAGAAGGAGACTCCACCACACTCCTTGGCAGCAAATTCCACTGTCGAACAGCTCTTACTGTCAGGAAGTTCTTCCTAATGTTTAGGTGGAATCTTCTTTCTTGTAGTTTGGATCCATTGCTCCGTGTCTGCTTCTCTGGAGCAGCAGAAAACAACCTTTCTCCCTCCTCTATGTGACATCCTTTTATATATTTGAACATGGCTATCATATCACCCCTTAACCTCCTCTTCTCCAGGCTAAACATGCCCAGCTCCCTTAGCCGTTCCTCATAAGGCATCGTTTCCAGGCCTTTGACCATTTTGGTTGCCCTCCTCTGGACACGTTCCAGTTTGCCAGTGTCCTTCTTGAACTGTGGTGCCCAGAACTGGACACAGTACTCCAGGTGAGGTCTGACCAGAGCAGAATACAGTGGCACTATTACTTCCCTTGATCTAGATGCTATACTCCTATTGATGCAGCCCAGAATTGCATTGGCTTTTTTAGCTGCCGCGTCACACTGTTGGCTCATTTCTAGTCATCTAGTCCAACACCATGCAATGCAGGAATCTAAACTGAGGCATCCATGACAGATGGCCATCCAGCCTCTGCTTAAAAACCTCCAGGGAAGGAGAGGCCACAACCTCCTGAGGGCAACTGTTCCACTGACAAACACCTCTTACTATCAGAAAGTTCTTCCTGGTGTTTAGTTAATCCGTCTCTTCCTACAACAAGAGCGAAGTCCTAGAGCCATATAAAAATAGCCCTGCTGGTTTAGGCCAATCTAGTCCAGCATCTCGTCCTCACATCAGAAGGACCTGAGTACAACAGTACAGAACTGTCTCCCACCAGCTGGTGTTCATAGGCCTAGTAATACAATTCGTAATCAATGCATCACTTGAAAACAGTAATAGCACCCCAAAAAGTGTTCAGTCTCAATAGCTAAAGAAGAGCCTTTGAACAAATAAGAATTTAAAGTGAGTCAACATGCTGTGCTTAAACATACTAATTAGCAGTGCCTTTCAGACAGGATTCTCTGCCAGGATGTTGGTGGGAATCGAACCTGAGACCTTCTGCACGCAAAGCAGATGCTCTGCCACTCAGCTATGGCTCTCCCCAGAGAACGTCTCTTCATAGAATCTGAAGACTTCTTGGGCAGGCACTGGAGTGCTTATCTTTTGAAGCCTCTGCTCACACTCCCTTGCAGAATTAGAGCTAAGAATAACACATTGCTGGCACCACACACCCTGGAATACTTGATAATTGGTCCAAGTAATTACTGCATCTTCCCACTCCCACCCTGTTTCTGATTCAGATACCTTCTCTGCCCAAAAGTGTGCGCATGGACTACCAGCACCCTGCAGGAATTACCTCTTCATCTTTTTCTTCTCTTACCAGAGTCCCTATATCAACTACTGGCACATCTTCCCTCTCTCTGACCAGGCTCTGTTTGCTCTGGTTTTCATCATGCTTGGTAGGAATTTTCTGAACACCTTTGTGAACACTGACAATGTTCACTGGCCAGCCAGCCACCCAGCTAGTAAATATGAACAATCAATATCTTGAGCACATCTCACTTGGCATAGCTCTGTCAGAAAAGCATGAGACTCTTAGGACTTAGCTGCACTCATCAATTACATCGTTATAACTGAGCTATGTGACAACAGATGGTGCTGCAGGGCAGTGATCCATTGCCAATGTGATTTTGCCTTGAGAGCTTTTACAGTGTTTTGGGTTTTTGGCTTTTTAAAAATCAGTGTAGATCCAACTTTACTCTCAGGGTTGTGGGTTTGAGCCCCATGCTGAGTGAAAGATTCCAATTCTACAAGTCTATGAATCTATTACAGTGGTACCTCGGGTTAAGAACTTAATTCGTTCTGAAGGTCCGTTCTTAACCTGAAACTGTTCCTAACCTGAAGCACCACTTCAGGGGCCTCCTGCTGCCGCCACGCCGCTGCTGCGCAATTTCTGTTCTCATCCTGAAGCAAAGTTCTTAACCCGAGGTACTATTTCTGGGTTAGCGGAGTCTGTAACCTGAAGTGTCTGTAACCTGAAACGTCTGTAACCCAAGGCACCACTGTAATCTAATGGGTCATTAGGTAAGCCAAATTAAAATGGGTACCTGCTTGCCCTAGTTGCACCACTGAACATATCCTAACTTAAACTACCCCAACGAATTACTATCCATCTAGTGTGTTGATGCAAAGCTCCATCACTCTACCCACGGAGAGGTGGTAACTGGGACCCTGTGTGGATATGCCCTACTCAAACCCCTCTCTTCCAATGCAGATGCCCCCACCTCCAGACGTGGATTTAGGGGAGTGTGACTGGTTCGCCTGCACTGGGTGAGCCAAGAGGGCACCGCAGGAGGTGCCACAACAATGCTGAACACCAGAAGGTGAGATGCAGAGGAGGGGCAATGAATTTAGGCATTGCACAGGGTGCTGCTGAAATTTTAAAGCCCAAAGTCCTCCACTGCCCAGCCTGGCTGCAGTGACCTGGCAGGACAATAGATACAGTAGTGTCTCCAGGAATGACTCATGCGGAGGCTATCTTGACACAGCTGTTGTTTCTCTGTGGTGTGGATGTGAGGCCAAGGACAGCCCAGCTTCCCTAGAAGGATTGCTCCCACGAATCCAGCATCCCTGGCATTGCAGGTGTGCAGCCCCATTCTCTATGCCACCCCATCCCTGCCAGGTAAGCAACAGTGTCACCAATATCAGGAGGGTGACTCTGCCTTGCCACAAAGGCCACTATTGTGTGGCTTGGTCAGCGGATCTGCTTCCCATGCCCCCCCCCCCCGTTTAGTGACCCCTGTCTTATATCAAATAGGATCTTAACACAACCCTTATGATTAGTCTTTCCTTTCTCTGGCCCATTCTGTGAGGAGTCTGCCCTGTGTGTTCCTGAATGAGTCACCGTTCTGCATTTGCTGTCCGTTTGGTAGGAGCACTCTGAATACTTTTGGGCACACTGGCAATGTTCACTGGCCAGTAAACTCCTAAATTCTTCTTACACTAGCATAAATGATTTCATGAATGTATTGGCACATACCTAAATCTGCACCAGAGACCCTTGCCGCAGATGCTTACACCTGCTGAACCTCAACATTCATTAAAGAAGACAGAATTACAACTAGAATGGCTATCTGTCCCCTAACAGTGCAATTCTGAGCTCCAAAGGCTTACAGAAAGCAAGAGGATTGGGAAATGGGTGCCTTCTCCACAATGGGCAGGATGGATGCTTGCCTTCACAACATCGGAAGTCTTAGGTTCATAGCTGTCAGCTTTTCTCTTTTCTTGCGAGGAATCCTATTCGGAATAAGGGAATTTCCCTTAAAAAAGGGAAAACGTTGACAGCTATGCTTAGGTTGTCTCCCACCTTAGTCCTGCTCAGTGTATTTGGTCAGGCCATGCGCAGGTGTAATCTAATAAAATGAACACTCACATTATTAAATATTCTGAGACAGGGCAACAGCTCTCCATACAGGTTTTCTCTGGCTGAGCTCTACCCGAAATAAACGCGTTGAAATTAATTTCAGTAGGCCTGCTCTGAGGATGCTTTGTGCCAGGACACTTGCCGCCGGTTGGATTCCCGCTTCTCCTCACCCCAGAATCTCTCCTCCCCGCGACCACCCTTTAAAGTGCTTAATGCAACAATGAGCGAGGATGGAGGTGGGTTTGAGGTAAGTAGCTCTGAGGCTTAATCCTTTGTTTGCTGCTGCAGCTGCAGGTTCCCCCTTTACTTGTCACTCTGGACGCACAATGCAGGCAACTCCGCCACCTCTACATAAGCATGTTGGAGAATATACATAGAGCGAGAGAGGCGCGGAGGGTGGAGAGACGAGAGCTTGCGCACCCGAGCTTCCCCCGATTGGCTGGGCGATGCACAAAGACTCTGAGAGTCGCCATGGTCACGTGGCCCTGATGGCTTCTCATTGGATCCCGTGCACGCCTGTTCCCCCTCTCTCTCTCTCTCCCCCCCCCCCCGCCTCTCTCTTTCCACTTTGTGCGGTTGCTGATTTGAAAGAAGGAGGAGGGAGAAGGAGCGGATCCGGCCGCGGGAGAAAAAGCAAAGGGGTGGGGGACAAAAAATATATATACAAAAAAGGGAGGGAGGGTAGAAGGAGCTCGGCGTGAGGCTGCTTGACGGAAAGGAGGAGGAGGAGGAGGTGCGGGGGGGACAATGCCATGGTGCCTCCTCCCGCCCAGCTGCTCTCTGCAAGCCGGTTCTGTGCCACCGCCAGTCCGGGCGTAGGAGCGCAAAGAGACACCCCGCAGCCGCAGGCGCCGCCTCCTGGGAAGCGAGAGTCTCTGCGGGGGGGCTGTTGGTTGTCAATGGCTGGCTGACCCCCCAATCCCCCGATCCCCGTTGTCACCGCCGCCGCGCGGGCGAGCGGCTCCTGGCGCGGCTGAATGGGCGCGCGGGTGGATGGCTAGCCGGCCAGGCGGATGGAGGGATGCGGGAGACCCTGCGCGGCAAAATCACCATGAGGACCTCGCCGCGCCGCCGCCGCGACCTCGGCCGGCTCTCCCGGCTGCTGCTGCTCCTGCCGCTCTGCTTCACGTGCGCGCTGGCCCTTGACTCGGGGCCGCGGAGCGCCACTGCCGGGCCGGCAGCAGCCGCAGGAGGAGGAGGCGGCGGCGGGTCCGGCTCCGACGGAGGGTCCACAGCAGCGGCATCGCCTGCGGGAGAGGTGCGCTTCGGTGCGGGAGCCGAAACGCCGTCTCTGCTCTCACCTTCGCCGGCTCCTACTCCTCTTCCCCGATCCCCTCTTCTGCTTCCCCCGCCGCCTCCTTTTGCTCCCTCGCCCACCACCCCGCAGCAAAACGGGGGCGAGGAGGAAGAAGAAGAAGGGAACGATCTTGGTTCCTGGGCGGCGGTGGCAGAAGCAGGCAACGCAACTGGGATCCAGCCCACCTTGGCGTCCCCCGATGTCCCCCCAACTAAGCCTGCAGCTACTGCGGGAGCGCAAGGGGGCAGCCCCTCAGGCTCCGAGGGGCCCGGCTCCGAGGCGCCGAGCCCCGGCAACGCCGCCTCGGCGGTAGACGCGGCGTCCTCGCTGGTTCCGCCGGCTCCTTCTCCAGGCTCAGCGTCCGCGGCTCCCCAAGAACCGACCCTCAGCGTCTGGTCCAGCAGCGTCCCCACCGCCGAGCCCTCGTCGCCTTCCGAGGAGGAAGAGAAAGAAGATCTGGTGGCCCATAGTGGGATAGGTGAGTGGACGTAGATCGTTTGTGGGTGACACATGCGCATGCTAAAAACAAAAAACAAAAGCGTTTTGTATGCGGAGAACTTACACTCACAGGAGACACGTCGGGATGAATGGACACGACTAACTTAGGCCAATTCATGTCCGTGGGTCTGTTCTGAGTAGTACGTCCTTGAACACAGCCAGTGCCATTCATAAGTCAGTTTTATCTTGAAGTCCAAGGGTCCAATGTAGATGTGGTTCCCAGGTAACCTTACCTATCCAGCTTCGGCAAAAGCACCTAATGGCACATAGTCTGGTATTGCAGAGTTGGAAACGATGCAGTAAAATAGCAAGCGAAAATCATTAGGGAGCTCCAGCAGCCCCCCTGTGTAGGAAGGTTGCAAGGTCTGGGGTTTGTTTTTAACTAAGGGTGAGAGGTGGGGGTAGGAGATTATTGCTGGTGTGGAGAAAGTGGCTGGAGAGAAAATGTTCTCATAATGCTAGAACCCAACATGAAGCTGAATGTTGGGAGATTCAGTACAGACAGAAACAATGACTTATTCTCAACAGTTAAAACATTGAATTGGCTCCCAGAAGAAGCAGTGATGGCCCACAGGAAGCTTCAAAAGAGGGGACAGGGCATGGAGGGATAAAACTATTCTAGGAGCCTCATAAGATGCCTTATATTGAGTCAAGCCATTGGACAATCTAGCTCTGTAATGCCAGTACTGAATGGCAGCAGCTGTCCAGGATTTCAGGCAGGGGACATTACTAGTTTTAAGGGGAGGGGCCAGGGATTGAACCTGAGCAGGTAAAGCAGATGTTGGCTTGCTGAGCTGCAGCTGTTCGCTCAGTGGCTACTCACTGTGGTGGCTGTGTCTTACCTCCACTGTCCGAGGCAGGCAGGGGGCCTCTGACTACCAGACAACAGCAGCAGAGGTCTCCTGCTCTGCTGTCCTCTTGGGGAAGCAGGATGCTGGGTTAGGAAGGCCTTCGGCCTGATCCAGCAGGGTTCTGCCTATGTTGTGTTGCCTGTGACTGCTCTGTGGATGCTCGTTTAGAGATTGTGCTGTTACTTGTCCTGAGCCTCAAGGCTAGGGCAGGATAGAGGCACCAAAAGGAGGGGAGATGGCTTGATTTGTTCCCAAAGGCCCCAAGACCTTCACTGAAAGACATTCCTATGTGTGGACTAACATTTCAGAAAGAGGGAGGGTATTGCACCCGATTAATGAATCAAGATTTAACATTTGTGATGCCATCACAGTTGGCACCATATTATTAATGCCTCCAATATTAACACTCGTAGTATTTGTATTAATGCTATTATTATTACTTATTTGTCATTATTACTGTACTTCAACAATTTGGGTTCAATGTATCTTTCTACTAATAGGCTTGGGATAGACCACTGTCCTCTGTTATTAATATTTATTAATTGTTGTAGAGACTATTGTTGTGGAGACTAGGGAATAAATTGTTGTCACCTCATATTAATATGTACTACAATGTGTTTCTTACTATTGTTTCTACCATTGGTTGTCAGTACTTTTTTGGGAGGGGGTATAATCTCTCTTTCTCCTCCGCATGCTCCTCCTTGTCCTAAGCTAGGGAGAAATGTTGGTCCCCTATTATGGGAGGCAGTTGCTTTCTGGTTTTTTTGGACTAGTTCCTCAGATAATAGATCATTTTGTGGAATGATTTTTTAAGGATGCTCAAAATGGCACAGACAAGCAGAAGTTGTAGCAGCTGAAAGCAAAGAAGGAGAGTAAAATGAGAAGTGGTTAAAAGAGGCATGGAGAGAAATGTCTTCTTTGTGGGTAATATATTGATGGTGTTTGCTTGATGTTGGCCTTTGTCCTTGTCTATATTTTGAGGATTTGCACCATTTGCAGCATATTCTGGCTACTTCTAATGCCTGGTGGTCTCCAGATGTTTTGGAGAGCTGTTCCCATCTGCCCCAGCCACTATTGGAGCTCCCTCCCAAAACATCTGTAGGATACCAGGTTAGTATAAAGGTTGCACTAAAGCAGTTCTCCCTGTTCTGTTGCATTCCATGGCCTGGGGTAGGTACAACTCATAAACACAAGTGCAAATATTGTGGAGTGTTTTTAAATGAATTGTTAACTTGAGACATAAGGATGGCCTGAACATTAAATAAACTAAAACATTTAACAAACCCACGAGCTCCAGCATCCTAGTCAATCTTAATCAGCTAGATCAACCTCTTAAAAACCGTTTTAGTGACTTGAAAGTTGGCCCTGACTAATCAAAACAGTGATCGTGTAATAGGTGGTATTCAACATTTTTAAGGGGAGTGGCCATAGCTGAGTGGTAGTGCATCTGCTTTGCATTTGGAAGGTTCCAGGTTCAGTCTCTGACACCTCCAGAAAGAACTGGGGGAGACCCTCACCTGAAACCCTGGACAGCTGCTGCCTGTCTGTGTAGACGGTACTGAGCTAGGTGGACCATGGATCTAGCTCTTTATAAGGCAGTTCCCAATGGGTGATAGTCAACTAAGCTTCACTCAGAGTACACCCACTGACATTAATGAACATGACTAAGTTAGGTCCATTAATTGCAATGGGTCTGCTCTGGGTAGTATTCAGCTGCATTTTACTTTGCAGAAATAGGATGCTTCTTTCTGCCTGCTGCCCAAATTTTGTGTGTGTGTCATACAGCAGGGAACACCTCTTCTGAGAGATGTAACCGGGGACAAGTGCATTAATCATCATGATGGTGACATTTTACCCCCCCACTGTCGGAGGCAGTGTGCCTCTGATACCAGTTTCTGGGAGTCACAGGTAGGGAGAGTTGCTGTTGCACTCATGTCTTGCTTGCATGAGTTGGCTTCTGTGTGAACAGAGTAATGGTGGACCCTTGAACTGATCCAGCAGGGCTCTGTTCTTATAAAAATGCATGGCCTTTCCTGCAGTAATGGAGCAATCCTAACTTTCCTTGTTGGGGAAGAGCTGGAGCTCAGGGGTAGGACTTCTGCTTGGCATGTAGAAGGTCCCAGGTCCAGCCTTTGTCATTTGCAGGTAGGACTGGGAATGCTTCTCACCTAAATCCCTAGAAAGCTGCTGCCAGAGATTGTAGGCAATCCTGAGCGACATGGACCAATGCACCTTTTGTGAGGCCAAAATTCGGCACCTTCTGCTTCTCACCTGTTCTGCTCAATTCACTCAGTGCCCAGTGTGGGGGAACCGGTTGCACTGCCCTAAATCTGCCTCTGGCAAAATCCTGAATGTGCCTACTCAGAAGCAAGCGGTGCTGAGTTCATAGGGACTTGATGCTTCCCGGTCAATGGGTGAAGGGTTGCAACCAAAATCTTGTTTTGCCAGAAGTCAGCTCTAGTTCAAATTGCCCAATTCTGTAGCAACACATTAGAAATGCTTCCTCAGGTGGATTCCAGGACCAGAGAAATGTGTTTGTGTTTTAGGCTACAAGGACTTGCTCAATGGGTTGTAGGAAACTGAAGCAGCTGGAGAACTGTATAATTTCTCTCTCTCTCTGTGTGTGTGTTTTAAAAAAATGTTCTGCCATTCTCTGATTTTGTTATGATAATGATATTGATAACAGTATCATATCTTTTCATTAGTAATGCTTGACATAATAAAATACATGTGCATGGCTGGATGTGGCTTAACTGTACACAAGAAAGGGTCATTTCCCATTGTTCCACCCATGTTTTGCCTAGGGCCCTGCTCACTGCTGCCATGTGGCCTCTGGAAGTTTGCCCAAGAGAGAATGTGGCCCTCAGGTTGAAAATATCTCCCTATCCCCAAGTGAAATGCTTCCAATACCTATTAGTTCATATGGGGCTGAGGGAAGGTCCTGCATCTCCCCTTCCCACTGAAAAGAAAGCCTTGGACCTTGACTGTCTCACCCTGTGCTGGGGAGCAGAAGGTTCTGCAGACCAATGGAGAGCTATTTGCGTGGTACTTTTGACAGCTCCCAAGATACATTCCAGCTGCACAAATCCCAGGGAGCCAAGGTGGTGTGGTGGTTGGAAGGTCAGATTAGGGACCTGGGAGACCAGGGTTGAAATCCCCATTTGGCCATGAAGACCCTTGATGTGACCTTGGGCCAGCTGGTTTTGACCTATAAAGCCTTAAACAGCTCAGGACGACAATACTTCAAGGACCACCTCTCTCTCCGAGGATGTGGACAGGCTGCTTGGACAAGTGAAACCAACCACCTGTCTCCTGGATCCTTGCCCATCCTGGCTAATAAAAGCAAGCCAGGAAGGGCTGGGTGATGGGCTCTGTGGGGTGGCGAATGCTTCCCTCTGTGAGGGAGCCTTCCCAGATCCGCTGAAAGAGGAGATCAAACCACTTCTTAAAAAACCATCTTTAGACCCGGCCAATATGGCCAACTATCGCCCTGTCTCAAATCTTCCATTCTTGGGCAAGGTGATTGAGCGGGTGGTTGCTGAACAACTCCAGGCACACCTGGAGGATGCGGACCATTTGGATCTCTTCCAGTCGGGATTCAGGCCTCATCATGGGACTGAAACTGCCTTGGTCGCTCTGGTTGATGATCTCTGGCGGGCTAGGGACAAAGGTGAGAGCTGTTTCCTAGTTCTGCTGGATCTCTCAGCAGCCTTTGATACCATTGACCATAACATCCTTCTGGACTGTCTTGAGGGGCTGGGAGCTGGGGGCACTGTCATACAGTGGCTCCGCTCCTTCCTCCTGGGCCGTGGCCAGAAAGTGGTGTTGGGGGATGGGTCAGTTTTGTGTCCAGGGCGGCTGTCTACCAGCTCCATCTGGTACACAGGCTGAGACCCTACCTGCCCGTGGACTGTCTTGCCAGAGTGGTGCATGCCCTGGTTATCTCCTGCTTGGACTACTGCAGTGCACTCAACATGGGGCTACCTTTGAAGGTGACCTGGAAACTACAACTAATCCAGAATGCGGCAGCTAGACTGGTGACTGGGAGCGGCCGCCAAGACCATATAACACCGGTCCTGAAAGACCTACATTGGCTCCCAGTGGGTTTCCGAGCACGACTCAATGTGTTGGTGCTGACCTTTAAAGCCCTAAATGGCCTCGGCCCAGTATACTTGAAGGAGCGTCTCCATCCCCATCGTTCAGCCGGACACTTAGGTCCAGCACTGAGGGCCTTCTGGTGGTTCCCTCACTGCGAGAAGTGAGGTTACAGGAAACCAGGCAGAGGGCCTTCTCGGTGGTGGCACCCACCCTGTGGAACGCCTTCCCATCAGATGTCAATGAAATAAACAACTATGACTTTTAGAAGACATCTGAAGGCAGCCTTGTTTAGGGAAGTTTTTAATGTTTGATGTTTTATTCTGTTTTTAATCTGTTGGGAGCCGCCCAGAGTGGCTGGGGAAACCCAGCTGGGTGGGTGGGGTATAAATATAAATAAATTATTATTATTATTATTATTATTATTATTATTACTACTACTACTACTACTACCTAAGATCATCCTCTGAGGCCCTTCTTTGTGTGCCTCTTCCACAAGAGATCCAGAGGGCGGCAACATGAGAACGGGGCTCCTCTGCGGTGGCTCCCCTTCTGTGGAATGTACTCCCCAGGGAAGTTTACCTAGAACCTTCATTACACAACTTTAGGCGCCAGGCAAAAACATTCCTTTTTAACCAGGCCTTTGGTTGATTTGATTTACATCCTATGCCCTTTTAAAATGTGGAGTTTTTTGGTGGGGGGAGGTTATTGGGTTGTTGTTTTTATTTTGATTATGCATTTTGTGGTTTTATATTTTGATTTTATTCTGTGAACCGCCCTGAGACCTCCTGGTATAGGGCAGTTTATTATTATTATTATTATTAATAATAATAATAATAAACAACTTTGTGAGCTTGCTATCACTAGATGTGGGGGCAGACCCTAGCTTAGGTGTCTTTACAAGGAGATTAGGCAACTTTACATAGAATGTGTCTATCAAGTGCTGATGGTTCTTAAACGGCAAAGCCAAGCCTCCAGATTTGGACGCAGTCTATCTCCAAGTGCCAGCTGCTGGAGGGGAAGAGCAAGCGAGAGCTGTGCCCTTCCTGTTCTGCTTGTGGGCTTTCTCAGAGACAGCTGGCTGGCGATTGATGGTAATAGGATGATGGAATAGATGGACCAGACTTTGCTGACCTGGTGCCCACCAGATATTTTAGGTGACAATTCCCATTGGCTGATAGGAGTTGCAGTCCAAAACATCTGGAGGGCATCAGGTTGGTGAAGGCTCAGATAGACCCTTAGTCTGATCCTGGAGACTCTTTCTGTGCCTTGCATCCCATACCCAGTTGCCTTGCCTGTGTTCTATTGCCTTCTAAATGTACGTGTAAAAGAGGGGAAAGGGAATTAGTAACAGGCTGTGGCTAAGCCATTTGCCCTTGAATTCAAGGAACCCAGCAGGTGCTTTGATACTGACTCATGTCCGCAAGCTACTGATTCCCCCTCTTCCCCATACAGGCTCAGCTTATGTTCATGGAGACTGCTGGGCAAATAATTGCAAATCTTGTCTTGAGAAGTTATTGGTTTAAGTATGGCGGAGAAAGGAAGAGGTATAGTTATTAAATTTGAATCCTATTCTTATGTGGGCCTTGGAAGTGGTTTGCCTTTCCAGGGGCTGACCAGGTGCATACCTGCTTAGTTTCAGTGATGCTACAACAGCACCAGGTGTGCCCGGATTACTACTGCACCCAAGGTTACGTTGCCAAGGAACCTTTGCAGATGGATTCTGAGCCAGTGAGTCAGTTCCAAAAATAGCCTCCATATGTCCTTAGCACCGGCAAGGCTGCAGCAGTGTCAACTGCTCCCAAGTGAAAATTAAAAACCCCACATGTAGCAATGAGGACACCCTGTTCAATAGTTGAGGCCCTTCTCTGGGTGCTGTCTCTGAGTAGGGGCAGAAGTTGGTGACACAAGGTGGGGCCTTTTCAGTGGTGGCTCCCTGTTTGTATAATACTCTCCCCAGAGAAGCATGCCTGGCATCTTTGTCTATTGGTGGGCACCACACAAAGAATATTTTCATTTGGTTCTTAATTTGGAAGGTAGTTAGTTATGTTTGCAGCCTCTTGACTTGCTTTTCTTTTCAGTGGCGTGAGCAGGATTTTCCATTTACATATTTATGGGTGACCATTTTTAGATTTTTCTTCAAAATTAGATTTTGACTGTTTCCTATGTTACCTATCTTATCTTATTTTTTAAGTTGCTTTGAGACTCTTCAGTGAAAAAGCGATGAATAAATACAATAGAATACACACACACACACACACCAATATTTATTGCACCTTTCCTCCAGGACAACAGACGTGGGCTGCCCCATTCCTTTTTATCCTAGCCTTTGAGGTAGGTTAGCCAGAAAACATAAAAAGAGCCTTCTGGATCAGGCTGAAGGGCCATATAGTGGTACCTCGGGTTACAGACGCTTCAGGTTACAGACGCTTCAGGTTACAGATTCCACTAACTCAGAAATAGTACCTCAGGTTAAGAATTTTACCCTAGGATGAGAACAGAAATCATGCTCTGGTGGCGCGGTGGCAGCAGGAGGCCCCATTAGCTAAAGTGGTGTCTCAGGTTAAGAACAGTTTCAGGTTAAGAACGGACCTCTGGAACGAATCAAGTTCTTAACCCGAGGTACCACTGTATAGTTCAGCATCCCATTCTCACCATGACTGACCAAATTCCTCTGGGAAGCCTGCAAGCTGGGCATGAGCAAAGCAGCACTCTTCCCACCTGCAGTTTCCGGCAGGGAGAATCCTGCCTCCAACCTTGGAGGCAGAGAAAGACTGACTGGCCTGTGGTTATCCAGTGAGTGCCTGGTTGTTCCTAGTCCTTGACTGATACAATACCAGCTTTTCCCAAACTGCAGCCCTCCAGGTGTTTCTGGCTTACAGCTCTTATTGTCCCTGACCATTGGCTATCCTGGCTGATAGGAACTGGAGTCCCACAAGTGCCCCCATAAATCCTGCCTCTTCTCAGTCAGCCCCAACCTGCCTGCCCTCTTCCTTACACCCAGGCCCGGAGGTGGCACTGTTTATCTTTTCCTCCTCTTCAGTCCCAGTGTTGGCTTCCTAGAAATCAGCAGGGAGAAGCATGGCTGTAAACTTCCCACCTGCCATGGGCTCTGATTCTGCCTACCACTGGTGATCACTGTTTAATAGAGATAAAAACATGTGAAAGGGCGGAGGGTTTGGGCAGCCAAAGAGGAACATTGCATCTTGGGATCTGCTTTTCTCAATGCGTAATGCAAGATGGAAATAAAATGCATTTCAAGCATTTTGTGCAATAATGAATTCAATGTACCAGCATTGTGGCTTCTCAAACTTTTAAAGCAATCCAAGATAAGGAAGACAGTCTAATTCGACTATGGGGTGCAGCGCTCATCTCGTTTTTCAGGCCAAGGGAACCGGCGTTTGTTCACAGACAGCTTTCCGGGTCATGTGGCCAGAATGACTAAACCGCTTCTGGAGCTATGGGACACTGTGACAGAAACCAGAGCACACAGAAACGTGTTTACCTTCCCGCTGCAGCGACACCTATTTATCTACTTGCACTGGTGTGCTTTTAAACTGCTACATTGGCAGAAACTGGGACAGAGCAACGGGAGCTCACCCCATCGAGCAGATTCGAACTGGACCTTCTGATCGGCAAGCCCAAGAGGCTCAGTGGTTTAGACCACAGCGCCACCCACTCCCCTATATATATATATCCCACACACATGCTGTATAATATTTGAAGGGATATATTCTCCACCTGCCCTGAGCCTCTTTTGGAAGACCTGGACCACTTACATAAGGCGGTATGGGTAGAGAAACATCTTACTTTTCATCAGAAGCCTAGGAAATGACAGGTTATATATAGGATCATAAGCAGATTGCAGTTCTTCACAAGAAGGGGAGAGCAATGTGGATTTCAGCTTATTTTGAAGCCTCGAGGGACCAAATGATCAAGCGTGGGCCTTCAGGAATTTATCTCAATTTTAGATTTGTCCAGAATTGTGGGTGGGGAGCTGTCTTCTGCTTCATACTGGTATGGTGGATGCCAGTGGCCAAGGGCTGGGAAGTACTCTCTGGGGTAGCTAATAAGAACATCAGAAGAGCCCTGCTGGATCAGGCCAAAGGCCCATCTAGCCCAGCAGCCCGTTCTCACAGTGGCCAGCTAGATGCACAAGCAGGACTTAGGAACAAGAACCCTCTTTCCTCCTTTGGTTTCCTGCCAGTGGTATCCAAAAGCATTAGTGCCTCAGAATGCAGAGCTGCCTTGTAGAAGAAGGGTTTAGCTTAGAACATGTCTGGATTTTCTTTTGGAGCAATAAAGGGCTCACCAGAGTAAATAGGGTCTCTGGTAGCAAAGTTAGGACCTGAGACCCTGCCAGAGGTGAAGAGTATGTTGCTAGAAGGACCAATGGTCGTGACTTGGCGTAAGGCAGCTCCTTATACAACTTCACTCAGCTTTCCCCAACCTGATGCCCTCCAAATGATTTTTATTCCCATTATCCCTGACTTTTGGACATGCCATGACTGATGGGAGTTGGAATCTGATAAAATCTGGAGATGCATCATATTGTGGAAGGCTGCCCTAGGTCAAAAGGCATTCCTTTGCCATGCAAAGCAATAACGTTTAAGGCTTGTTCACATGTTACACTGTACACGGGTACAAGATGTACAAGCGTTTGCATCGTCTGTACATAATAGTTGAGCTGTGCAACCATTTCCCACGTTCACTGAACATTACAGGAGAAGTATTTCAGTATGCAGCTTAACAATTCATGTATACAGATACAGTGGTGCCCCGCAAGACGAATGCCTCGCAAGTCGAAAAACTCGCTAGACGAAAGAGTTTTCCGTTTTTTGAGTCGTTCCGCAAGACGAATTTCCCTATGGGCTTGCTTTGCAAGACGAAACGTCTTGCGAGTTCTTGCGAGTTTGTTTCCTTTTTCTTAAAGCCGCTAAGCCGTTAATAGCCGCTAAGCCGCTAAGCCGTTAATAGCCGCTAAGCCGCTAATAGCCGCTAAGCCGCTAATAGCCGTGCTTCGCAAGACGAAAAAACCGCAAGACGAAGAGACTCGCGGAACGGATTAATTTCGTCTTGCGAGGCACCACTGTAGTATACTTGTTGAATGTAAAATGGGAACAGCCACACACACACACACTCTTTGTCATATATAACACACATCTGTGCATTCACACTTGATATTATGGTTCAATAAGCCACTTGACTGACCTTGCAGTTCCCAGAAAACATACATAGAGAATGAAAAAAAAACACCACAAAATGCGCATATATGTACACCTTGCAGTGAGCTGCACTTATGTCAGTATTTTTCACCACCTGATTTCCATTGCAAAAGCATTTTGAAACATATTTAAGGAAATAACTTTGTAATGTGTCAGGAAGCTCCCTGCTACACTTTAAAATTGTCTCTGCTGCCACCAGTGAGGATGTCTCAGCAGCAGAAGCATTTTCTTTCATTGATCTTGGTTGTTCCTGAGATTTATAACCTGCCTTTCATCAAAACGGCAACTGAAACCCACAAAGGGTTTCAGATAGCATTAAGAGCATAAGAAAACACATCACCTGTTACTTAAATGATAGCAAAAAAAAAAAGAGGCTAGGTGGAGGCATCAGGGAGGAGCATTCCATAAGCTGGCAAAGAGCAGGAATCTACCAAAACGTTCACCAGTAGCTAGGTAAAAGGTGTATCTTTTGCTCTGGCCAGAACACAGAATCAAGAAGTCTCCTCCATCCTTAGGAACATAGGAAGTTGCCCTATACCATCCACCCTTCCATCCATCTAGCGGTCACTCTTCGGGATTTCATACTGGCAACATTCCCAGCTGCATGTGGAGATGCTGCGGACTGAGCTGTAGAGTTTGAAGGAGACCCCCAGGGCCACTGAGTTCAACCCCTTGCAATCCAGGAATCTCAACAAAAGCATCCATGACAGATGGCCAGCCAGCCTCTCAGGTGCTCTACCGCAGAGCCCGTGTGCCTGGAGAAATGGAAAGACTCTCTGAGTTTCTAGGGTGACTTCAGAAGCACAGGGAAATGGCAGGGACACTCTCTGACAGCCTTTTCCAACTTGCTTCCAACTTGGACTCCCAGTTGCCCCAGGCACAGGCCCAGAACAGTGGGGGGGGGGGGGGCATATGGGCCACTTGGCCCGGGCCTCCAATTCCAAAGGGCGCCTCAGTCAGCATATTCACAGTCGCAGGGGATGCACTGGGGCGAACACAAGGATTCAAGAATTCGCAAAAAAGAAAGCTAGGAAAGCATTTTTAAATGTAAATACTTAAAATAACCCTTTTCCCTATGTATTTTTAAAAAGCACTATTGTATATCTATATTTTCCATTTTGTCTTTATATGCAGATACGGTTCAAGCCTTGAAATAAAATTATTTGTCAGCATAACTTTTGTGAAAATTATATATATACTTATTTATAAGACTTCAGTTATCCCCAGGGTAAAAAAAAGGGGGGGCACATTATCTACCTGGCCTGGGCCTCTGCTGGCTCTACAAGGCCCTGACCAGGCAACATGACCAATGGTCAGGAATTAAATTAAAACCACGGGGTGTGGAAGCTCCTTCTATGATCCTCATCAGTACTTCTTGCTTCTTCCTATGAGGCATACTGCTGGGGGTGGGGTGGAAACAAGGGTGTAGCTAGGATTTTTTTGGGGGGGCAGAACGAATATGATTGGTCAGTTAGTTAAGTATTTCTATTGTTTTACTTGATGGGGGCAGCTGCCCCCTGCCCCCCCCCCGCTGTGCCCCTGAGTGGAAGCTCCCACTCCTGTCTTCAGCTGGGGAGGAGGGCACAGGTTTCTTACATTGTTGTGGGACAATGATTTCAGTTTAAAAGTCCGCATTAAATACTGATTCAATTGTATTTTTTATTGCTTCCTTTTATTTCTCTTTTCACATTTTATTCTCTTACCGTTTGCATTTTGTGAGATGTTGAATTGTAATATGGCAGAACATGATAAAGGAAGCTGTAGAAAAACAATTAAAAACCTTACAGCTTCTTCTAGCGCAGCACATTGTGATTGCTGCAACAAGTAGAAAAATCATGAAGTAATCCACCAAGTTCATCAAGTTGGGGGGTGGGCAGCATTTGGGAACCACTGTGAAGTGGTACCGTTCCAGCAGGTCTTTGCCTTGTGACAGATCAGGTCTCTGTGTTTGTGCCAACAGTAGCCAGACAGATTATTCATCCAATGCAGAGGTTGGGGGAAGAGGCATCTTCCACCCATGCATTGGCCCACAAGACTCAAGGGAGGGAGGAACTGAAATCGAAATGTCACAGTCACATAAGCAGGAGCTGTTGACAGAGGCTAACACAGGAATCAGCGCCTGTGGCGATGCTTGATCAAGGCAAAACTGGGAAACTGGATCTCTTAGCTTCCTTGTAACATATTGCTACTGTCTCTGAGCTTCAAAGTGTTGGTGCTGACCTTTAAAGCCCTAAACGGCCTCGGCCCTGTATACCTAAAGGAGCGTCTCCACCCCCATCGTCCAGCCCAGACACTGAGGTCCAGCGCCGAGGGCCTTCTGGCGGTTCCCTCCATGCGAGAAGCAAAGCTACAGGGAACCAGGCAGAGGGCCTTCTCAGTAGTGGCACCCACTCTGTGGAACACCCTCCCAGCAGATGTCAAGGCAATAAACAACTATTTTACTTTTAAAAGACAAATGAAGGCAGCCCTGTTTAGGGAAGTTTTTAATGTCTGATGCTGTACAGTGGTACCTCGGGTTAAGTACTTAATTCGTTCTGGAGGTCCGTTCTTAACCTGAAACTGTTCTTAACCTGAAGCACCACTTTAGCTAATGGGGCCTCCTGCTGCCGCCGCGCTGCCAGAGCACAATTTCTGTTCTCATCCTGAAGCAAAGTTCTTAACCCGAGGTCCTATTTCTGGGTTAGCAGAGTCTGTAACCTGAAGCGTATGTAACCTGAAGCGTATGTAACCCGAGGTACCACTGTATTGTTTTTAGTATTCAGTTGGAAGCTGCCCAGAGTGGCTGGGGAAACCCAGCCAGATGGGCGGAGTATAAATAATAAATTATTATTACCGTATTTTTCGCTCTATAAGACGTACTTTTCCCCTCCTAAAAAGTAAGGGGAAATGTGTGTGCGTCTTATGGAGCGAATGAAGGTGGGAGGCTCTGCTCAGCGCTCCATTTAAAGAGCCACATGGAGCACGCGGCTCTGTCCCTTCCCCCACCTCCCAGAAAAGCCCCCAAGAGCCGTGCTCTCTTTAAAGAGCACACGGCTCTTGCGGGAGGAAAGCCAGTAGGCTTGCTTTCGCCGAAGCCAGAAGGGCAAGAGGGATCGGTGCGCACCGATCCCGCTTGCTCTCCTGGCTTCAGGGATAGCCCCGCAAAGCCTCCTGAGCGAAGATGGAGGAGCGCTCCCTCTTAGCTCAGGATGCTTTGCGTTCCTTTCTTATTTCTTGTTTTCCTCCCCTAAAAACTAGGTGCGTCTAATCGTCCAGTGCGTCTAATAGAGCGAAAAATACGGTATTATTTTTACAAATGGCTCAAGCATGCCACTGATGCTCTCTTTACCACCCCTGCTTTCCTCCTTCCTCTTGTGTTTTGGCTGGCTGGGATGTGTCCTTGAATTCAGTTACCCTTTGTCGGGGGGGGGGGGCGGATTGTGGAAAAAACAGTGCACAAAAGTAAAATGTGAGGGCCTTGCCTATGGCCCTGACGACCACTAGAAGGATTGGGGCCCTTGGCTGAGGAAAGGTTTCCCATCCTTTATGCAAACCCAAACAAGGTTGACATGATCCTGATAGTCTCCTTTGAAGCTGCATGCAGTTTATATGCAAGAGATTGCCTCTTTGAAACCTTAGGAAATGTTTCCCTTTCCATGACGCCAATGACTGTCTCTTTGGCCTTGGCCAAGGTACTTTTCTTCCTGTTTCATTTGCCACATCACCTCATCCTCACAACTCCCACCTGTTTAAGAGGATTCCCTGTCAAAGCTTGTGAAGCTCTTTGAAGTTTAGAAATGCAAATTATAATGATTAATGCGGGTTGATCTCTCTTAGCTCTGCTGCCTCCCCAGGGCACCAGTGATGACTTGAGGATGTGAGGAGAAAGCTTCTTAAATGGTCCAGGTGGGCAGCTTCTGAAATTTTAGCCCAGCCCCAAGAGGAGTGGAGGCGACTGCACCACTGCTGAGATTAGGGGTGATTTTGCAGTTCTCTGAATTTCTCCCCAGATTTTTGAATTTCAAATTATTTTATTTTGTTTCAAATTACTTTATTTTGTTTTATTATGTGATATGTCTAAAGTTCTCCATTCTTCCATTAAATACACAGAGACACACAGGGCTCTTTGCCCTCTCTCTCAACCCCACCCACCTCTCTTGCCAACTTCCCACCTTCCCACCTCACCCCAAACCCACACAGCTCCTTCTGGCCTGGGCAACCCCCCCCCCCAAGCTCCTGACATCCCTCCAGACACCCTCCTGCCATTCCTTCCACACACAGCCACCCTTGGCAGCATGTTTCATCCCTCCCCCACTGACACCCCACTTCTTTCTACCCTTCCACAATTACAGCTCCTTCCATTTGCTGCAGGCAAATTTAATAGTGGGGGGGGGGGCAGGTGCTTTGCCTAGCGAACTGCTGACCTAGTGGGCAAAGGGTCTTCCTGCCCATCCATTAAACTTCACTGCCAGCACATTTAATGTTTCTACACACACACACACACACACACACACACACACACACACACACACCATCCTTCATCCAGGCGAGGAAGAGGCAGGATCAGAGTTCAAGGCAGACACAAACACTCAGGGAAGGTATTACATAAAGGTGGGAGAGTCCTGAGGGCCAGGTAGACTTGGTTCCCCCCCCCCTACTTTTTGCCCCTGGGCTTGAGACTTCCCACCCCTGATTTATACCCTGTTGTTTTGGAGAAAATGGAGCTGGCTTTTTTCAAAAAAAAAATCGTTTGTTTTGATTTATTTAAAGTGTTTATATATGGTGTTACAAGGCAGCTTGCAGCAAATCACAATCTAAAACACACACACTTATAAAATCCAGTATTTTGCAGGTGAAGTATTTATTTATTAGATAATTAATCTCTCCCACCTTCATTACTGCTGTTTCCAGGGCTGCTGGCATCATATCTATTAATTTAATTAGGGCATATACAAGGAGAACCAGTTTTATCCTTACAGCAACAGATAAAAATGTGAGAAACTGAGAGAGCTGCTGCCAGTCAGAGTGTACAGTATTGAACAAGATGGACTAATGTTTACAAACATGCATACATACACTGAGGTGAAATGTTCGTTAAAATGTATATATTTGTGAAAATAACATATAAAAATGCATCGTTTTATGATAAATTTCTCCCCACTCCCTCGCACTAAGTCCAAAGCATATTTGGATGGTGGGAATCTCCCAAGTGTGCCCCAAGTAGCCAAGACTTCTTACTGCTGACCACGTTATCCAGAATGACAACCCTCCTGCAAACACCTGTAGCAGGTGATGCTCAGATATTAATACCAGCTTGGGGGGAAAATTACATCTTTCCTAGAAAACACATAATTTATCTTAAAAACCATTGTAAACTGCTAAAGTCATTAGTTGGGTTGGAATAACATCTGCAGTTTAATGCTGAATTTTGGATATAATGGAGATGTAAAAGATTTGGATGCAGGAGGAAACGGTTAACAAAAAGGCCCACAAAGGTGAGGAGGGAAGTTCAGAAGATTCTTTGGAATCTTGTTTTTATGTTGGTTGTTGGGCAATTGATTGTAAAACTTTAAACTGAAAAACTAAATAATTTTTTAAAGACCTCCAGCAGCTGTTAAAATGCAAAGAAGAAAAAAGAAAAATCACCTCTTTCCTGGGAAAGGGAAATGTTTTTCATGGTTTGAAATAGCAATGCCTGATGCTTCAGAAACTTCAGATAGCAGTTTCTTTTCCTTATGATAAAGCAGAAAAGTCCTCTTGGGCCTAACCTATCTCAAGAGAGGTACAAAGAGAGTGTAGCAGAAGCAACATCAAGATAGGTTAAAAACAATTTACATAAGTGGATCACAGCCTCATCTGTGGGGATAGTATATCTAGGGCATGGGTAGGCAAACTAAGGCCCGGTGGCTGGATCCGGCCCAATTGCCTTCTCAGTCCGGCCCACGGACGGTCCGGGAATCGGCGTGTTTTTACATTAGTAGAATGTGTGCTTTTATTTAAAATGCATCTCTGGGTTATTTGTGGGGCACAGGAATTCGTTCACCCCCCCCCCCACAAAAAAATATAGTCTGGCCCACTACAAGGTCTGAGGGACGGTGGACTGGCCCCCTGTTGAAAAAGTTTGCTGACCCCTGAATTGTACGGCATAAAATAATGCCCAGTTAAGACTCCTAAAGCACATTTGTGCCTTTGGTAGCCAAAGGAACTGCAATACTTGGCGTTTACCAGGGACAGATCCTGTTTTCAAGGAGGGATATTGACAGAAATACAATACAATACAAAGAAATACAAGCACATCCTCCTTTGTGGAAATAAAAAAAAATGGGCATAAAGCAAGGTCCCAGTAGAACTGCCAATGTGTATTTATTCTCTTGGTGGTGAGAGGAACTTCAGCTTGTGGTATTTACCAGGGGCAGGTAAATCTTTTGCAGGTTAATTACCGCTTGGGATATTATTGTTATTGTTATTATTATTGAGGGGGATTAAAGTATTTAGTTAAACTGCACAAGGAACCCTTCCACTGCCATCCCATTACTGCTTTCCAAACAGTAAATGTTGATGAATGTCATTTGAATTTCAGCAGCTAGTCCCTAAGAAGTACAAGATCCACGGTGAGATTACAAACATTCTGCTGTGCCACCTGGGCTTCCTTTTCTCTCAGACTCTTGGAAGTTCTGGTCTGTGGGAACTCAGATGCGTGCATGTCCTGATTAACCCAGATTATGAGACATGGAGTCTAGCAGAGAATCAGCTCTGTGACTGAAGCCACCATTTTGCACCTGGTTCTAGTTGGTGGATTTCAGGGTTCCAGTGAAAAACAAATAAGAGCCTTCTGCCCGCACCTGGACATACAGGTGTCCAACATCTGCCAGATTATCTGCTTTATAACCATCCTGACCAGACATAGGGTCAAGGCAGGTCAGTGGTTGCAGCACCATGGATAGCTCCAAGCAGGCAACTTGCTTCAACAAAGGGTCATGATGGTGAACTGAGACCTTGTTCATCTCTTCCACAGTCTCCCAAGGGCCTGAATGTTCTGGTTCCTAAAGGGCCAGCCCCATTGCCTGGAATATGGTTGCTTCTTTGCCCTTTTGAGAGCTCTGCCTGGCATGCTTACTGTGCTGTTGGGTGAGACTCAATTCCTCGGATGAGCCAAGCTCAAGTGTAGGCATCTGTGATGGTTCTGATTGAGGATTCTGGCCACCAGTCTCAGGTCCTGTGGGTTTCGAACCACCAGCATCAGGGGGGTGGAGCTGGATTCAGGGGGTGCTTGTTAAAGGGCCCTCTGGAGAACCCCTGTTACAGGGGTGAGGAACCTTGCTCAGTCTAGGGGCCACATTTCCTTCTGGGCTACCTCCTGTGGGTTACATGCCAGGGTTAAAAGTAGGTGGAGCAATATCTTCTATCCAAGCAAGCAAGCAAGCAAGCAGGAGGCACTATCAATGTTCAAGACATATTCCAGCCAGGCAAAATGTGTGCTCTGGAGAGAATTCTAAGGGTAAGACAGAGAGGCCCTGAGGTTCCCTATCCCTGCCTTGTTATATGAGCTGGCCAGCTCTTCTATTTATGATCCACCAGATCAGCCAGAACAGACCTTGCCAGGGTGCTGAGGTCCTGCCACCTGCCCAAAGTGGCCATGGACCGAAGCCCCCTTCCCCTTCTCAGTTTTGGAATTGAAGTCCCACCCCTCTTGTCTTACATTTCCATTTTCCTGACTGTGGCTGGGGTCGAATGAGATTTGCCCAGAGGGCAGACTGTGGCTGGGGTCGAATGAGATTTGCCCAGAGGGCAGACACACACACACACACACACACACACACACACACACACACAACACAATTTCTCCCCCCCCCATTAAAAACAGCCTCTAAATTAGGGGTGGGAAAACATTTTCAGCTGTGGGGTGGTCTGTCTGCCACTGGTGGGCAGGGCCAGAGATGAAAGTGAGTGGAACGTTGGCAGAAGTGTGCAAGGCAACAGAGGGAACATTTGTAAAGTAGCCATACTTCTCTCATACACCTCCTTCCAGGCACACAAGAGGCATTATCACAGTCAAGGCACATAACCCAGCCAGGTAAACCCACTCAAGGAGGATGCAGCATAGAGCAGTGAGGGCACGAACTGGAAAGAGTCCTGAGGGCTAGGTAGAGAGGAATGGAGGGCTGCATTTGAATCTAGGGGCTGAAGTTCCCCATTCCTGCTGTCAGCTTCCAAATCTCAGGGGGACTTTATAGCCAGTCTCCAGTCCAGTGCAAGGAATTGGGATTGTGTGCCCATGTGTGTGTGTGTGGGGGGGGGGTTAGGAGAGAAAAGAAATGAATTGCCCACGTCACGTTTAACAGCATAGAAATCTCTATGGCATTCAGCAGAAAAGGAATGTAACCCTGAAACAATCAACCAGATTTGGAAAGATCGAAACAGCCCTGGGTGCATTCATGCGCTGTCAGTGTGTTTGCATGGGACATTGTTTGCAGACAGCAACATGCAATGTTAGCAGAAAGTCTGATCAGCCAGCCTTCCCCCGCCCCCAAATCAGGCAGAATGTGACTGTTTTGCTTTTGGGTGCTGCCCAATCCAATATTGCCCCAGTCCCTTAAGATCATTCCGCATGTTACCAAATTCCCATTTGCAAGGTAGGTTTAACCAACAGATATGACAGGCCTACTTGCTTATCCATCTTATTGTTACATGCAAGATGATTCTCTGCCTCAGGATTCAGGAATGGCTTTTAGCTCAGTGACAGAGTGCATGCTTTGCATGCAGAAGGTTCTAGGTCCATTCCTTGGCATCTCCAGGTAATTCTAGAAAAAAGCACTCTGGCTGAAACCCTGGAGAGCCTTTGGTCCAAGGGTGGTTTAACAGTCAGTTCTTCCTCCCAGGGAATTCTGGGGATTGTAGCTTTGTGAGCACTTTTAGCACCTTAACCCAACCCTGGTTCCCAGGAGGGGTTTTTTGGGGGGTGGGGTGGGAGCCATGATATGATACTGCTTTAAATTTATGGTGCAGATGGTGCCAACATTAGGTTCCACCTTCCTGACCATTGCCCAGGCTGACTATTGCTGATGGGAGTTGGAATCCATCAACATCTGGAGGGCTGCAGGTTCCCTTGCCCCTGACTTAATATGCGCAGTAAAAGTTTGTCAATATAACAACAGTTAATAAAAAGCAGATTGAAAGAAGTATGTCTTAAGTGGGTTGAGCAAACGACCAGGGATAGGACTTGTGGCAATAACAAGGAACTGCCAAATGTCAGTGGGTTGCTAACAGTACATTGGGATAGGAATTGCAGAAACTGTCTTTCCTAAATTGCTTCAGTTTTAAACCAGCAACATTCTTTTGCCTCTGCTAACCAAAAGAGTTAGGAGTGGGTTGGGGTTAATTAGGTTGAGATCCAGAGCTAAGGATGTGTCAGTGGCCTTAGACTCAGTCCTCTTCCCATATGGAGTTTGTGGTCATTGGCCTGTTTTACAGGGCTGTTCAGAAGGGTTACTGAGGTAATATCTGTTTAAAGCAGCTTTTGTACATGTTGGGAAAGCAGGGAAGATATTTCGGAATCTGATGCTTTTGTTGGTTAAAAAGATTCCCCATTGTTTTTTAACTTCTGGTATGTCAACACTGACTTAAACGGTTCTCATCTGCTTGGAAACTTATCTACTTCTTCTATTCTCTCTAAACTAGGGTGAGAACTTGATGGAGGTTGTAGGTGACATGCTTTTTGAGGATTCACCCTGTTTTGTTTGCATGGGAATTAGATAGCATTGGCTATTTTATGGGAATTCATCCTGATTTGTTTTTGGAGAGGTTAGATGGCGTTCTGTCAAAGCAAGTGTTATCATGAACTTCCAGTGCACCCCCCCATCACTTTCCTTATGGCAAAAAGTACAGGCAGTGTGGTGTAGTAATCAGAGTGCTGGAAAGGCACCTGGGAGAATAGTGTTCAAATCCCTGCCCCCCTGCTCAGCCATGAAGCTCACTGAGTGGCCTTGGGCCAGTCGCTGTTTCTCGGCTTAGCCTACCTCACAAGGTTGTTGTGAGGATAAAGCGGGGTATGTGGCAAAATGTCCATGCCTCCCTCAGCTCCTTAGAGGAAAGGTGAAATATTATAAATGCAATAAAATGAATAAAAACAAAGACCTCCCAACCCACTGTAATGGTGCACGTCAAATTTGCCAATACATGCCTGAACCCCGCGTGAAAAGAGAAACAACGTGAAAGTGTTCTTAGTCCAGGGAATGGCCAGGAATATTGAAAATCTGCCATTCAACCAACAGTTGCAGACTTAGGTAAATCAAAAAAGCAGTTAGCAGTGATGCTTGCTCCCAGGATTGTGAGTGACAGCCTCTGCTAAGGGTTCTGAGACTAGTGAGCGGGTGCTTAGGGGCAGAATTTCCAGCCCCAGCTTCTCATAGCTCTCTCCCTTTCTTTCCCAAAATATTGCAATCCCGGCTATTCTGCAAACTACCCTCCTTCTCACCTGCTCTGCTCTGTGCTGCTGGACAGAGCTGCACTGAGCAGTGTTGGCCATTGTCTGAGTCAGTCTTGCTGCTAATATTGGATGTTCCAAATGTGGAGAGGGGGTAGATTTCCCCTGTTGTCCTGTTACGCCCTCTGAAGCTCTGTGTGGCTGTGAGAAACAGGTGGTCCCTGACCCCCTTCCTCACCTCTGGCTCAGTGTGGTGCAATGGACTGGACTAAGACCCGAGAGATACCAGGGTTTACATCTCCAATTAGCCATGAAGGTTTCTGGGTGATTTTAGACCAGTCACAGCCTCTTAGCTTAGCCTACCTCACAAGATTGTTGTGAGGATAAAATGGAGTGGGGGCAGGGGGGAATCCATATTGAGCTCCTTGGAGGGATAGTGGAATATAAATCTAATAATAAATAAATGTATACAATTGGATTGCTATCAGCACTGGCCACAGATTCTGCTGCCTTGAGTCAGTATATTTTCCAGCCTCTATGTCAGAATATGCCCTAGAAAAAATTTCCTTCCACTTCTGTTGGCACCTATACATCCCTTTCAGCCATTTCAAACAAAACACCTTTAGCACTGCAGTCAGTGTCCTCAAGGCATTTTCCACCTGCTGGCCTCACAAGAAGATTATCCATGTATCAGGAAAGGTGGTATAAATGTAATAATCAAAAATAAATTCCAGGATGTCACCCTCACCAGAGGGCAATGGAATACAGTGGTACCTCGGGTTACATACACTTCAGGTCACATACGCTTCAGGTTACAGACTCCACTAACCCAGAAATAGTACCTCGGGTTAAGAACTTTGCTTCAGGATGAGAACAGAAATTGGGCTCTGGCAGCGCAGCAGCAGCAGCAGCAGCAGGCCCCATTAGCTAAAGTGGTGCTTCAGGTTAAGAACAGTTTCAGGTTAAGAACGGACCTCCGGAACGAATGAAGTACTTAACCCGAGGTACCACTGTACTAGCCAAGGCAAGGGTGGTGACCAGAATTATGAGACATATTTTATCATATATGCTAATAGTTAAGTTTCCCACATGTGGATCCTTATGTGGACAAAATGGCACCTGCCACACACATACCACAGGAGAGATATCAGATGTACAAACAACTTTTTTTTAAAGCACTAAGCATAGGGGACCCCCCTCTCAAACAGCCAGTGAGGGTTGGGCATGCCCAATAGAATGCTGCCTGGTTGGTTTTTTTGGCAGGTTGTGATGGGGGAGGAAAAATAAAGCTACAAGTGAAATAGAGTATCCTGGAAAAGAGTATGGCTGGCGGGCTGGAACCCTGACCAGGAGTACTCTGCACAGCAACAGTTTCTTGCAGCTCCCACTTGTATGTTCAGATGTCCTTTTTTCACTGCAGAAGGCTCCTCCATTACAGCCATAGGAAGATTTTGGGTGCCCTGGTGGTATTTGAAATATGCCCTTGAAAACATTCCCTCCTCCTCCTCCTCTTCTTCCTGCATTATCAGTCAGCTATGGGTCAATCAGTCAGTCTTCCTTCACCTACTCCTTTCCCCTGTTTTAACGCTGTTGCATCCAGTCCATGCATATTTTTATTGACATCTGTGCTTTGACTACTGCCTGCCTGATATTAATTAATAACATCACTGAGAGTCTGTGTTTTCGTACTGTATTATTTATGGAAGCGGCAGCATGTAATGCTGCACAGCTGATTAATGCCACATGCATTTTTAATATACTCTTCTTTTTTTAAGTTGTGTGATCTCTGCTAAGTGTGTGTGCTGTGTGTTTTGTCACCATTGATGTTCCCGGTTTGTTCCACAACTTAAACCTTTAGTTCTACAGCTCCCTTTAATCAGTTCTCCCTCCCTTCTCTGAGCAAACTTTAATCCATTTTTCAGTATTCAGGCCTCTCTCATTGTTTTTGTCACTTTCAACAGTCACCCTCTGCTTCTCCAGACGAACTGTTTGTTAAGGATTCTTCCTGATTTATTTATTCATTTATTTTTGAATAATTTTTGTGGGAATGTTAGTTGATGCCAGATATTTATGGAGTATTCAATCTGACTTCTTTGTGGCGAGTGAGACGGTGCTTTGCTGAGCATGAGCTCTGCCAAACTTTCCAGTACATTTCCCCCATCGATTTCTTTATTGTGAAAAGGCCAAGGGGTTATTTTGGTTCAAGGAAAAATAATAGGTGTAAAAGGAGAATCCCCTGGGTGCCAAGATCCAGGTTTGGGGGCAAGTACTCTTTGGCGAGAGTACTCTTTCTGCAGAGATTTAAAATCACAAAACAAGCAGAAAAGCAAAGTGTGGGAATATAAGAGCCACGTGGTCTAAGCTTAGAGAAACCAGCCCACACCTCACACGTTGAGCTATTCAGGTAGACTGGAAGAGAACAAAAAAGCTTGATTATCTATGTTATGCAGGGCAGGGGGAAGAGGTCTCCTCACTGCACAAGAGCGCCAAGTCAACTTTCATTGTATGACCTAAATTTGCCAGTATGTGACCAGGTCTCACCAGACACTAGCAACAGCAGGGGTAGTCAACATGGTGGTCTCTGGGTGTTGTGATCTGGAATTCCTGTTGTATGCTGGCTGGGGTTGACTGAAGTTGTAGTCTAAAATACCTGCAGGGTACCACACCGGCTACCCCGCATTTGGAACTCCCTCCCTGGAGAAGCCAGACTGTCTCTCTCCTTGTTGTCTTTCCGCTGGCAGGTGAAGACCTTCTTGTTCCAACAGGTTTTTGGAAACTGAATACTTTCAATGAAAGGGCTGGTGCCATGCTGTTCTCATTGTAGTTATTTGCATCCTGTTTTAGGGAGGTAGGTAGGTAGGTAATTAAATAGATGATGATGATAGATAGATAAATGGATGATAGATAGATAGATAGATAGATAGATGATAGATAGATAGATGATAGATAGATAGCAGATCAATAGCTAGATCAGATCTCATTTCAATATACTGAAGGCAGTGCTCTTAAAGTCAATAGCTGATGAGGTTTAAAGGGTAACAGCCTGGGTTTCCTAGGGGTTCCCCCCTTTCTTTCTGAGTTTATCTGATTTGGGGAAGTATGACAGAACCACATTTAAAAAAAAATATTTGAGAAAATAATTTTGCTTCATACTTTAATTCACTGTCTCATTGGTTTGCCGATCTCCATAGTAAGCACCCAACAGATTAAAACTGGTTTTGGCTTTACAGAAAGGTAGTAAATTAACAAGGAAGTTTATGCTGAAGACTAAGACTTAAAACTTTTCTATGCAACTATGCCTCTCTCTGCAGAGTAGTTTTAAAAACTGTCACTTGTGGATTCATGTGAGCTATTTAGATGGCCCGGTGTGACTTCTCACGCACATCCCAGCCTTTTAAAGGTTTACAACCTGGGTGAAATTAACTTGTTTCATAAACAATAACTAAAGACCATTATGTTTTCTCTAGCAACACACATTACAGAACTGTTCTTTGAAAAGCTCTGCTATGGATTTGTTCTAAAAGCTTCATCCAGTGTAGCTGAATGTGGGAAGATTTCAGGACAGACGAAAGAGAGAATTCACACAGCACATACTTAAGCTGGGGGATTTTGCCTTATGGCCACTGGCCACTGACTGGGATGGCTTTGAAAGAGGGCTGGAAAATTCATGGAGGATAAGGCTGCCAGTGGCTGCTAGATGCAGCGGCTACATTCTAACTTCAGCACTGGAGGCAGTTATACTTCTGAATACCAGTTGCTGGGAATCACAAATGGGAAGGGCACTGTTGTACAGTGGTACCTCAGGTTAAGAACTTAATTCGTTCTAGAGGTGCATTCTTAACCTGAATCTGTTCTTAACCTGAGGCACCCACTTCAGCTAATGGGGCCTCCCACTGCCGCCGCTGCGTGATTTCTGTTCTCATCCTGAAGCAAAGTTCTTAACCTGAGGTACTATTTCTGGGTTAGCAGAGTCTGTAACCTGAAGCATCTGTAACCCGAGGTACCACTGTACAGTGGTACCTCGGGTTACATATACTTCAGGCTACATATGCTTCAGGTTACACACTCCACTAAGCCAGAAGTAGTGCTTCAGATTAAGAACTTTGCTTCAGGATAAGAACAAATCAGGGTCTGGCGGTGCGGCGGCAGCAGGAGGCCCCATTAGCTAAAGTGGTGCTTCAGGTTAAGAACAGTTTCAGGTTAAGAACAGACCTCCAGAACGAATAAAGTACTTAACCCGAGGTACCACTGTACTTGAGTCTTGCTTGCAAGCTTCCCGTAGGAATCTTCTTGGCCACCATGAGAATAGGAGTTTGGACCAGATGGCCTCCTTTGGCCTAATCTAGCAGGGTCCTTCTGGTATTCTTCTTATGTGACATTGGGTACTTTGGCTTCTTTCCCCCATCATTTTCGCATTGTAATCATCCTCAATTGTTCCTTATTGTCCTCCATTTTGAATATCATTTTCTGGGTCTCCATAATGCACAATCAGGGGCACTGAGTGGGTCTCCCACTCTTATGCACCTCTGTTGTGTCGCTCTTCCTACCTATTTTGTATGTGAGAGAAGTATTTATTTCTTTTATTTCCAGCAGAACCCTATATTTGCTGACTCAGAAGTAAGTCCTATTGAGCTCAGTGGGGCTTATTTCCAGGTTGACGTGCATAGGACTGCTGGTATAGAATGCCTTTAATGGTTTTCTAGGTGTATGCCAGCATAAATTAGAACAAGGCAAGGTGTATTATATACCGTAATAAGGAGAGAGATGTGACTGCATTTATGCTGTACCTTTAAAGCATGCCTATGTCATTTAACCTCCATGGCTTCCTCCAAAGAATCCTGAGGACTGTAGTCTGTTAAGGATGCCGACCTCAATAAACTACAACATTAACAAATTACAGTTCCCAGGATTCTCCATGACAGTTAAAATGGCTTCCCTTGTTCTCTTAGAATGGCAATGGCGCCTACCTGAGAAGTACCAGAACTGAGCTGGTCAAAACCCTGAATATCAGTCTTTTGGCCCTTTGCATGAAAAATGTGTGTTCTGCCACTGGGCTGTGGGATTTCCCCCATCAGTAATGCATTCAGGGCTGCAGCCCTGGGTCTTTTGTTGCAGGTTCTTGCTCTCCTGTATCTTTCATCTGGTGAGTACACTGCAAAAATCCGGTGCTGGATTTTGCACCACCTTAATTGCCCAGAGGCACTTATATACCTATCGATCAGCATATGTCAGTCTTGTGCAAATCGGTGTCATGGGCCTGTGCCCTGGAGTCTAAGCACCTAGCATGTCAGGGGTGGAGAACATCAGACTTGGGGCGAGTCCCACAGGGTGGGGGCAACCTGCTTCCCTCTGGCACTGAGAAATCTCCCGAGGCCACGCCTGAAGTCTGCATCCCTGCCAAAGTGCTTTTGCCTGGCTTGAATGTGTCCCTTGAACTCTGTTCGTGCCTCTTTCTTGCCTGGAGGAAGGACAGGGAAGGGTGTGTTCCTACTATACAAAAGGCAATATTTACATTTTGTGATTTGCTCACTTACACCTCTGGCCCCGCCCACCCATGGCACGTGGCCCTTGGAACATTGCCCAGGAGGGAATGTGGCCCTGAAAAAGATTCCCTTTTCAACCAAAACAAACCATCTCTCTTGAGACACGGAACATCTACCCAACTTCCCTTGGACTTCTAGTTCGCCCACTGTTCATAGTTCCTGTTGACACCCATTTGGTGAAATGCCACCCTCCCCACCCAACTGTACAAAAGCCATGCCCCTGAGTATTTTCCTGGGACCCTCCCTAATGGTGATAAAAAACCAGAGCTATCAACGCATCACTGCAGCCATGGAAAAAACCCCAAGGAAGAGTTTGACAGAGCTCCTGTGGGCGGGGGGGGGGCAGAGGAGGAGAGTTGCTATAAATAGGAGAAGAGACTCCAGGGAAGAAACAGGAGATATTAGAAGAAAGAGGGGAAGAAAACCAGAACTGACAAGAGCCAACAGGTCTGTTCTTGTTGATTAATTTGGGAAGCTTTGTTTACAAAAGCACTGGAACAAGAATCAGATCTCTTTCCTTTAGCCCACAGTCAAAAGATTAAATCACATGGCTTTTTCTTTTATACAAAAACAGCAGCAGCAACACATTGGCAAGGTAGCTAACAGGGTGCCTTGTGGATGCTGTTTCACTCCAATTCCCATCAACCCCAGCTGGGGTGGCTAAAGCTGAGGGATGATGGGAGTTGTAGTATAGCATCAGAACAAGCAGCAGCAGTTGAGATTCCGGCATTGCAGGGGGTTGGACTAGATGCCCTTTGGGGTCTCTTCTAACTCTGATTCTACCTGGAGAACACCACACTAGCTACCTCTAAGCATTATGGGAATAAATCTAGGGGCCAAACGAGATGTTGGCGGTCGTGGTGCTGGAAGATAGCAAAAGAAGGTTTTGCAATTACTTACCATCTTCACCTGGCCTCATAGGAACATAAAGAAATTGCATTGTATTGAGCCAGACTATTATTTCATCCAATTCAGGATTGTCTACACTGGCTGGCAACAGCTCACCAGGATGTCAGGCAACCAACCCAACCGGGAGATTTGAGAGACTGAATCTGGAACCTTCTGCATACAAAGCAGTTGTTCCACCACTGAACTGCTGCCTCCTTGTTGTGCAACACACAATGGTTCATTTCCTAAACTGGGAGGGGGAATGGGACAATGAGACATGGTCAGGGGAGGGGGAACTAAGGTGGAGTTGGAGGGAGACATCCTATGAATCGATTACTCGTTCTGCTGTTATGCAGCCCACTAAAAGAATCCTCCTAATATCTCACAAGTGCTGAGCATGTACTTAGAAATAAAATAAAAAGTGTTGGTGTATATACTGTGCTTCATTTATAAAATGGGAAGAATCTGGCTGAGAGCAATGCTTCAAAAGCCCTCATTTGGTCCTGGATTTGTAGCAAATACCTCCGAGTGAAAAGCTGTAGGAGGGTGGGAAGAACACTCTGCACAGATTTTGGCTGCGCTCAGTATTGGCACTCATGCCTTGACACTGGAAATTGAAGGAAATATACGCAGCCCAACATTAGGAAATTGTCTGGCTTGTTGGAGTTCAGGTAGCAACTGGCTCCACTTTCTAAGCCAACATTTTGCACCTTGCTCTGCTTGCTGGACTTCATGATTCCAGTGAAGAAAAAAACCAAAGTAGATCCCCAGGTCTGGAGTGGAATAGAGTATAGGGACATAGGAGGCTTCCTTATGCTGAGTTAGACACCTGAGTCCACATAGTATTGTCCACACTGTCAGTGGCTCTCCAGGCAGCGGTTTCTCCCAGCTACACCTGAAAACACCAGGAGATTGAACCTGGAAGCTTCTACACGCAAAGTAAGGGCTCTGCTGTTGAGCTATGACTATTTTCTTTCATCTGTACATCTACTTGCTATGTGTAACTCTGTCCATATGCCACTGGTTTCCTTTCTCCTTGTTACAAGCAGTGCTATTTTTCTAGAAAAAGAGGTGCTGGAACTCACCATGAACACCTCCTTCGTTCTCTTAGAATGGCAATGGTACCTACCTGAGAGGTGACGGAACTGAATTCTGGTGAGTTCCAGCTGAAAAAAAGACCCTGGTTACAAGTGTGGACTTTCTGCTGCTCCTATGAATCCATTTCCTTAATCTGTACTCTGTTACTACATCCTGCTTTTCTTCTCTTTCTGAAGATGGTAGGGAAAGCAACAACACTTGGAGAAGGGACCTAGCAAGGACTAAGATGACTCTTAGTCTAGCAAGCGGGAGGAGGAAAGATGTGAATGGAATATCCCATTCCATGCATTCTGTGGCCAAATGTGTGGTGTCTGCATCTGAACTTTTCCACAGTGCCTTCAAGAGGACTTCAGTTCTCACTCTGCTGACCTGAAATGGTAGGACAATGATAATAACCCCTCTCATAAATACTTTAAAACATGTGCTGCAGGCAGTGAACAGGATGGACAAGGTAACCCAGCCCACTCCCTGGAGACTTTGTGACAGCAGAGAGTTTGTAGCTGGAACATGACGAAATGAAGTAAAATACTAGTAACTTGAAAAACGGGCCTGCCTCCTGACCTTGTAGAATAGGGGAACCTGAAACCTTCCAGAAGTTGATGGACTCCAATTCCCATTATTCCTGACTGTTGGATGGGGCTGATGGAAGCTGGAGATCAATAAATCTGGTGGGCCACAGGTACCCCAGCCCTTCCTTAAACTGTGGTTAATGTTAGCTGTGTGTTTAAACAAGCCAGCTTCATAACCTAAAGGGTTGAAGTTGGCTTGTTAAAACAAAACAAAGCAACAACCCAAAGTTTACCCATGGTTCAGATGACACATCAAACTGTGGTTAAGCAAAAACAGCAGGAAAAACTTCTGATCTCCTCATGACTATGCTAGCGGGGGCAGGGCTGTTCAAGCTGAGGCTTCCTGAGGTTCGTTCTTCTCATGTTTAAATGATGTACAGTGGTACCTCAGGTTAAGAACTTAATTCGTTCTGGAGGTCCGTTCTTAACCTGAAACTGTTCTTAACCTGAAGCACCACTTTAGCTAATTGGGCCTCCTGCTGCTGCCGTGCCACCGGAGCACGATTTCTGTTCTCATCCTGAAGCAAAGTTCTTAACCTAAGGTACTATTTCTGGGTTAGCGGAGTGTGTAACCTGAAGCGTCCGTAACCTGAAGCGTATGTAACCCGAGGTACCACTGTATAGAACATTAGCCAATGTGGTTTCCCCCCAGATATTGCTGGACTCCACTCCCATCAACATAAGTCATTGCCCATGCTGATTGGGGCTGATGGGAGTTGAGAATCCAGCAGTTCCTGGAAGGCCACAAGTTCCACATACCTTGTTAGAGGGTTGAGTTAAAAACTGGTGTAAGTCTGTCAGCCTGAGAAGATTCATTGTCTCCATTAGGGTTGCCACATCTTGCTTTTAAATGTAGTGTCCCCTAGCAAAGCCCTTATCTCTATTTCCCCTTTTTCTTATCCAGCAGATCAGTACCATACCAGCATATGCTGCAAATCTCCATAATTACTGGGCAGTTAATTTTTCTGAGGCTCGCTGCCTCTGTCCCAGGTTTTTATTTTTTTTGCCTTACAGGATGCCTCCTTGAAATTCCACTAGGGTCAGAGTTCTTGGGGAGGTGGACATAGCTCAGTGGTAGAGCAAATATTTTGCATGCAGAGGGTTGCAGGTCCCGCGCTTCACATCTCTTGTAGGGTGGAAGAGGAAACCCTGGGCAGATATTGCCAGTTTGTATAGAGCCGGGTAGGGAAGCTCAGGCTCAGTGGCTACGTGCAGCCCCTGGGACCTCATATCTGGCCCTTGTGAATCTTCTCGCAACAAACATTCCTCCACAGTCATATCTGCTCTTCCCAGCAGATACCGTGCTTCACACCCTCCTTGAGTGTTTTTGCCTAGCTGGGAAGTATCCTTGGATTCTGATCATGCCTTCTGTTTGTCTGGATGGAGGATGAAGAGGGGTGTGTGAGTGTATGTAGAGAAGGTATTGTACCAAGGTAGCATTCACATTCATTGCCCCACCCACTTTTGTCTCTGACCTCACCCACCCCTGGCATGCAGCCATTGGGCTGAAATCTTCCTCACCTGTAAGAGGTGAGCCAGCAGTAAATCACACTGTGCAAGTTGGAGTTAACTCTTTATTAGCAAAAACCAGATCTGAACAGGAGTGTCAGGCATAATGAGCAAAGGTCTTGCCCCCATGAAGCAGTTGTGGAGACTGAAGGTCTCTCCTCTCCTGGGTTTTCCCCAAGCACTCTGAGACTTCACCTGTGTGAAGCTAACTTCTCTGCCTGCTTCATGCCTCTCCTGGTTCTGGGAGACCAGGGTGGAGGAGAGCTTGTCGCAATTGGAGGGGGAGACACCCATGCCTCTTCACCAGCCAAACTCATCTCTGCCTGTTGGCCTCTCTCCTCTCCTGCTTCAGCTTCTGCCTCTGATTCTGCACAGCTCTTTGTCACAGAGTCCCCCTGCTCACTAAGCCCTGTTATCTCTTCAGCTTCCAACACCTCCTCTTCCTAGTCTTCTCCCTCTGACCACTGATCATCATCCCACCACCAATCCCTGGGCCCTGACCTTTCTTCCCTTGGGAGTTCCCCAGCTTGTTCCTGCCAATATTCCTCTGTGTCCAACCAGTCTATGTCATCACTCCTAATGTAGACAATACCAGGTTAGATTGACAAACAGACTTGCTGGCATATGGCAGTTCCCCATATGACGAGAAGAAGCACCATAGCTCTCTGGCAGAGCATGAGCTTTCTGGTCACATGATCCCAGGCTCAATTCCCAGAGCTGCCAGTCATTGTAGACAGCACTAAGACAAGTTTCCTGTGATCTCCAGGGTTCAGCCTCCCTCTCCCGGTCCTGAGCAGTTGACTATCTGGAGGGGGAAGGGCACATGTTTTTTGTAGTGCATGCATATTAAATATTGGAATGCCATGTAGAGCACTTCAAACAGTTGATGTGAGAAAAGGGTAGGGTTGGGTATTCTGGAGGAAATAAGCAAGTAATGGGTGGGGCCAGAGGCAAAAGTGGGTGAAAAACAGATGTGAATCTTACCTTGGTGCAGTAGGCTACATTCCAGCCATGCAAAAACAAAAGTTTTCTCCCTGCACACCCATACACCTTATCATTCAAGCAAGCAAAAACCATGATTGGTGTTCAAGGACACATTCCATGTAGGCAAGAATTCTCATGAGAAGTGCATAGCAGGGCTGGTGAGATTCTCAAGAGCCAGAGAGAGGGTCTGGGTCTCTCCCCCACCCCACATCCTTGTTCCACCACTCATTTCATTCCAGGAGGGCTGTGATAGTTAGCAGGGTCAGCACTTGTTGCATACGGGAGCAGCAGCAGGATTTTCTGGGCCCAGTACACACTTGGGCTCTTCGGTCCACTCGCAAAAGAGGGCACAAGCCTTTGCAAAATCTGCACATGCTTTGTGCATTATGCAAAATCATGCCCTCTTGCTGAAGGGTTGGAAGTAGAGTTTGGAAATGGTTGGGGGGATTCTCTCCATACCATGTCCCCTCCTAAACCACACATCCTTCTCCAGAGGACACCCCCCTCACTGGCACAGCTTTTTATTGCCCTTGTATGGTTTTCCTGGCTGCAATCTGCCCATGAATTCTGAAAATGATTCCTGCTCTCCTGGATGTATGGTAGGGAGGGATGTGCAAGTGCATGTAGAACTAGTTTGCCGTAGAAAGGTAAAATTAGTATTGGTTGCTCTTCCAGCTTTTGCCTCTGACCTTGCTCACCACTGACCCCCACCGGAAGGTTACTCAGGAGGCAGCATGGCCCTTGGGGTGAAAAATGTTCCCCATCACCTCCCTGGTCAATGTTACTAACATTTCAAACCAAAACAAAGCCACTGTGCTGGATGCAAATAGATATCCACCCTCACATCTGCTTCACCCCCTAGTTTACACAAAAGCACCAATTCACAGTACCCACAGGGCTTGACTCTGTAGCATCACTTAAGGCAGGGCTTGCCAATGTGGTGCTCCTCAGGTTGGAGGACTGCAAACCCCATCACCCTTACTATTGGCCTTGCTGGCTGAGGTTGATGGGAGATGGAGTCTGACGGCCACCGAAGGACATCACGTTGGCTGCCCCTGACTTAGAGGACCAGTCCTGTGCAGCTTTTTCAGTGCAGCCCTGAATTACTCAGCTGCTCCCACCTGCCCTCCAACAGCAACACAAACTGGAAAACCTGAACCAGTCTAGAAGGCACCTTCTGCATCCATCAGTAGCAGCACTGGCAACCAGATCTGGTAGGGTGGCAAGTGAGAGCATATGGGCTCCTTCAGAGGCAGCCCCACATCACCCTAGCAGATGCTGATGATGCTGATGCTGATCTCTATGAGCAAGACCCATCCTTCGCAAGATGGGAGCATGGGAAGCTGCCTTATACTGAGTCCACGCAGCTCAGTATTGTCCACACTGACCAGCAGAGTAGAGCGTGTTGAATATTTCAGTTTACAAATTCCCAAAATGGGGGGTGATAAAACATTGTAACATGAATTTGAAGGATATTTTGGTTAAATTAATATAATTTAGTTTTGCTTGGTAAGTAAAATGTGTGTAAAATTGCACAGATATCAATAAAAATGATTGCCAAGTACTTGTGGTATTATTATTATTATTTAGCATTACCTGACATTTTCAGAAGGTAAAATTAAAATTCTTTGTTTTCAGAAAGCAGTTGATGTGCTTTTTCATCAAACATAGGTTTATCAAGTTAAATGTTGTCCAATCACCAAAAAACCAATAGATTGGAATTCCTCAAACCCAGAAGAAATTTGCAAAAATTAAGCCCCACCCCCTAAAAGGACATGCCCTACTGGCAAAGGCTCATCAGGGTTCCAGACAGGACATCCCTAGCCTCACCTGGAGATGCCATTGAGGGTGGACCCTGGAGCCTTCTGTTTGCAAAGCAGGTGCCAAAAGTAGCTGGAGGCTGGCACCAGGCAGCTAATCCAGAAGCATGTAAACAAAGGCGGTCTGCACTGGGCAGAAACACCGTATCTTCAAGGTCAGCCTGGACACCCAAAGTGCTGGCTAAACGCTGGGTTATTCCCAAGCCAGTTCTGGCTCACAGTCTCTGTCAATAAACCCAAGGCTGGCTCCAGATACACACTGGGGGACGGGGGGAGAGTGAGTTAAGTAAGTTCTTTGTGTGATGTCTCTCTCCCACCCCCGCCTGCAAACATCTCAAAATCTCCGACTTCTTGGATGTTTACTACTACTTGAAGGCCTTTTGACATTTTTAAAAATTATCTTTTGTGTCTGCCTGATTGTTTGACTCTCCCCCTCACCTCCCAGCTGTTCTTTTTTCAAGAGGCTTGTTTGTGCCAAGAGAAAATAAATTCCAAAAATGAACTAAGGGATAAATAAAGAGGCAGCCAAACTATTCTAAAGAGATCAGGCTAGTGGCTGTTGTTCCTCAAGAGAAGATGTTGTCTGTAAGTCAGGGGGTATCATCTTCCCCATGGACCTGTCAATTTAAATCTTACTTTTGTGGCCCCTTTCATGTTCTCCCTCCTTCTAAAGTTTGGGGTCATGACTGATACCTGTACAGTGGTACCTCAGGTTAAGAACTTAATTCGTTCTGAAGATCCGTTCTTAACCTGAAACTGTTCTTAACCTGAGGTACCACTTTAGCTAATGGGGCCTCCCACTGCTGCCGCGCCGCCTCATCCTGAGGTAAAGTTCTTAACCCTAGGTACTATTTCTGGGTTAGCAGAGTCTGTAACCTGAAGCGTATGTAACCTGAAGCGTATGTAACCCAAGGTACCACTGTACTGGTATAGGTCTGTAATGATGTGGGCTTTTTGTTTTTTGTTTGTTTGTTTAAGGGAGGGGCCTTTTTAATGAGATCCAGGTGTCTGGATCAGGGAGCTGCTTTTTAAAATTACGGTGGTACCTCGGGTTACATACGCTTCAGGTTACATACGCTTCAGGTTACAGACTCCGCTAACCCAGAAATAGTACCTCGGGTTAAGAACTTTGCTCCAGGATGAGAACAGAAATCATGCTCCGGCAGCGCGGCGGCAGCAGGAGGCCCCATTAGCTAAAGTGGTGCTTCAGGTTAAGAACAGTTTCAGGTTAAGAACGGACCTCCGGAACGAATTAAGTACTTAACCCGAGGTACCACTGTACTACAATACCTCCAGCATAGTGTCACTCACTGTGGAGCATTGTGAGAGATTGAAATGCTGGCATCACCCAGATGCCTGGTGCTAATGCCCTGCATGTGTGGGCTTTCATAGGAAGATGCTTTACACTGAGTCAGACCATTCGTCTGTCTAGCTCAGTATAGTAACTGTGACTGGCAACAGCTCTCTGTGGTTTCCATGACCTACCTGGTGATGCCAGAAATTGAATCCGGGGCTTTCTGCATGCAAAGCTAATTCTCTACCTCTGAGCTACGGCTCATGTGTTTTACCAGAGCTGGGTCAGAGGCATCATCTTGGAGGCATATGGAAAACTTATGTTGACCTTTGGTGTGGCCAAATAGGGTCTTGCAGTAGATGACCCTCGTGGTCCTTTCCAACTCTGCAATTCTATTATTTATTTATTCATTCATTTAACATTTTGCTTATTCAGTTACAGCAGATTCAATAAACCAACCACTGTCAGGTTGGAAACAACAGCATACCATAACGATTATTAAGCAATATAATTCACCATTATCAATCTTAGGACAGATGTTTTTAACTTTTCTTAGGTTCTTATGCCTTGCCCAGCACCTGTTGTGGAGGCCACAGTCAGGAAGATCTGGTTTTTGGTTTTTCCCTTCCTCTCAAGTTAGGCTCCCAAATATGCACTCTTCCAGCAACTCCGAGCTTCTGTTGTCTCCTGTGGCCTAGGGGATGCGGTGGGTGGGGGAAGAATCAGGAATCAAGACAGGGCTTGTGATGGGATCCTTGGGAGGCCTGGGTGACCCTCATCCCTGAAGAGGGGCTCTTCCGACTGCTTTTCATCTACTGCAGGTTCCTCCAGAGCTTTTATGGGAGGAGAGATCTCTGCCAAGGTTCTTCCTCCAAAGAAGCCTCTTCAGAGACTGGGTCAGGTGGAATCTTGATGCCCCCAATGGTGCCTGTCCAGCCAATGTTTTCCCAAAACTGAAGGACCCTGAACAGGGCTGTATCTATGGAGGCAGATGTAGATATCTGAATGATGGCCTCCTTCCCTACGAACCTTCTTGGCTGTTAAGGTTGGGACTTGAGGGTGTGTAGTTCCATTGCTCTCAGAGGTTCAGGAGTGGTAGTGGCCCAGGAAAAGACCTTATGTGGGAGTCCCTGAGTTGTGGAATTTCCTCCCCGAAGAGGTATATGGCACCTTCATCATACAGCTTTTGCTTACACTGGTCTTTGACACTATAGATTGATTGACTGATTGACAGGCTGATTGATTGATTGATTGATTGATCATTCATTAGATAGAACATAGATAGAACATGGAGACAACCCTCCCTATTCTTCTTTTGGTGAATTGTTTTAACTGATTTTAACATTGTATTTTGTACAGCTGTAACCTACCCTAGGGCTTTATGGTGAAGGGCAGGTAAGAACAACAAATATTACTAGTTAGTAACAATAATCATGTCTTGTGAAGGAAGTCGAGGATTTCTTATTAATTTCGGAGGCTTCTTATTAAGCCTCTATTTTCCTCTTTCTTTTGTTTTTAAAGCTGAACTGAAACAAACCAAGCTGCATAATTGATGCAAGCTGCCAAAATTCTGCTTCCACTTCTGCACAATTTGGGTTAGTGGTGCAGAAAATGATTGGTTTCTGGAATAAAAAATAAAAAAGTACTAGATCCTTACCATCCTAGATATGTAGGATCCTGGCCGTTTAGGGCTTTATTTTAGCGTGCGCGCGTGCACACACACACACACACACACACACACACACAGCACAACTTAAATTGCACCCCAATGCTTTAAAGAGGCAGCTGCTGCAATTTCCATTCCCCCCCCCCCGCTTTGCTTTTTCTACAAGCTTTGCAGATCCAGGAGGCGGAGGGGAGATGCCTGGTCTCCAGAGTCCCTCTCTGCCCTCTTTCCAAGTGCTCAGTTTACTGCGTAAAATAGTCCTGGCATTTTTTTGGCACAGGTTCCTGCTCAAGCAGTGACACAGCAAAAAGAAAGAAAAGGGGATGAACGCATTGCAGCAGCTGGCGCTGCTTCTGTCACTGGGCCAGTTGACGTTGAAAGAGGAATGCCAAGTGCATAATTACACAGTGGATGCCCAATACATCTCCATGCCAGCTCCCTGCACGTGTGAGTTGATTGGTGTGAGCTTCCGTCAACGGATGGAGAATCAAAGGAGCTTGTTCGGAATCACATGGCTGGGCAGTATGAAACTGGCATGGCTGGTTTTTCTGGCACTTGGCTGTGTGTCCAAATTTGCTTGGGTAAACATATTGGAAATAGTGTGATCTGCATGGGATTCATTGTTAGGTGAGCAATGCTGTAGAAGGGGACCCCAGGCAAACAGAAGGGCTTTTCGATGGGCCAATCAGCTGAGAGCACCCAGGAAATACCACTCCTGCCTTAGCTGAGGCTGGATGCCTTTTCCATCTCCCTTATGATACAGCTTTACTCCCTCAGTTTTCAAAGGACTTTCGGAAGGAGGGCATGGGGAAATCTCAGCAGGATTCGTGGTCTGGGTTTTCTGTGCGTGACTTAGATGGAGGGAAGGGGTAAAATGTAACCAGGCTTTCGTTCTCCTCCCTAGCTTAGCTCTTAGGGAGAACAGACCTTGAAAGTGTCCCTATTTTCCAGGTACATCCCTGATTTAGAGAAACCATCCCGGTTTCTGATTTGATCCTGGAATGCCCCACTTTTCCTTAGGATGTCACTATTTTCATTGGAGAAATGCTGAAGGCTATGGAGTTATCTGACCCCCAAGCAGTCTGAAGGCAGTAGTGTATAGGGAAGTTAGTGTATAGGGAAGTTCTTTTAAAAAATGTTTAATGTTTAATTATGTTTTTATGTATGTTGGAAGCTGCCCAAAGTGACTGGGGCAATGCAGCCAGATGGGTGGGGTATAAATAGTAAAATAATCATTATGAAATGGGATGTCCCTATTTGGACAATTTGTCCCTATCGGACAAATGTTGGAGGGTATGGGGAGAATGGCTCATTCACCCTTTGTCGAGCCTCCCTTTTTCGTTCTGATTTCTGTTCTGCCTCCTTCCTTCCAGCCACTTTGTCTCCATGTTCCCCACTCATTGGCTTCCATACTTCCTGAAACCTCTTCCCTGACTGCCTTGCCTACAAATGGGGGTTCCATGATCTTCGGTTGTAGCTGTAGACAGGCAGAGCCAACTCTAGTTTTGTCCCCATCCTCCTCCCTACTAAATTATATAAAGGCAGTACAGTGGTACCTCGGGTTAAGAACTTAATTCGTTCTGGAGGTCCATTCTTAACCTGAAACTGCTCTTAACCCAAGGTACCACTTTAGCTAATGGGGCCTCCCGCTGCCGCCGCACGATTTCTGTTCTCATCCTGAAGCAAAGTTCTTAACCCGAGGTGATATTTTTGGGTTAGCAGAGTCTGTAACCTAAAGTGTCTGTTACCTGAAGCATCTTTATCCAATGCTTTGGATTGAATCTAATCCTCTGCTACTCAGAGTATACCCACTGAGGTTACTGGGCATGACTCTCTCTTTTTAAAATGCAGTAAAATGGCTACATACAAATTCAATAAAACACAGAATACAGCACAAAATAACACATAGTGCAACAACAGCAATTCTAACACATTGTGGCTGGTTTTTGGAGTTGCTTTGGGCATGACTTTTTTAGGTTCATTAATTTCTGTGGGTGTACTCTGAGTAGAACTTAGTTGCCTACAACCCCGTAAAGACAGATTTAATAACATACCATCAGTGTTGTTCAAATGCCTTTGCCTAGCTCTGAAATGGTGACAATGCTGGCATCAGACAGGGCCCTCTAGGGAGAGCATTTCATGCCTTCATTGCAATTCAAGGCAAGCTAGATTTATTTTGGTTGCTCAAAATTCTTTTTATTTGCGTGCACCACACTTGAGGTTTAGAAAGAAAAGGAACACCCGGTTTAGCAATATGTTGGAACCAACGGGGTCTCGGTTTTGCTGGAACCAGTTTAGATGACTCATGTTCCTTGTCTTCTCTGTCCTCCTTTTGCTTTGGAAAGTCTTCTTGTTGAGCAACAAAGCAAGGGGACCGGTGAGACTGGGAGTGAAAGCCCTCTCGAACAAGTATTATAGTGGCAGCAGATCAGATAAAAGCTTTCCTTTTCATTTCTCCACACAAGATGATCTCACAAGAGTGCCAGCGGGCTGCTTTAAAAGAGAAAAGAAAAGCTAAAACTGGACTGTTTTCTTTTTCTTTTTTAACCTAGTTTAAAAAACTCCCTGGGCTAGAAACTTCTGTGAATCTTTTCTACATAGAATTGTAAAGTTGGAGGTAAGAACAATGGTCATCTAATCCATCCCCCTGCAATGCAGGAATCTAGAATCTAGAAAAATGGCCAAGACTGAAGTCTGATGAAGGGAACAGGCTGTGGTCAGAAGAACGTCAAGCTGTTCCAGTGCTAGTCCTACTTAGGACCCATTGAAATATATTACTCTGACTAATTTTGGCCTAGTCATTTCAACAGGTCATCTCTGAGTCTGTCTTAGTTGGATACAACCCTTTACTTCATGATTACATTTATATCCAGCTGTTCCTCCATAGCTGTGCACTAACCAACCGCTTTATGCAGGTTTGCATGGGCAGATGTCTTGCCTTGTCTAAGCTCTTGGCTTGCGAGGGGCAGTATGTCATGCCAGACATACTGCAAGGTCAATTGCAGCCCACCCAGCTAAAAGCAACCTGAGTTATTTGTCCCTGCTCATCACCACAAGTAGATCACTTTTATAGAAGGCCTGGTGCTTCTTTATTGGCTGGGATGGTTCAAGTCTTAGGGTCAGATGACGGTTTGAAGGCGCGGAGTGAACCTAGAAGGCATCCATGAGCCACAAAGCCTAAATTTACATGTTTTGCTGGGACAACAAACAAGTGGTGGTGCAGAAAACACAGTGCTGAAGAATGGCTGCTGGTGGGGTGTGTGTCTGGTTTGAGACTCCCTCCACATACCCTATGCGCTTTAGAACCAGTGGTGGTGTAGTAGTTAGGGTGTTGGACTAGGACCTAGGAGACCAGAGTTCAAATCCTCACTTAGCCATGAAACTCATTGGGTGACCTTGGGCTCATCACTGTCTTCTCTCAGCCTAACCTATCTCACCTGGTTTTTGTGAGAATAAGATGGGGAGATGGAGAACTATTTTTGCCACCTTGAGCTCCTTGGAGGAAAGGTGGGAGGATATAAATGCAAAAAATAAATAAAATAAAAATAGTATTTACCACATAGCCTCAGCGCTCTGACCATAGCACTTGTGTTCTTTAGGGCATTGTTGCCCTAAAACAATGATGTGTGGCAGAAAGTAGGTGAATGTGCCCATTTCCCAGCCCCTCTGAAAAGAGATGTTTCAGGGCATTCATCCTCAGGGAGATGTATGAACTCCAGGTGCAAGAGAAAGCTTCTGCATCTCAAGCCTGTAGGGATTCCACTGCCATCCAATAGCAGATGTTCCTTCAGACTATGGCAGATGGGAGAGAAGGGAAGCAGAGCCACTTCCTTGGCTTGGCTGAGGCACCTGCTCTGTGAACTCCTTTCCATTCCATCTGATTGTTAGGAGAACTCTGCAACTAAGGACTGTTGCCTGACGGTTGTGTGTGCACAGTTCTACTCAGAGTAGACCCACTGAAATTAATGACCCTGTGTTAGGAATTTCCATTAATTTCAATGGGTCTGCTCTGAATAGGACTAGAATTGCAAACAACCTCCCTCTCCTCTATCCCAGCATTTCCCCCCTTTTGTGTTATGTCTTGGATTCTAAGCATGAGATCAGACACGGTCTTATTATTGATATTTGTAAGCTGCTCTGGAAACCTGGTTTTTGCCAGGGGGACGGGGCTGAGAAGTGAGATAAAAATGTTTTAAATAAAGTGTGTGTGTGTGTGTGTGTGTGTGTGTGTGTGTGTGTGTATATATATATATATATATATAAGTATGTTATAGCTTGCTTCAGAACAGCTCTATCTGCATTCTGCAGTGCTTTGCTGCATTTGGTTGAGTACAAAAACAGCTGAGATCCTGCTGAATTCTGCCTGCTCTGTTGGCTAGGGACTGTTCCTCTAATTATTTTGCTCAACATGCTTACTTATCGGATTGCCTTATCCCCTTATCGTGTTTGCTGGACTCTCCATTTTCAGTGCTGCTTTTGCATTAATTATATCTGCAACAGAACAACGGGACTTAAAAGCCCACAGTTAATTTATTTAAATGACATCCAGTAGATTAACCTCCTAGGTTTTCGTCTGCAACTTTAAGACTCTGCCTCGGGTAGAGTCAGACTGTCTACCCACACAGCTCATCTGCTCTGACTGGCAGCAGCACTCCAAGATGTCAACTGGATGTCTCTCTTATCCCTTTCTGCTTTCTTTCCAGCAGCAGAGGTCAGGACTTGAACTTGGGACCTTTTGTACGCGTTCTGTGAGCCATAACCCTGCTGGCGAAGGTCCATTTTGAATGCGCCCTTTCAAGAGGGAGTTTGGTTGCTCTGAGATTCCGCATGGATTGACTGTGCAGAAGGCAACCAGTTGTGTTTGGGGGAGGGCCATAGCTCAGTGTGAGAGCATCTGCCTTCCATGCAGAAGGTCCCAGGTTCAATCCCTGGCATCTCCAGGTGGGGCTAGGAATCCCTGGAGAGCCACCAACTGCCTGTGCAGACAATACTGAACTAGATGGACCTGACTCTGTATAAAGGCAGCTTCCTATGTTTCTAGAGCTTCTATGAGCACTTCCATTCATGCAGAAGGTTACAAGTTCAATTTCTGTTGTCTCTGAATAGGGTCAGGTATTACTGTATTTTCCCATGTATAAGTCCCCTATTTTTGGGGACTCCAAATTAAGAAAACACCTCTTAGCACTGCCCATGTATAAGATGAGCCCCAATTTTAAACCATTTTTTTTGGTAAATAAACCCCCTAGTCTTGTACATGGAAAAATACGGTAATCCCTGCCTGGAACCCTGGAGAACCAATCAGTGTAGACAATTGTTGGCACCTATCTGTCTTGAGACAATGGAGTGCATCTCCAGGGATGAAGTCTAACCACTGTGTTAGCAGTATGGAAGTGACCTCTTTGGGGTGCAAGCCTGACAAGGTCCTGGACTGCCCAGATGACCAGACCTTCCTCTCGGCTTTGCTGCTGGGGTGCAAAGGAAAGCAGAGCAAGACGTTTGGCCCCAGCTTGACTGCAGGAGTTGCCAGAAGGAGGCGTTCAATGCTCCATCCAACCATTTTCGGAACGCTACTTAATACTTGTGTAGGGTTTACTCCTTAGCCTTTTCATCTCTCAAATATATCCTGCAAGGCAGTGGAGGTTTAGGATCAGAGTTTTCCTCCTTCTCCCAGATGGGCTACCTTCCCAGGTTGACAAGCCCCATCTGCCCCTCACTTCCCTCTACAGCACCTGCAGAAACCGCCATCTTGACTGTTGGACTCAAAATTAGTCTCGTCTGCTCAATCTGCCAGAGCCTGTCTTTGCATGCAGAGGAAGCCCCTAATTGAAAAAGGGTTTGAGACCCATCAACTACCCTCACCTAGTCTGGCTGGCCAGATGAAACTGTTTCCTGGGGTGTGGTCACTGTTGCATGGTGACAGCTTCTAGAAGCCACAGGGGAGAGCTGAGAGCAGGGTGAGGACCAAAGGTGGACAAACTACCTCAGAAGGAGCATGATGTGTTCTCCACCAGAGGTATTACCCTTCCCCTAACAGCACACGTAGACAGTCCTGAGCTAATTTAACTTGGTATAAGGCAGTGTTCCATGTTGACTCTTCAGCCCCAAACAATTGCCGTGTTCCTCAGGCATTGTTGGGCAAATCCATTTTTGACAGAGTGACATGAGGCGTCTCCTGATGCATGTCCACCTTCAACAGCTTGGATAATCTTTTTGCAGAGCCAGCAGGTGAAAAGTGCCTTGAGGCTGACAGTTTTCTCCTTCCTTCAACACCTGGTCCTGAGTCAGCCTGAAACTGCCACCTGGGTGCTCACAGAAGTGGGAGCAAAGTTTTGCGAGGGCATATGAGCTGGGTCCGTGTCTGCGTGGGTCATACGGAGGCTGAAAAAAATATTGTTATTGTGCTACGCAACTCGAGACCGCTGGTAATTTGACTGCATTGATAGTGATGCAATTTTATCCATGTATTTATTATTAGATCTATATCCCACCATTCTTCCAATGAGCTCAAGGTGATGTACAGTATATGGCTCTCCTCACCTCCATTTTATCCTCACAACAACCCTGTGAGGTTGGGATAGGCTGAAAGACCGGGATTGGTCTAAAAGCCACCCAGCAGGCTTCATGGCTGAATGGAGTTTTAAACCCTGGTCTCTCCCAGGTCTTATTCCAGCAATTTAACCACTGCACCCCACTTGCTTGCTATATAACCCTACTCTGATAGAACTGGGAGCCCACCTGCACTACACATTTAAATCAGCATCATACCACTTTAAAAAGTCATAAGGTAAAGGTACCCCTGACCGTTACGTCCTGTTGTGGACGACTCTGGGGTTGTGCGCTCATCTCGCTCTATAGGCCAAGGGAGCCGGTGTTTGTCCGCAGACAGCTTCCGGGTCATATGGTCAGCGTGACTAAGCTGTTTCTGGTGAACCAGAGCAGCGCACGGAAACGCCATTTACCTTCCCACCAGATTCATCTACTTGCACTTTGATGTGCTTTTGAACTGCTAGGTGGGCAGGAGCTGGGACCGAACAACGGGAGCTCACCCTGTTGTGAGGATTCGAACTGCCAATCTTCTGATCGGCAAGCCCTAGGCAGACCACAGCGCCACCTGTGTCCCTTAAAAAAAAAAAGCAAAGTATTCTGGGAACTATAATTTATTAAGGGTGCTGAGAGTCATCAGGAGGCCCCCTATTACCCTCACAGATCTACAGTTCCTAGAGTGGTTGAACAATCAATCCTTCTTTCCCTCATTGTCCTGTATGGGCCCTCAGTCACCCGTAGGCAATATGGGGATAATAATTCTGCCATGTTGTACAGGTTTAGTTAGTGTTGCCATATGTCCAGAATTTTCTGGACATACCTGGAAAACTGCAGATGGAAGTCTGGGCGAAAATTGTCAAAATGTCTGGGTTGGTAGTGTCGTTTTTGCCAATTTTACTTTGTTGTTGTTGTTTAGTCATTTAGTCGTGTCTGACTCTTTGTGACCCCATGGACCAGAGCACGCCAGGCACTCCTGTCTTCTGCTGCCTCCCGCAGTTTGGTCAAACTCATGCTGGTAGCTTCGAGAACACTATCCAACCATCTCGTCCTCTGTTGTCCCCTTCTCCTTGTGCCCTCAATCTCTCCCAACATTAGGGTCTTTTCCAGGGAGTCTTCTCTTCTCATGAGGTGGCCAAAGTATTGGAGCCTCAGCTTCAGGATCTGTCCTCCCAGTGAGCACTCAGGGCTGATTTCCTTCAGAATGGATGGGTTTGATCTTCTTGCAGTCAATAAGACTCTCAAGAGTCTCCTCCAGCACCATAATTCAAAAGCATCAATTCTTCGGCGATCAGCCTTCTAGCTTAAAAATTTCATTTTTTTGTGATTTTGCCAAAAAAGCTCAAAAACATTTGTGTCTGGATTTTCACTTTTTGAAATATGGAAACCCTAGAAGATAATACTTGTCAAGCACTTTGAGCACTTGAAAATGTGGCCTGGGAATCTAGGGTCCAAAAGCCCTCCCCCCACATCCATGAAACTCACTAGGTGACCTTCAGTTAGTCTCTCAGCCTGCTTTACGTTACAGGACTACTGTGAGGATAAACCGGCGAAGGGGAGAACCTTGAGCTGTTTGGAGGAAAAGTGGGGTATAAACAGTGCTTTTTTTCTTTAAAAACAAACAACATGTTTAGGGGTACTCTCATTTTCCTACTCATATTGAGATACTGCCCCTCAATGACACCAAACTTAGATTCACAAAATGTACGTACCCCCAGAAATATATATCATAAGTCAAGCAAATTAAAGTAAAATAAATCTGTTGACTGCAGTATGAAATGTTGCCTTTTGCAAAGTGTGGGTGGGGCTAGAGCAAAAAAGGGGTAGTTCACCCACTTTTTAAACTTGCCCCTCCTCTCCCTGTTTCCTGCCCCGCCATCCCTAGATCGTCCCTCCATCATTTCCATCTACAGTGGTACCTCTGGTTAAGAACTTAATTCGTTCCAGAGGTCCGTTCTTAACCTGAAACTGTTCTTAACCTGAGGTACCACTTTAGCTAATGGGGCCTCCCGCTGCTGCCACACAATTTCTGTTCTCATCCTGAAGCAAAGTTCTTAACCCAAAGTAGTATTTCTGGGTTAGCGGAGGCTGTAACCTGAAGCGTCTGTAACCCGAGGTACCACTGTACTTGAAAGCAGACTGAGGGCAACATAAAGTTCAGCAACTAATTCACTAAGGGTTTGCTGCAGGTTCCTAACTTTTTGCCTTTAGAGATGAGGATTATTATATGTCTTTTTTATTTTATCTATCTATCATCTATCAAAGAGGAATCAGCCTCAGTGTGACACTGGGAAGATTTGCCTTTTCATGCTGCACTCTAGATTAAACTAGGCAGCTGCTCAGTATGTTTTGTACAAATCTGCTTGCTTTGCATAGGCAACCGGCAATTTGCATGCTTTTATGCTGAACTTGCAGCTCGTGCTGAATTTTTAGATTATTATTTTATTTCTGCATTCCCACCACCCACTTCAAAAAAAGAAAGAAAGAAAGAAAAAAGGAGCAGGTTATAGATTTGTGGTGCAGTACTATACATGGAGATCAGAAGATAGAGATAGAGAGAACACCAGATGATTAAGCTTATGGTTACACATGATAGGAGCTGTGAGAATTTAACCCTCTGCCCACCCCACCGTTGGTAGTTCAGCTTTTCCAAACTCGGTTGTGACAAACCAATCCTCTGCTTTGTGGGAAATAAATGATTGCTTAAGTTAGGCCGCGGTGGAGAACCTATTTCAATCTTGAGAACCACATCAGTGGAGCTCAGACCTGTGTATTTTCTATTTATCAAAGATAAAGAGCATAAAGGAATACTGCCATAGCAAACTGAAAGCAGCAGAAGAATGGAAATTATCAGTGAACTTGTTTTTCCAAGACATTACTAAAAAACACACATTTCCCCCCTGTAAACCTCTTTTGCATTTTTTATGTATTGAGGTTAGATAGATTACACATTGCATCTTCCTCCCAATGAACCCATGCTGGTGGAAATATCAGTACTAATACAATTAAAACTTCTATAAACAGACAGTGAGGTAGGGTAGGTTCCCACAGGAATCTGATTGGCATTGGTAGAGCACTACTGACAATCGGCCTCGGTCCAGTATATCTGAAGGAGCGTCTCCACCCCCATCGTTCTACCCGGACACTGAGGTCCAGCACTCAGGGCCTTCTGGCGGTTCCCTCACTGCGAGAAGCCAAGTTACAGGGAACCAGGCAGAGGGCCTTCTCGGTAGTGGCACCCGCCCTGTGGAACGCCCTCCCACCAGATGTCAAAGAGAACAACAACTACCAGACTTTTAGAAGACATCTGAAGGCAGCCCTGTTTAGGGAAGCTTTTAATGTTTGATGTATTACAGTATATTAATATTTTTTTGGAACCTGCCCAGAGTTGCTGGGGAAGCCCAGCCAGATGGGCGGGGTATAAAGAATAAATATATAATAATAATAATAATAATAATAATAATAATAATAATAATAATAATAATAATAAAATATATATATTATTATTATTATTATTATTATTATCTCTTCCCCAGCCTCTTGGTGTACTCACTTCCCCCGGTCGTTTTGCTTGCCCTTTTCTGCACTTTCCCCTCTTGGCAATGTCTTTTTGCATACATTGGCCTGGAAGCAAGAGAGGTTGCCACTTTGCCAAAAGTAGGCAAGTTTAGGTCTGTTCAAGGCCTTGCAGGGGTGCCAACTTGAATTAAATGGGGGGGGGGACAGGTAAGACCCACCCCACATAATAAATCACATGACACAGTGCACACACCCCAATTGAATGGCAGTGTCCATCAACTTGGGAGGGGGGCTGACCCCCTCAAATATTTTATTGGGGGAGCCGAATACCCCTCAGCCCCTAGGACAGTGATGGCCAAACTTGGCCCTCTAGCTGTTTTGGGACAACAACTCCCATCATCCCTAGCTAACAGGACCAGTGGTCAGGGATGATGGGAATTGTAGTCCCAAAACAGCTGGAGGGCCAAGTTTGGCCATCACTGTCCTAGGAGTTGGTTCTCATGAGGCCTTGGGTGGGTGAAGACCCACATGCACAATGTCTTCAGTTTTTTGACAGAAGAGAGGCGGGTTATAAATAAAAATAGCATCCATAGATTCTATACACATTGCCCTGAGCTCTTTGGGGCTTAACCGGATGCAGTTGTGCCTAGGAGAAAGCCACTGAAGGAGATAAGAGCTGATGATGATCTCACTGACTTTGTGAATTTAGGGAATGGTTTGTTTCTGTCTTCAGTTTCTTAAGATGCCTTGTCAGCAGTTGGAAGGTTTTCCCTGTGATCATCATTTATTGAGGAGCTTATGCACTGCTGGCAAGACAAGTCGATGACATGTAATGTTTAAAGCGGGGAGCCGGGGGGGGGGCAGCAGTTTGCTTTCATGAATTGCTGCTAGATTGTAGGGACAGCTCTTGAATTGCTGGGAAGAATGTCCTGGAAGGAGCTGAAAGAGCTCAAAGACATTGCCCAGTTACGTAAAGCTTTTTACCATCACCATTGTTTGTTGTTTAAATGTATTATCTGGTAGAGAATGAAAAGCATAATGGATTATCAAGAAGAGGTACAAAAATCATAAAAGTTCAAAATGAAAAGAGGGGTCAGGTTTTTCTTTTTAAAAAGAACAGTGAGTATTGTTGGTAAAGCATATTGGTTAATATTGTATGGAAAGTCTTACCTTCAAGTGAAAAAGGCTATTTGTTTCCTCCAATGCACTATTACTACTAAACACAATGATAATATAGTGCTACTACTAAAAATTCACACACACACACACACACACACACACACACACACATATAGGTAAAGATACCCCTGACCTTTAGGTCCAGTCGTGGCCGACTCTGGGGTTGCGGCGCTCATCTCACTTTACTGGCCGAGGGATCTGGAGTACAGCTTCCAGGTCATTTGGCGAGCATGACTAAGCCGCTTCTGGCAAACCAGAGCAGCGCACAAAAACACCGTTTACCTTCCTGCCGGAGCGGTACCTATTTATCTACTTGCACTTTGATGTGCTTTTGAACTGCTAGGTTGGCAGGAGCTGGGACTGAACAACGGGAGCTCACCCCGTTGCAGGGATTCGAACCGCTGACCTTCTGATCGGCAAGCCCTAGGCTCTGTGGTTTAGACCACAGCACCACCCCTGTCCCTACACACACACATCAAAAAGATAAATCATCTTAAAAGGAATAAAATATGTCATTTATACGTGTACACATGAAATATAAATATAAATATGGCATTTTAGCCAATGCTAGTTCTGCTCAGAGAAGATCCATTGAAATTAATGGGCATTACTAACTTAAACCCATCAATTTACGTGGTTCTGTTCTAGAACTTAGATGGATATACAATGCCATTGTATACAAAAAAATCAGTTGTGGTTTAAGAAGTGCTATTATTTTTTCCCAACAGCATCCAGATTCCATGAGTGGATGGGTGGGGGGCGGGGTGGGACTTGTTCATATACTTTGATGTATTTTTCACAATATGTTAGTTTTGTCAAGAATGCTTTATCCCATACACTTTTATATATGAGTATTACATGCAGCAAATCTTCCCTCGCCTTCTAATGAAGGAAGGATTTGTTTCCTACAATGTTTTTCCAATATTGATGCAAACAGATATTAAGAAATTACCAATTAATGCTTGTTTAACTCTGTAGTTTTAATATGCCTCCAAAGTAATATGAGCAAATCTAATGGCAGAACACAGGCATTATGATTTTATGACTGTAATGGCTTTCGGGTGAAATTATTTACATCTCTGCATGTCCACTGGATTCATCATAGATCTACGTCACACCAGCACTTTGCAATGGAAACTCCATGTCTGAGCAACAAGATTGAACTTGCTCAGCTCCCTTAAGGTGCTCTTCTGAATTAAACTGCTGTTTAGTGAATAAAGCAAGAGTTGCCAGGGGGCTTTTTGGGGGGCCAGGGGGCACATTTGAAATTTTGAGAAAAGTATCGTGGGTGCCAGTCACAAAATGGCTGCAAAGGAGAGGGGCAGTTGCATGACATCATGCAAAATGGCTCCTATATCTAAGAGTAGGCAAAGAGGCAGGAACACAGATTGGTGCAGGCCTGCCAACCGCATGAACTGCCACCCAATCGTTTCAGGGAGAAGACACATTAACACACACACTACCCCTCTGCCTTGGGCCATCCCCTTATCTGCTCCGAAGGGTTGTGGGGTGGCAGGGACTTATGGAGCCCCCAGAACAGATTTAGTGGGGGGAGGGGGTTGCAGAGGGGAGGAGAGGAGGAAAAAACCTTGTGCAAATAGGTCATTTTTGCTCACCCAATATACTACTCAGAGATACACTGAACACAGCCTTGTCACTTTGTAAATATAGTGGTACCTCTGGATGCAAACGGGATCCGTTCCGGAGCCCTGTTTGCATCCTGAGTAGAACGTAACACACGACTGCAAGTCTGTGTGTGCACAGGTCGCGTTTCGCTACTTCCTCACATGCATGTGACGTCATTTTGAGCGTCTGTGCATGCGTGAGCGGCAAAACCTGGAAGTAACGCATTCCGGAGCGTAACCTGAAAACGCTCAACCTGAAGCATATTTAACCTGAGGTATGACTGTATACTCAGTGGCGTAGCATGGGGGGTGCAGGGGGGGCGGCCGCACCGGGCGCAACATCTGGGGGTTAGGGTTAGGGGTGCAAATCCACAGGTTAGGGGGCGCAAATTACTTGCCTTGCCACGCTACGCCACTGTGTATACTGTACTTCTTTTTCAGTCAGGGCACTGTTAGAGCACAAGATTGGATCCTGCTAGTGGGCTGCATCCTTCTCCCCCTACATCTGTGGGCTGACTTTTGACTGCTGGGAAGGGGCTGTAATATTCCTGATGAGGAACTCCCTAGTGCAGCCCATTATGGTAGGCCCAGTGTCAAGCAGCTGATCGGTGCTGCCAGTGAGCCCTGCTTGCAAAAGGGAGCAGCCAGGAGCTCACTTCAAGCTATCAATTGTTTCTTTGTCTCTCTCCACACCACCCCACTGCTGTGTGTGTCTGCAGCCACCAACTAGCAAATCTTTTCCTCATCTTAAAAAAAGCAATGTAGTTCATTCAACAGCTGGAAGCTTCCAGGCGGTATATGAATCAATAAGGCCGGGCAGGGGGGCCCAAACTGGTCAAGTTGCTTTGCAATGAGGTGTTATATACAAGGTGCTAAACTGGAGCAAGGCGTTCTTTCAGGCACTCGTTGTCTCACTGAATGGTGGTTTTTAAAAATCATGGAAGAGAAGTGAGAGGAGGAAGAAGAAAATAACATTTTCTTGGAAGTTTTTAAGAAGAGATCGGTTAGCTGTCTGTCACGGATGACCCTGGGGTCCCTTCTAACCCTGCAATTCTATGGTTCTGTGACTCACTGGCAGTTATTAACCAAAGACTGAATGGGCATCTGTCATGGATGCTTGAGTTAAGACTCCTGCGTTTGAGCTGGTTAGACTAGATGGAGCCCCTTCCAACTCTCCCATTCTATGATTCTATCTGGGCTGGCCAACCGGGAGGCTTCAAACAGCCAGCCAATCACAGCAGCAGATTCCACACCTCTCTTTGCTCTAGTTGCTCAGTACACAGTCCCATGGGATGCTGTGTTGCTGAAAGCCAGAGGCCCCACAAGAGGATTATTCCTGCAGTGCAGGAGGGTTGGACTAGATAACCCTCAGAGTCCCTTCCAACCATACAGCTGATTCTATGCCCTTGGTAGGTGGTGGGCTCTCCTTCCTTTGAGATTTCTCAGCAGAGCATGGTTGGCCATCTGACATGGATGCTTTTGCTGCGATTCTTGCATTGCAGGGAGTTGGACTAGATGACCCTCATAGTCCCTTCCAATGCCCTCTTTCATAACACAGTAAATTCTTAGCTTACATGGGTTTGAAAGAGGATTAGACAAATTCAGGGAGGAGGCATCTGTCAATAGCTGATTGTCATAATAACTAGATAGAACCTCCAGGTTCAGAGGTAGTACAGTGGTACCCCAGGTTACAGACACTTCAGGTTACATACTCCGCTAACCCAGAAATATTACCTCAGGTTAATAACTTTGCTTCAGGATGAGAACAGAAATCATGAGGTGACGGCGCAGCGGCAGCGGGAGGCCCCATTAGCTAAAGTGGTACCTCAGGTTAAGAGCAGTTTCAGGTTAAGAACGGACCTCCAGAACGAATCTGACGTACCACTGTATACCTCTTAAAGATAGCTGCTGAGGAGCAACAATACAGTGGCATAGCGTGGGTTGCCAGTGCCCAGGGCTGTGTGGAGGTGGGAGGGAGGGAAACCAGTGGAGTACGCATGCACATTCAGCTGCTTAGCAGCAGTCACCCAGGAGATTACAGCCGCAGAGATAAGAAAAGAAGAGTTGTTCTGTTGTTTGGTGAGGTCACTTCCTGGTTCGCACGGAGAAGCCGTTTTCAACAGAGCCCAGTGATAGAAGCATGCAGCTACCTCAGTTGCATCGCTGATAACTCACTTCTGCCCCCCTAACATAAAGCCCTGCCCCCCAAAATAAATCCTGGCTATGACCGGGTGTTGGGATTTTTCACCCCTAACAATCTTGTGCCTGGGGCAACCGCCCCTGTGCCTTCTGAAGGAGGAGGTTGGACAAATGAAACTCTTTCAGTTCTGGGTTTTCAAGGCTCCAATTAATTCTACTGGCTCTGACTTTCACTCAGATCCTTCGGAAAGTAAAGTTTCCACGAGTTGTGCTTTCGAGTATGTGTTTGTGTGATCTGGAGGTTGAGGAAGAGAAGGGACCGTAGATGATGGTGCCCTTGGCAGTCGCTTAAAAATCCAAATGTGTCCACATGCCTAAAATGCTTGGCAACCCTTGTTGCCTTTTGCAGCATGAGCAAACTACTGTATTGAAATCAGGTGTGCTTACTTCAGTTTCTATAGGTTAATCCTGCAAAACAAACATTGAGCTTTAGCAAAAGATCTTCAGCCAGCTGAATAGCAACCTTTTTTTTTTTTAACAAAAACGTATATCTAAAATCTCCAAGGGAGATTATACACAAAATGGTATAAAATATCTATTAAAAATAGCAACAGGAACAAACTTTAAATATGGTAAACATATTAAAATGATCAAAACACAAGTAAAATTAATAGATATTTTTAAGGAAATAATAATGATATAATTATATGTCTGGGTAGGCTTGCCTAAACAAAAAAAGTCTTAGCAGGCATTAAAAGCAGTTCAAAAAGGATACCTGTCTAATAGGTTTGGAATGGCAGCTAGTAGGTGGCACCACAATGAAAGACCCAAAACTTTAAGTTAGAAATGTAAATAATATTTTCATTTCAACTGCTAGTGTAGGAACCCCATCAAAGAGAAGGGAAGAAGTATCTAGTCGCTGCACAATTATTTTTTTGCTTTTTATGGCTTCTGTGCCAGGGATAGCCAACATGGTGTCCCTCCAGATGTTAGAATTGTAGAGTTGGAAAGGACTGCAAAGGTCATCTAGCCCAACCCCCTTCAGTGCAGGAATCTTTGCTCAATGTGGAACTCAAACCCAAAGTCTTGAGATTAAGTGTCTCACACTGTACCGGCTGAGCAATTCACAGTTGTTGGAGTATAGCTTGCATCGTCCCTGACCATTGGACTTGCTCACTGGGGCTGATGGGAGTGGAAGGCCAACTGACAGTAAGGGCTGTTTGACAGTGGAATGGTCTCCTTTGGGGGGTTGTGGGCTCTCCTTCCTTGGAGGTTTTTGAGCAGAGGTTGGAGGGCCATCTGCCATGGATGCTTTAGCTGAGATTCCTGCATTGCAGGGGGTTGGACTGGATGACCCTCGGGGTCCCTTCCAACGCTACAATTCTGTGATTTGTGTTGTTACAGAAATTACCGGGGAGGGCACATCTTTAAAGTTGTTAAATGTTACAAATATAATGCCTGAATGTATCCTTTCAACTTGACAGCTCAGGGAAGTTACCCAGCTTTAAAAAACATGTAAAATCAACTCCATTGCCAGATTCTTCTATTCCAACGCTATTTTGCCCTTGAAAAAGGGACTCCAGGAAGTGGCCAGAGGTGACAATTGCTGAATTGATTTTTGGCCAAGGAAAGCCTAATGTCATCACCAGACTTGCCTAGGGGTCCAGACATGCAAAGGAAGTTCTACAGTGGTACCTCGGGTTACATACGCTTCAGGTTACAGACGCTTCAGATTACAGACTCCGCTAACCCAGAAATAGTACCTTGGTTTAAGAACTTTGCTTCAGGATGAGAACAGAAATTGCGCGGGGGTGGCGCAGCGGCAGCAGGAGGCCCCATTAGCTAAAGTGGTGCCTCAGGTTAAGAACAGTTTCAGGTTTAGAACGGACCTCCAGAATGAATTAAGTTCTTAACCCAGGGTACCACTGTATTGTATTTTGGGTGGTGGGACTTCAGAGGTGTTTGCCTATGCTAATCTTATACCTGAGTCTTGCCCCCACATGTTTTGCCTATGCTAATCTTGGACCAAGGACTCGTTTGGACATGTTTGCCAAGGTTGAACAAGTGTAACCCCTGTCTACCCCTCCCCTTTGGTGACACGTCAGTGATGTAAACATGATGTATCAATGATGCTGTGCGAACTGTATTCTGAGATGTGGTGGGAAGTTTTAAAAGTCAATGTTGCCCCATGCTCTGGGTTCTCTCGCTGCTGTTGAACCTGTTGCTCAACAATAAAGGATCTAAGTCTACTGACTGCTGCTTCAAATTGCTTGGCTGGAATTTCCTTCTTTTACTGACCGCATTTACCCTCGGGGGATTGGTACCCCGACGAGCTGAACTGTTGACTAGTCTCTCACCCCAGAATTTTCCTTAACACTGTGATAACCTGGGTGGGGGGTGGGGCAGCCTTCCCTGGCTTTATACTTTATGTCACAAAAGAACATGAAATACTTGTTATCACCCCAATTTGTCAGAGCAACGAGGTTTTATCAATTTTACAAAGGAGCTCTTTGATTGCTCCTGCAGTGAAAATAGTCCTGGGGTTGTGTTTCCCTGTATTCCCCCTCTATTACATCTCTGGTCTTCCAAGTATGGTGGCTTTTTAAAAGGACGGTGGGGGGGGCAGTATTTTTCCAGTTTTTATGATTAAAGTTATACATCATGAGAGGCCCATGAGCCACTTAATGGTTTCTACCATGACAAAGGAACAGCTGTAAAATCAATACTTTCTGCATGTCTTGGATGTGTGTATTGCTTTTCCTTTAAAAAAAATAATTATTTAGCTGCCATGGTTATGCAAAGAAAAATTTAAAAAACAGCTAAGGGTTTGGAACATCAAAAAATAAATTTGAAACAAAAGTGGCAAAATTAAATAATACAGTGGAGGTGAGGAGGCTGGGGACATCCAAGCCTCTATTTGCACACCATGCATATTTTTGCTAATCTCCCAGAGCAAGCCTATGGACCAAAGCTTTTGAATGTCCCCCTCTCCTCCCACTGATGCTCACTGCCCCATTGATCAGTGGGTGGTGAGGGTGATGGTCTCCCCACCCACCACCCCTGCTAATGAAGGAGGAACTTAGAGGAGTGTGATTCTGTTTTCTACTTCCTCTTTCAGCTCAAGGTGCTTTTCACAGGCCTACAGGATATGACACAGGTTTAATAAAACCTTTGAAAACAAACAAACAAACAAACAAACAAAAATACCTGCAGGCAAAAAAAAAAAAAAAAAAAAGGTTGCTGAACTCTGTCCCAGGAGATATAGTTAATTTACTCTATGGGCAGCCTGCACAACCAATAAATGATTAATGTGAACCTGTTTCCGTGTGTGGGCGTGAGAGAGATCTCCATTTTAATTCCTTTTTCTTTCCTTTTTTCAATCCCTTTTGCAGACTTCATCATCTGTAACTGCAGTTCTGTTGGGAGCGCTGGCCCGAGCGACTGTAACACCACGACAGGACAGTGCGAATGCCGGACGGGACACGTGGGTCTGCAGTGCGAAGGGTGTGGGGAAGGCTATTACCCGGACCCCACAAGTGGGCAGTGCCGTTGGTGCGGCTGCTATTCCGAGGGCTCCGAATCCCTGTCCTGCGACAAGTAAGGAATGGGGTGACATGAGCATCACCCACCACCATCTTTGTACTTTCCCTTTAGACCATGTGTTGGTGTTCAAGAGAGGGTTTGCTTCCTTGCTGTGCAGCTATGCTTATTCTCCCGCCCTAGAATTATAGCATTGGAAAATATCCCTGGGGGTCATCTAGTCCAACCCCTACAATGCAGGAACCACGGCTAAAGGGTTCCTTTGTAGGAAGGGGAAATCTTACTCATTAATAATTTATTTGTAGGTATTCTGTTGATTTTTTTCCAACGTAAGCATATGACTTACAAAAAGAACAATAAAGCCCTCATGATAATATCAATACTCAGTAGACAATAAGTAGAGTATATACAATTGTACCTTGGTTCTTTAACGGAATCCGTTCTGGAAGTTGGTTCGACTTCCGAAAATGTTTGAAAACCAAGGCGTGGCTTCTGATTGGCTGCAGCAGCTTCCTGCAGCCAATCGAAAGCCGCATCAGATGTTCGAGTTCCAAATAACATTTGCAAACCGGATCACTCACTTCCACGTTTGCGGCGTTCAGGAGCCAAAACTTTTGAGTCGCAAGGCATTTGACAACCAAGATGCCACTGTATATCTTTTAACCTGCGTAGGAAAGCCACTGTTGGGAGAGAAAATCTTACTTAACAAAGTTGGTAAGGACAATATTACCTTCAGGATTTTTATTTTATTTATTTTTAATGCAGAAGTTGCAAAGATTTGAGGTGGAACCAATAAAAAGTGACAAAGAAAATGGATTTGTACCATACAAGGTGATTTGTACCTTACAAATAAATTGTCACTCTGGACTCCTTTTGAAAAGACACATTGGCCTGAACACGGATTACAATCAATCTGTTGAGCTAAAACAGGCATAGGCAAACTCGATCCTCCAGATGTTTTGGAATTACAACTCCCATCATCCCTAGCTAACAAGACCAGTGGTCAGGGATGATGGGAGTTGTAGTCCCAAAAACATCTGGAGGACTGAGTTTGCTCATGCCTGTTGTAACTCTTTGTTGATATGGCTGTGATCAAAATCTGGGGACAGGAGCTGCACTCTGAGCATCAGCAGGAGCCATGTATTGCCACTCGCTTTTCCTGGTCATGCATCCTTGACCAAAAGAGTCTTATCACTCGCACCACCCTGATAAGCTAATTATTAACAGAGTCCGTGTGGTAGAGAATGCGGTTTGTGAGAGGGAAACTCAATCCTTTCCCTGAGGATTGGGTTGAGGCGTGAAATGAACATTGACCTGACAAGCTGCTGTGATGTATGGCCACTGCTGCTGCTACAATCAAACGCCGGCTTGGACCAACTAATTATGGGGAGAGTGAGAGGCTGTATGTCTGTTTATAGCGGAATCTCCTTTGTATTGTACACTATCCAGGTTTCATTTCAAAATCTTTTGACACCTCTTGCCTATATTCTTCTTTTTATGGTTAGAAGATGTTTGTTTCGGGTTGTGTGTGTGTGTGTTTGTGGTTTTTTTGGAGTTAGACAAGCCACATTTTCTACTAATTCTTTCAGAATAAGATAATTAGATAAACATTCTCTCCCCTCGAGGGTGTGTCTGGCACCTTCATTGTATAGCTTTCATTGTATGCTGGGAGTAGTCTTCTTTACTCTGGCCTTTTCACACCTGATGCATATGTATTCATGTATGTATGTATGTCTTCTATTCTACATCCCATTAGTCTAAGTTATTATTATGATGCAAAGGTTTGGGGAAAGGTTTCAGATTCCATTGTTATTCCCCATTCTTCTGACTGTAAGCTATTTCAACTGATTTTGATACTGGATTTTTATGCGGTATTTTTATAATTTCCCCACCCCACACATTATGGTGAGAGACTGGTAAGAAATCTATTTGTTGATCATGCAGCCTGTGTGACTTTTGTTTATTTTGAACTGCAGTGTAGTTGTAAATCTTGATGTGCAGGAGATAATGTCATGCCCTATAACCACATTTCCAAGAAGAGTCCACAGGAAGAAGTGGTTGATCCATTATTATCTTTCCCCCAAAAGTGCAGCAGAATGAGGTCATATAATATCCAGTTTATTAGGATTAGCAATCTGCAGTCGTGTGCCAAACTTCCTGGTGGGGTTCAACTCAAACTGTGTAGGCCAGGGGTAGGCAACCTAAGGCCCGTGGGCCAGATGCGGCCCAATCGCCTTGTCAATCCGGCCTGCGGACAGTCCGGGAATCAGCGTGTTTTTACATGAGTAGAATGTGTGCTTTTATTTAAAATGCATCTCTGGGTTATTTGTGGGACATAGGAAGTTGTTCATATTTTCCCCCCAAAATACAGTCCGGCCCACCACATAGTCTGAGGGATGGTGGACCGGCCCATGGCTGAAAAAGGTTGCTGACCCCTGGCATAGGCCCATCTTGGAAAGCACATTGAGTTTTACAAAACCTGAAATATCCAGCTTTTAATTAGAAGCACAAACTATCTTGCCAGTAAGTGTCATTTATTCTGCTGGCATGAAATAGGAAACCCATCAAAGGAAAGAGGTATGCAGATGCTGCTTGATTATTTTTCTCATTCTCTGAATTTACGCAAATTTGTCATAAAGAAACTTGAAAGCCTCATTATCACCTTATACACTTCCCAGAGCAAGGAGAGTCCAGCTGTTCCCTGGTGCTCCGGTACATCATATTCATTGCTCCTGGAACTGCATTTGTCTTTGTTCTCGCTCCACTATATCACCGCTTTAGAGACTTATACCCTGCCCTTCCTAATGCTCATGTGCTACTCAAAGTGGCTTAGATTAGAATAATTAAAATACAGCGTTGCCGAGCTAAAGCAACAATCAAAACTCCTCCTGGTGGTGGAGCATTAAAACTGTTAGTAAAGCTAAGTAGGGTCCGGTAGGATTTTAGAATTGGATGGTGGATTTTGTTTTGAGATTCCTGCATTAGATGACGCTCGGGATGCATTCCAACTCTATAAATTCTCTCCTTCCCTGGAGGTTTTTAAGCAGAGGTTGGATGGCCATGTCAGCGATGCTTTGCTGAGATTCCTGCATTGAAGGGGGTTGGACTAGATGACCCTCAGTATCCCGTTACAACTCTACAATTCTGTGATTCTATACCTGCTTGAAACTTGGTTTCGGTTGGGAAGGAAGACGAGAGGTGTAAGCTGGTAAGGAGAAGCATTCATAAGCTCACCTTCTTCAGCCCCTGGCCTCAAGTGCTTTGCCCGCTTCGGGTCAGGCTGCCAGAAAAGCCCTTCCTCCGCCTGTTGTCCGATGCTGTGAGCAGAACCAGGCACTGCGCTTGCGGTAATTAACTTTATTGCTCAGTAACCAAGGAGTCGGCACACGGCACATCCATCAGATAAGCACGTCAGTTGCAGAAGCTAAAGTTCCTGTCCCTTTCTTCCTCTTGTTTATACCTCCCTCCTCGCTGTGACTCCGCTTTTCTTAATTGTTACAGCCTTTTCTCGACTCTTGGTTCCTGTGCTGAGAGGGAGGGAGGGGAAGGAGCCAAATCAGGACTGTGCAGTGGTACCTCGGGTTACAGACGCTTCAGGTTACATATGCTTCAGGTTACAGACTCCGCTAACCCAGAAATAGTACCTCGGGTTAAGAACTTTGCTTCAGGATGAAGTGGCAGCGGGAGGCCCCATTAGTTAAAGTGGTACCTCAGGTTAAGAACAGTTTCAGGTTAAGAACGGACGTCCGGAACGAATTACCGTATTTTTCACTCTATAAGACGCACCAGACCACAAGACGTACCTAGTTTTTGGAGGAGGAAAACAAGGAAAAAAAATATTCTGAATCTCAGAAGCCAGAACAGCAAGAGGGATCGCTGCGCAGTGAAAGTAGCAATCCCTCTTGCTGTTCTGGCTTCTGTGATAGCTGCGCAGTCTGCATTCAGTCCATAAGACGCACACACATTTCCCCTTACTTTTTAGGAGGGAAAAAGTGAGTCTTATAGAGCAAAAAATACGGTAAGTTCTTAACCCGAGGTACCACTGTATTGCATCGCAGGAGACAGAGCCCCTGCTCTTTCTGTGGCTACCTTAAGCCTCTCCCCTTCACCCTCACTCTCTGCTGATGATTCCTCCCTGTCCCATCAAAGGCCCCACAGGTGCCCCCCGGACCACGGGCTGCTACTACGCTTCCTCATCCAGCCAGTTCCTGACACTTCGCTCCAAGGATTCTGGTTCCTCAGCAAACAGGGCCTCACCCACTCCCCAAGTAAATGGCGTCTTTGCACAGCGCAATTAAATTTGCTCAGCTGCAAGAAAGGCAGTTGTGGAAAATGAATGGTTTTCTATTTGCTTCTGTTTGTGCGCAAGTGCCCTAGAGACCAAGACCCAGACACGAAGGGGGTGGGGGAGAGTCCAGCTCCATCGACCCTCCAGCCTGCCTCTTCCATGGGAAGGGACAGATTGCACCCTCAGTTGTTGTTGCTTTTTAAAAAAAGAGATTGGTTTGTGTGGCTGGACTAAAAACAAAAATGAATGAAATTTTAATTTGTTTGTGTATAAAGCTTCTTCTTCTTCTTTTTAGAATAGCATTGATGTGCAGTTATGGTTCCTCCTCCGTCTCCCCTTGGCCGAATAAATAATTTCTCTCTCTGACCCCTATATAGGCACATATAGGTCAGCCTCTATGCTAGCCGCAAACTCCTTTGCCGTGCATGGATCCTTGCACAGATGGAACAGATCCATCCACTTGCATGGAATTTGTCACTGTGTTCCATTTCCATGAGGATAGCTCCCCTGCTGTCAGGAAGAATGAGGGTCTCAAGGAAGCAGTGCAGTTGTTAGATGTGGGGCGAACGACTATTACAACTATTGCACCCTCTTGAAAGATCTTACAAGCAGGAGTGAAGCACCACCTGAGCACACGACTTCAGAAGAACGAAATGATACTTCTTGATTCAGAAATGTTATCCAACTTTAATTGACAGAGCCAAGGGGAACAGCAGCAACATCCTGTGCAAAGCTAAGCAGCGTTCCAGTATAGTTTCAAATTGGACAGGGGATCATTCATTGAAGGGGACTGGAATACCCACGGGATCCCTTCAGTTCTAAATAATAAAAATAATAATTAATAATAATTTATTATTTGTACCCCGCCCATCTGGCTGGGTTTCCCCAGCCACTCTGGGCGGCTTCCAACAAAGATTAAAAATACATCAAAATGTCACGCATTAAAAACTTCCCTGAACAGGGCTGCCTTCAGATGCCTTCTAAATGTCAGGTAGTTGTTTATCTCTTTGACATCTGATGGGTGGGTGTTCCACAGGGTGGGCGCCACTACCGAGAAGGCCATACAGTTCTATGGTTCTATTAATCGCCCTAGTAATAGTTAGGGCCAGAATGAACTAAATAGTTGTGTCAGCAGAAGCTAGGGCAGCAAATCCTGCTAGCACAATGGGGCTTTTTCACCTCTCCCCCCACCACTACACACACTCTAAATCAGCTCTAAGGGTGGGGAGCCTAGGAGAACCTCTAGAACAGCCTTGGGGTGGGGAATAGAAAGGGGATCCTTCCAACTGGCAAGCGGAAAGGCTTGCACTGATAGAATGAGTGCAATATTGAACTTCACCCGTAGGACTGTCTCCAGTTAGGGTCCACTCAGAGTAGGCCTGCTGAAGTTAAAAGACTTAAGTCTGCAGTGCCTGTTATTTCCAATGAGTCTACTCTGAGTAGGTCTAGCGTTGGATACAACCCACATATTTTGAAATTACTCTGCTTTTCCTGAAGGCCTACTGTTGTGCAGACTATGCAAAACTTTTCTCCTCTTCTGATCTGGCTTCATGATGGCAAAAAAAATAAATATGAATGTCTTTGTTTCTTCCCTGTCCACTGAAAATCCGCATGGTGGAATTCACATGGACAACGAACTGGTCCAGGAGCCTGCCAGGGCCTGTGCCCAGAATGGCAGAACTCGATGGTGTGGGCATCATAATCTTGACCAGACACGCTTGGTGCTTTGACATTTCACAAAATGCCTTTTCAGAGTTCTTGAAGATTTGGGCTCCTCCGATAGATTTCAGGCAGATGGATTCCATTCAGTGGCATAAAGCGGGGGATGTTATGTGTACAATGCCCCAGTGTTTTCTGGGAATAAAGCTGCCCTTTTTCCTGCCCTTCCCCTCCCTGGCCCACCCCCAACACCACAAAGGGGGCTTTGCTGAGATTGCATAATGTTGGGGGTGGCAGGAGCAAGGACTTGGGGAGGGGGAGCACTTCCTCAGAACACAGAAGGTGTTATTAAATTCATATGGTTTCAAATAGCCAAGACGGGGCCAGGGAGGAGCAATGGGAAACTGAAACCCGCCCCCTCACCCTTTCTTGCTAAAAGGCATTTCTGCCCTCTTGATTTTCCCATCTCACGTCCAGATTAATTGACCTGAAAATCAACAACATATAGGTTGTGATGTTTCCATTAAAGCTCAGTTTAAAGGTTGGGGAATGTAGATGGTTCCCTGTGGAACCCTCTTGTACAGTCCCCTTTCTGTGGACTTGCTAACTGTTTTGTAAGACTGGGGAGGCAGATTACGTTTCAGTCATTAAATCTCATTGAATGGGTTCTTTGAGATCCTTCTAAGAGAAGAGACGGAGGGAAAAAAGACATCCTTCCTCCCTCCCTCGCTTCCTCCCTTCGTATACCCAAGCAATAGGTGTGCATTTCTTAACATCACACCCGGTCCGCTTCCCCATCTTGCGGGTTCCATGACTGATTTATTGAGTGTCCCCTATTCTTGCAGCTCTGAAGTTTCTGTGAAGCAGAAAGAAAAGAGTTGGCTTCCTCCGTCACCTGGCTCCTTGACCTTGAGAGAAGCCTCCTTTGGTCATTAATCACAGGCATACACACCAGCTCTCTCTTTACTAGGGCCAGCCCCTATTTTACGGAATTTGTCTTCTGTAAAGCCATATTCAGCATTCCAGTATACCTGAAGGAGCGTCTCCACCTCCATTGTTCTGCCCGGACACTGAGGTCCAGCACTGAGGGCCTTCTGGCGGTTCCCTCATTGTGAGAAGCCAAGTTACAGGGAACCAGGCAGAGGGCCTTCTTGGTAGTGGCACCCACCCTGTGGAACGCCCTCCCACCAGATGTCAAAGAGAAAAATAACTACCAAACTTTTAGAAGACATCTAAAGGCAGCCCTGTTTAGGGAAGCTGTTAACGTTTAATAGGTTATTGTATTTTAGTGTTTTGTTGGAAGCCGCCCAGAGTGGCTGGGGAAACCCAGCCAGATGGGCGGGGTATAAATAAATTATTATTATTATTGTTATTATTATTATTATTATTATTATTATTGCATTGAGGCTGGAAATGCACTCAACCTGCCTCATTCCAGATCAGACCAGTTGTCCTTGTAGCCCTGTATTGACAACCCTTCCTGGGCATAGCTCTTCAGGTTCTCAGTGATAGGGATGTTGGAGAATTCTGACAAAAACTTCAAAGGAAGCAGAACTTGCTGCAGTTTGTGCACTTGTCTGTGGTCAGAAAGGGAAATCAGTCAAATAAATAAGATTGACTCACAACTTTGTGGGTTTTTTAAGTCCACAAAATATACACTATTAATGTTTTTGAAAAAGATTGGATTGATGTTTCCCTTAAATTGGAATGAATGTAAGTTACGTAAGTCAGAGCTTTCCAAACTGTGTGTTGCGTCACGTTCGTGTGTCAGCTGCAGTGTGTTGGTGTGTTGCGCAAATGCTCCCTGCATTCTTAAAAGGGGTTAGTTTAACCTCAGGTTTGCTACTAAAACTGAATTACTGTGTCATGAAATAATGCATGTCTAAAAAGTGTGTCACTAACATGAAAAGTTTGGAAAGCTCTGACCTAAGTTGTGTGAATTGTTATGTAAGAGCTTTACAAGAAAAATATGTGCGGTTTAGAAATGATTTCAAATTTTAAAAATCAATCAATTGATTGAGCAAGGTGAATAATGTAGTATTTGGTGGAAACTGAAGTGCAGCAGAATGGAAACAGTGCTGATTGTTGCCACGCTGGAAGGGAAATAGCTGCCTTCTTGCATTCCTAGCAAGTGATTTGTTATGCACAGGGATGTTATGCACAGGCAGTGAGACTATGCTTTGTAGGTAGGTAGTGTTGGAATCTTCATGCAATCTGAAGTAAAGTAGCCATATTTTTATTTATTTTACCAATAAAGAAATTTCAGTCTAGCTCCTCTGCACCACTCAGCACAGCTTAGAGCAATTTTAAAACCACAATATTGTATAAGGTAATAAAAAGACATTAAAATGGCAATGGTAAAAAATGCAACAATAGATGCACATTAAAATGACAGATATATGTGGGTAAAAGTGTGACAGTACAGAAAAAAGCAGTAAGAAACAATAAGAAAAAAAGCAACAGTACATGAAAATGCAAGAAGAAAAAGAAAAGGAATTAAAAATAAATAAGAAAAAAGTTTGGCTTGGAAAGTGAATTCAGTTTGTTGTCTTAAGGGGGGGGGGGGATGCCCCGACTTCTCCTTCTCCTCCTCTTCGACACCATAATCAGCTTCTTAACAGCAGGGTCTGTGTGTGTGTGGTTTGGGCACATTTAAATTGTTTACCTTTTCTTAGAAAAGCCTTCTAGAACCTTTCCAATATGAGAGCTATGAAAGAGGATGTTTTCATGAAGCTTTACTGACCAGAGGCAAAACCTCTTGCCTTGCTTGAAAGCTTTAATTATTGCACACACCCGGCCCATCTGTATCGAGCTGAACATCCTGCCAGAGGGGCATTAAATCCAGCAACTCGATTCCCCTTTAAAAAGTTTAATAACTTCCTTTTCTGCCTTGCATCAGCCAAGAGGCATAAAATCGGGGGTGGGGGTTGTGCAAAGACCCTGGGCTGGCCTGAGAGTGGGAAAAGAGATTTAAATACGCAGACTTCTGGAACTCAGTGGGAATGTATACATAGATGACTATTTAGGTTGCAATCTTATGCTCACCTGGAAATCAGTCCCACTGACCTCAATAGGGTTTATTTTTGAGTATAATTATTATTTATTAGAAATTTTATATGCCAGCCTTCTTCCAAAGATCACAGGGAGGTTTACAGCATAAAAATATAAAATGTAAAATACAGTGGTATCTTGGGTTAAGTACTTAATTGGTTCCGGAGGTCCGTTCTTAACCTGAAACTGTTCTTAACCTAAAGCACCACTTTAGCTAATGGGGCCTCCTGCTGCCGCCGTGCCGCTGGAGCACGATTTCTGTTCTCAACCTGAAGCAAAGTTCTTAACCTGAGGTACTGTTTCTGGGTTAGCGGAGTCTGTAACCTGAAGCGTATGTAACCTGAAGCGTATGTAACCTGAGGTACCACTGTACATATAATAATAGCAACAGCAACTACCAATAACCCCCCTCCCACAAACACATTTTAAAGGCCATAGATTCTTCAATCAGCCAAAGGCCTGGTGGAAGGGGAACATTTTCACCTGGCGCTAAAGGTGTATAATGAAGACACCTGAGAAACCGTCCTGGGAGAGCTTTCCACAAGTGGGGAGCCACCTCAGAAAAAGCCCATTCTCATGTTGCTGCTCTCTGGACCCCTCACAAAGGGGGTAAAATAAGAAGGGGCCTCAGCTGATGCTCGCGGGGTCTGGGCCAATTCATATGGGGAGAGGCAGTCCTTGAGGTATTGCAATCCTGAGGCATTCTAGGCTTTATAGGCCCAAACCAGCACTTTGAATCGGGCTCAGAAACTAATTAGCAACCAATGTGGTCGGTCCAGGATTGATGTAATATGCTCAAACCATATTGTCCCAGTGAACAACCTGGTCATTGAGTAGGTGTGCATAAGAGCTTCAGTGAGATTGGGCTGCACTTATGTAGCTTATTTCTTAACTACACTCAAATAGTGTTGTACCCAAAACCTGAACTTTATGCAAAGGGTGGCCATAAGGGCCCCTCCAGGCATCCTTTATTATAATATCAGGGTGATTATATGGGATCCCACTTTCAGTACCTTTTAAACTTTCAAATGTTTCAGTGTAGACATACTGCTTCATTTCCAATAAATACATGCCGCTTAAATTCTTGCTTAAATTCTGTAACTTTACACCACAAATGTTCCAGGGTGGGTCCCCCTCCCCCCTGCTTTTGTTGCAGTATAGCAGAAGACAGGGCCTTCTGGGTGACTGCACCCCAACTTTGAGGCTCTTTCCCTTCAGAAGTGCCGACAAATTCCCTTGTTTTCTCAGGCTTTTGGAATACTTTTTTAGCCTAGCCTATTCTGTTTATAGTTTAGTTTAGTTTTTATTTTACATCGCATCTGCTTTTAATCTCTCTCTCTCTCTCGATTATTGTTGGGAGCTGCTCAGAGACCTTTTATGAAAAGTGCTTTAAAAATATTATGAATAAAAAATAATACAATTGAAAACAACCCATGGTTTGTTTGGAGAGGGAGGCAAATAATGAGCCCTCATTTGGCTGTAGTACTAAGGCAAACCATGGCTTAACTCCTGTTAGAACAGCATTAGCAAGAGAAAAAGCAGGGGAGTTGCTGTGATTTTCTCACTGTACACTCGCTTGTTTGCTCATTCATTCACTCATTCTAAGCTATAGTTTGGCTTAGTGCTTTGTGCCAACGAGGCCAATATTTGCAAACACACACACACACACACACACACACACACACACACACACACACTGTTGGGGGAAACTTAGATCTGCTTAACAAGAGCAACAACAACAGCCTGCCTCCACTCTGTTCTAAATCTGGCTGCTGAAGCTTGAAAGAAATCCAGGGCTAGATCTTGTGTGTGGCTGGGGTTCTGTGACCTCAGTTCGGGTTCTGCACCTCATGTAAAAACCCCTCCTCTGTTGCAGTGCAGATGCACAGTTGTGCTTTTATGTGCAAGTTACTGCAGTCAATGGCACATGGGATGGAGTAGTTGACGGGCTCTGCCTATTGGCTTGCCGTTTTGCATCCAACTTCACCCAGCTGTTGCTGGTTAGGCAGCCGCTTGTTGGAGGAACTCTAGTACTGGCTTTCCCCCAGCAAGCAGGGGGCTGGATTAGATCTTGGATGGGGGGCTCTAACCCATGAGCCTAACTTTCCCCAAAACTACATCCGTCTGCCCCACACCTGACATCTTATGTGATGTCAGGTGTGGGGCAGGTGAGGATGCTGCTAGCAAACGAACAGTTGGCAGCTGAAGTTGTCACCTGATGTCTTAACAGCACTTTCCCAACAGTCAAAAATTGTCTGTGGAGGGTGTGCCAGTTCTTCCTATGGCCCTTGGGCTGAAAAGAGTTCCATGCCCATGGACTAGCTGACCCCAAGGAGACTGTCAGCTGTATGGTTCTCTGACCTGGTTGTTGTTGTTGTTGTTGGAGTTAGGGCTTCTAGCAAAAAAAAGGACAAGTAGATCCCACTATCTAGAAGCCTTTACTATCTCTATACTGAATTGGCTCTCCTCCCATGCTACCTTCACTCACTGGAATAGTCTTGTGCCAAAGAGGTTTCCATCATTCCTCCTTCCCTGACTCACATCGCCTCTGTTCTTGTTTGTTTTTAAACAGCTCTGGAAGATGTCGCTGCAAAGCTGGCTCAGATGGCCCCAAATGCACCCAGTGCCAGGAAGGCTACTCCATGTTCAACGGGACCACCTGCGAACCTTGTCGGTGTAACAACCATTCTGCGAGTTGCGATCAGTTGACAGGTGAAAAGCAAGGGAAGGGGACTCAGGTTTTCTGGTGGCCCTGCGTCAGGTTGGTGGGGTTTTGTTGAGGCTGATCAAGAATAACAAGTCGGCATTACAATCCAGTTGTGTATCCTCCAGTATTTCAGAGAGGAAGAGAGGAGCACTCTTGTCTACTTGTAATACCCACATTTTCAGCATGGAAGGGCTGTAGCTAAGGGATAGAGCAGCTGCTTTGCCTGCAGATTATAGGTGCAGAAATATATGTGCCAGTATGAACCATGCCCCCACCATGCCCATCGCTGCTTGCCCTCCCTTTTGCTCTCTTCCTCCCCCCACATGCCTCTTCCTCCTCCACTTCCTGAGGCTGCAGGCATGGTCTTTCAGAGGTGTTTTGACGTGACCTTTTTATGATTGGCAAAGCACCTTCCAAGTCGTGTCAAAGCACCTCTGGGAGATTGGCCTGCAGCCTTGGGAAGCAGTGATGGGGAAGGTGCATGGCAGTGCAGGGATGGCAAAGGTGCAGGGGTGAGGGAGCAAGCAGGTGGGCAGGCAAGTGGCGGTGGTGAGATGGTGGTGGAGGAAAAAGAGGTGATGTACCTCCTTGAAAAAAGCACTGGGAATGTCCCCCATCTGAAACCCTGCAGAGCTGCTGCCACTCAGTTTAGACCTATGGTTCTTAACCTTTTTTGGGGGGGTAACGGACCCCCTTGAGAATCTGATGAAAGTTATGGATCCCCTTCCCAGAAAAATGTACATAAACATGTGGGCACACAATACCGCATACAATTTGCGCCCCGTTCATGGACCCACTGAAACCCACCCATGGACTCTTGGTATAGATAGCTTGACCTAGATGCACCAATGGTCAATATGAAGCAGTTTCCTTTGTTCCTGTGCTCACTCCAAGGATCTCTGGTGATATTCTCCCAGCCTATGAGAACCAGTGTGGTGTTGTGGTTAGAGTGTTGGAGTAATGACCTTGGATGCCAGGGTTCAATTTCACATTAAGCCATGCAACTCGCCAGGTGAGCTAGTCACCATCTCTCAGTCTCACCTACATCACAGGGTTGTTGGGAGGATAAATTGGAAACAGACAGTAAATAAGCTAAACATCTTTAAAGTTTAGGCATGCCAATAATGGTGTTTCAAAGACTGTTTCTCACTCAAAAGCAAAACTAAACCTCAAACATTAGGTAGTGATCTGACCTTTATGGGATTAAAGAACCTCTTATTACGCACCTGAGCAGGACTACACCCTTAGACTCTAAATGTATTTCTGTTTCTGTCTAGGATAGTTGAGTACTAAACAGTCTGTTTTCTTAGTCTGCAATAAGGTGAGCCTGAGTTCTAGCTAAAGCCTGCTTATATCAATGCAAACAGGTAAAGGAAATATATTTTTTAAAGTACCTTTTCAAAAAATATAAAATCTTAAAACCAGCAACACTCATGGCTGAACATCAAAACAATTTCACCCAACACTATGTTTTGGGATAGACTGCCTTACATAGCTGTCAAAGTTTCCCTTTTTTAAAGGGAAATTCCCTTATTCCGAATAGGATTCTTCGCAAGAAAAGGGGAAAGTTGACAGCTATGCTGCCTCATGGCACCATCTGATTTCTTTTGTATGTATGCTCAGTGCTAATATAAATCAAGAACTTTAGAGATGTGGGTTGTCTGCCCTCTTGTGGCAGCTGTTGAGACACCACGGAGGCACTTTTCGTTATTAGAAATAAGTGACAGTCAAAGGCACAAAGCGGACATGTCTGCCTTCCTGCATGCTAGTCTGAAACCCCACGCCAACGCAAAGCTTCCCTGTGTTGACAAGGATTTTTGGGGAGGAAAGCAGAACTTGGGTGCTCTTTGTCATAAAGCTGTTTCCCAGTGGGAGGAACATCCTTACACAACAGAAACCCCATAAGGGTATTATGGTCTGAAATACAATAGTAGATGGGACATAACTTCCATAGTAAAGCACTGTTTACAGTGGAGAATGGCCGTAGCTCAGTGGCAGAACAATCTGCTTTGCCTGCAGAAGGTCCGTAGTTCAATCCCTGGCATTTCCAGGCAAGGCCAGGAAATAAAACTGTCTTGAGACCCTGGAGAGCCATGTGCAGATAGTATCGATCTGGGATGGGGAACCCCAGGCCCAGGGGCCGTATGTGGTCTTCCAGGCCTCCCTGGACTCCCCCAGTCCACACCCCCTCCCACCAGGTCACACTGTTCACTGGCCCTGCTTTGCCTCCTTGAGGGCTCTGGTCTGCCTCTGATCTGCCCTTGAATTCTGACTACGCCTCTTGCTTATCAGGGTGGAGAGGGCTGTGTGAGTGTGCATGTGGAAGCTACCCTACGGTACAAAGGCAATATTTACATGCGTCTCTCCACTTACTACTGGCCTGCTCTCCACCCCGAAGGCTGCCCAGAAGGGAATGTGCATTTCATTACCTGACCTGGAGATGCAGGAACCTGGTACCTTTTGCTTGCAAGCCATGAGTTCCACCATTGAGCTGCGACTCTGGTTCAATACAAGGTATCTCCAGCATCTGCTCCAATAGTGATTTTAATTCTCTGGGTACTGCCAACAGTAAATAGAGCCAGAGCCAATGGAGACAGCTCTACATTTGTCTTCTTTCCTGGTGAGTTCTACAGGAGGCAACACTGAGACTAAGGAGGAGATAAAGCTCCCGGGCAGGGATACCCCCTGAGCTGTTAGTGGGACAGTTCCCTATTGGTCCTAATGGACCAGCCTCCATTGCTTTCAGCCGTCAAGATAGTTGACGGCCACTCTCAAGTCTCTCTGTTTATTTTCCTTTTCAGTGGGCTAAGCATACCCAGCTCTCAACTGTTCCTCATTAAACTTGGGGTTGCATCCAAGCCAGTTCTACTTGAAGTAGAGCCACTGAAATTAATGAACCTACACAAGCAGTGTCCATGAATTGCAATGTATTTATGCTCAGTAGGACTAATATTGGCTACAACCCCTGGTTTCCAGACCCCTTGCCATCCTGGTCACGTTGCTCTAGACCAGGCTTCCTCGGCCCTCCAAATGTTTTAAGACTACAATTCCCATCATCCCTGACCACTGGTCCTGCTAGCTAGGGATCATGGGAGTTGTAGGCCAAAAACATCTGGAGGGCCGAGGTTGAGGCGCAATCCAGGCTCTGTAGTCCACACAGCCCAAAGCTAGGGCTGGGTGGCGGGGTCATAGAACTGGCTACCTGCCTTTCTTCAAGATACCTTTTGTACTCTTCTATCTGCTGGACCTTGAATCTTCCCCCACTAAAAGCCCCAACACAACTCCACCAAAAGCCTCACATGGTCTTGGCAACAGTGCTGGTGAGCAACTGGCTAAATCCTCATGATTGGGTCCACTGTTTCTTATGTACCCAAAGTGTCACCATCTGTGTACAAGAGAGGGAAGGAGCAGTAGGTTTAGGGGAAGCACAAAATCCTGGATGGGGGGAACCTACATGGGAGAACATCCCTCCCCAAAATCCCAGCCCAATGAAAGCTGAGAATTCTGTCTTTTCAGTGGTGTGGAATGGAATAAGGTATCCAGAACAGGAGTGTGCCTTGCTGCAATATTTTGTTGCAGGTCCTACTTGTATTTTTGTGGTTCCCAGCAAGGTACTGTGTCATTTTGAGTTCCCGCCCACTGCTTCGGACAGCTGTTGTCTTTGTCTTTATTTCCGCATTTATTTTGTTTTCTAGGCACTTGCTTGGACTGTCAAGGGAACACAGAAGGCGCTTCCTGCGAGAAATGCAAGGGGCAGTACTATCGAAGTGGTTCGCGACACCATGAGTGTCTTCTTTGTCCTTGCTCCCCTGTAGTGTCCTCTGGCAGCTGTCATATAAGTAAGATGGTTTTCTAAAATTGTGGAATTTCACTATGGTACATCAACATAAGAACACCAGATGAGCCCTGCTGGATCAGGCCAGTGGACCAACTAGTCCAAAACCCTGTCTCCACAGAGGTGAACCAGATGTCTGTGGGAACCTTAAAAGTATGACAGCTTGTGTTTCCCAGCAACAGGTATTCAGATACATGCTACCAGTGGTGTAGCGTGGGTGGCAAGCGCCTGGGGCCACACAGAAGGGGGCTGGGAGGGAGGGAAACAAGATGGAGTATGCATGCACATTCAACTGCCTAGCAGCTCCTGACTCACCTAGGAGATTGCAGCCGCAGAGGTAAGAAAGGAGGAGTCATTCCATTTTCTGGAGAGGTCACTTCTTGGTTCTCATGGGGAAGTGCACAGTTCTTTTGAGGCAGCATCAGGGGTTGAAATTTTGCACCCCAAAACAACTTTGCACCTGGGGAAACTGCCCTTGTGTCCCCCTGCTACGCCACTGCATTCTACTGCCAGCAGTGGAGGCAGAACATAGCCATTGTGGCTAATAGCCATTGGCAGCATGGAACTGTTAATTCACAGGTGGACTGCTCTTGAGGCTGGAGGCTCTGTGGAACTACCCAGGGAGAAAGTGTCAGCCCTGCATGCATTTTGTCAAGGCACTTTCAAAAGCCGGTTCTTCCAGCCCCCTTCAGAACTAGCTATTGTTCAGAGGCAATGATGATACCCAGGAGAATTCTGCTAGGGTTCACTAACATGCCATAGCAAGCTAGGCTGTAGGTAAATGCATCTCACCTTGCTAGGCGTAAATGTGACCTGTGCAGTTAAAACAGTTATGGGCTTGCAGAAGTGCAATGGTCACATGGGGCATTCTAGAGGCAGGCGTATCATTCCCACATTTACAAAACACATTTCCACCAAGGATCTCAAGCTGACATGCATGCTTCTCTTTCCATCCTGCCCCCATTTTGTCCTCACAACAGCCCTGTGAGGTATGTTAGGCCGAGGGAGACTAACTGGTCCAAGGTCAGCACACAGGGCCAAGTGGGGATTAGAAGTCCCTGGTCCTAGTCCAGTCCCTGGCCATTTGACTTCTTCTAACTTCTGCATAATGCGAAGAAGATCAGCTCTGGATTGAAAGCTGGCTTAAACAATCCATCAAGAGCAGGGTGAGAAAACAGGAAATGGAAGCAGGTGACAGCTACAGTGTGGTTGCAACTTGGTGCTTACCAAAGGGATCAATTCCTCATGCTGAAGAAGAGAATCAAGCTTTGGAGGTTTGTATGATGAGGTGCTGTGGCAGACATCTGAGTAAGAAAGGCTGAGGCTGGCTTACTATGTGCAGTTCCCACTTTTGGTTGCACTGTTTCCTGAACAGTTGCCTTGATGGGCACCTGTGGCTCCCTCCTCTGAGTACAGTAGCTGGCTCAGCTGCTCAAGGAGTAAAGATCTGGAGCCAAGCTTCAGAGTCCCCCAGTTCCAAACCTTTCACACTACCAGTTGCTGGGAATCACAAGAGTTGCACTCAAGTTCTGGTTGTTGGCTTCTCGTGTATGTTTGGTCACTCAAAACAGGATATTGGATATTGGATTCGTTCCAAAGTGTTGACATTGCCACACTAAATGGCTGAGTTCTTGCAGATACAGCTATGTTAGGAGGCCCACTGAAATAAAAATGGACCCCTCCTCAAAACCAAGGTAAAAATGATCCTCAACAACAACAACAACAACTGAATTGGTGGGGGGAATGCATAAGAAGACAAAACAGGACTAGGCTTGTGTTCTTAGGGTGGCCATGTGGCAAGTTCCACCAGTGGAAATAACTCGTGTTCTTTCCCCTGCAGAGCCCGGTCACCGCACGCCCACCTGTGACCAGTGCCGCCCTGGCTACAGCGGTGCTCACTGCAACCAGTGTGACATTGGCTACTACAGCTCTGACAGCCTCTGTATCAAATGCCAGTGCAATGGGAATGTTGACCCAGCGCGGTCACCCAGAGTCTGCAGGCTGGACACAGGGGAATGCCTTGGCTGCCTTTACCACACGGCAGGATTTCACTGTGAAAAGTGCCAGGAAGGTTACGCCAAACGTTCGGAAGGCGCGAATTGCACCAGGAAAGGTAAAACTTGTTTTTTCCACTTGACGTTAGCTTAAAGACCCTCTCCTATTCTCAGGGCTTTTGGCTGCAACTAGCGGTGGAGGAAGAAGTCAGTTTTGTGTGTGCAGCAATTAGAAACTCCTTAATTTGCACTTCTTGAACCAATACATAAACTAAAGCAACTAATTTTCAAAATTTGCACTTATCTGAATGTTGTATTGCAGTTCTTCAAACAGTATGTGTAAAGATGCACATTTTAGGGAGAAATGCACCTAAAATATGTATGTAGGAGTGAAAGTAATATACAGTAATGCATTATGTTAGGGAAGATGGCTTGAAAAAAATGAGTTTAGCATTCAAAAATATATAAAATATGAGTTTCTTAGGAGAGATTCACATTAAAATGCTGACAAATATTCATGGTGATTTTAGGGGGGGGGGGCGGTTGAGCAGGATCTCAGGAGAACTGAGTTCCCTTACCTTTTAAAAATATTAGATAGATAGCCTGGGAGTGCTGGAATGGATATATACCTAATACAACTCCCACCATCCCTAGCTAATAAGTGGTCAGGGATGGTGGGAGTTGTAGGCCCAAAACATCTGGAGTGCCGAGTTTGCCTATGCCTGGTCTATGATCTTTGAGGAATCTTGGAGAACAGGTGAGGTCCTTACAGACCGGAGGCAGGCAAATGTTGTCCCCATCTTCCGAAAGGGGGGAAAAGGAAGACTCAGGTAACTACCAACCAGTGAGCTTGACTTCAATACCAGGGAAGGTCCTGGAACAGATCATTCAACAGTCGGTCTGTGAGCACTTAGAAAAGGATGCTGTGATTATGAAGACCCAGCATGGGTTTCACAAAAATAAGTCATGTCAGACGAACCTCCTATCTTTTTCTTTTTTTTGCTGGAATTACAAGCTTGATGGATCAGAGGAATGCTGTGGACACAGTGTATCTTGATTTCAGTAAGGCTTTTGACAAAGTCCCCCATGATATTCTCATGAGGAAGCTGGTAAAATGTGGGTTGAATGAGGTAACTGTTAGGTGTATTTGTAGCTGGTTGACTGAACCCACTCATTAATGGTTCCTTGTCATCCTGGAAAAAAGTAACAGAAGAGATTCCGCAGGGTTCTGTCCTGGGCCCACTGTTGTTTAAATGATTTATAAATGATTTGGATGAAGAAATTGAGGGGCTGCTCCTCAAATTTGCAGATAACACCAAACTGGGAAGGGTAGCTAATGCCACAGAAGACAGAATCAGAATTCAAAATGACCGTAACGGATTGGAGAACTGGGTGCAAGCTAACAAAATGTATTTCAATAGGGACAAATGTAAGGTTCTGCACTTAGGCAGGAAGAACCAGATGCACCAATATAGGATGGGGGACATCTGGCTTACTAGCAGTACATGTGAAAGGATCTAGGGGTCTTTGTGGAACACAAGCTTAACGTACGTCAACAGTGTGATGCCCCAGCAAAAAAGAGCTAATGCTATTCTAGGCTGCATCAACAGAAGTATAGTGTCCAGAAGGGAAGTAATAGTCCCACTCTATTCTGCCTTGATCAGACCACACCTAGAATACTGTGTCCCGTTCTGGGCACCACAATTTAAGAAAGGTATTGACAAACTGGAACATGTGCAGAGGAGGGCAACCAAGATGATCAAGGGTCTGGAAACCAAGCCTTATGAGGAACAGTTGATGGAATTGGGTATGTTTAGCCTGGTAAAGAGGAGATATGCTACCATCTTTAAATACTTGAAGGCCTGTCACATGGTAGATAGAGCAAGCTTGTTTTCTGCAGCTCAGAATGGCAGGTCCCAAACCAGTTCTTTCAACTTTCAAGAAAGGAGGCTAAACATCAGGAAGAACTTTTTGATGGTAGGAGCAGTCCAACAGTGGAATGGTTTCCTTCAGAAAGTGGTGGGCTCTCCTTCCTTGGAGGTTTCTAAGAAGAGGTTGGATGGCCATCTGCCATGGATGCTTTAGCTGAGGTTCCTTCTTTGCAGGGGTTGGACTAGATGACCTTTGGGATACCTTCCAACTCTATGATTCTACGTTCTTACATTTAGCCACTGCCCAGGGTTGGAGTGTAGGGTGGCAGCACTGTGACTGGGCCCACAATAAACTAACTAACTAGCTTTGTGGTGAGTTCACCTACCTTTCCCCCCAGAAAAAATACAGTGATTATATTCTTACAAACAAACAATCAAACACATCAGAAATGTGAACTGAATTTAAGAGCTAAAATTTAAAGCTGGTGTGGGTACCCTTGGAAATCCATGCCTTATGTAGATTAGAATGCTATTTTGAAGTTTGTAGGTTTCCATTGTCACTTGATCTCTTGAGGTTTATTTAATTTCAGAATCTATTTCATTAGCAAAACATGAAAGTGATGTACCAAAAAATTATGACAAATCTCAGAAACACACACTTTTAAAAAGGATTATTATTAAATGTCAACTTGTATGCTGCTTTTCAAAACCAATATTCTTCCCAAAGTAGCTCTAAATTGAAAGGTTATAAATTGGGTGGCAGGTGTGGGAGGGATATATTTTACTAGAATTTGTGATAGTGAAATAAGTTTTGATACATTTTGATAAGTTTTATTAAATTAAAAGATGGGAAACCATCCTGTATTTGTTTTGTCCTTTCTGAATTGGTAAGTATTTATTAATTACTGGAAAATGGCCCGGGAAATGCTGTTGACCTCCTGTGATGTGGGTTAATGGATGTGTTTGATGCTTAATAATAAGAATAAGAATACACTCACTTTGCCATATTTGCCTTTTTAAAAAAATTCTCTAGAATATGTTCCTGGTCCCGAAGGCAGAGGGTTGACTCCTCCAACTATAAACATCAGTGTATCAACATCATACTCAGCCACCAACAGCACGTTACCCCAGCCTCCGATGGTACAGACAGTTTCCCCCATCAGTTCCTCTGACAATAGTACTTCTACTTTAGCTGATGTATCATGGACCCAGTTCAATATCATCATCCTTACTGTCATTATTATCCTCGTGGTTCTGCTGATGGGATTTGTGGGTGCTGTCTACACATACCGCGAATATCAGAACAGGAAGTTGAATGCCCCCTTTTGGACCATTGAACTCAAGGAGGACAACATCAGTTTCAGCAGCTACCATGATAGCATCCCCAATGCTGATGTCTCAGGCCTGTTGGAGGACGATGGTAACGAGGTGGCACCCAATGGCCAGCTGGCGTTGGCCACTCCCATGCATAACTACAAGGCTTAACGAAACCAGGGTTGAGAGTTTACTTCGAAATCTTGTAAGTGGAGCAAACCAGTGCAGTGCCTGTTGGGAGGGACACCAGTCAATGACACCAGCGTTCCAGGCAAGAGGACTAAATAACTTTCCCAGCATTGGCCAGGCTTTGGGGTATACACACACACACACACACACACACACACACACACACACAGTGTTGGACACTGGAGATAATAAAGGAGTTTCAGGTAAATTTACAGATTGTATTCAATTCATTGTTTCCCATCAAAATCCATCCTTGCCACTATGGATATAAACTTGTATTTTAAAAAAATGGAGTTGCTTTGAAATATATTTTTGTATGAAATGATGAAGGCATATACCAAGACGTCATCTCATCGCCAATCAAAAGCTATGTTGAAACACTGGACGCCTGATTTTAAACTCTTGTTTTGAAATGTAGCCATTGTCACATAAATTATGGGAAATGGCTTTTATGGTTTGGAGAGCCGGGGGGCTGGGGGTGGATTCCCAGAACTTTGTTTTGTGCTCTTAAAAGAGTTTTGCTTCTTCTTCTTCTTCTTTTAAAAAAAGAAAAGTCACTGGTGAAAAGATGTGCTGATAGAAACCAAGAGCTCTGAAAGTTGGCATTTATGCTTTGACCTTAGGAGTACAGAAAAGAAATGGGTGAGAGTGTTGTACTTTTTCTGCAACCTTCCTTCAAACGTGATGATGATGCTATTTAAAATGCAAGAATCTGTTTATTTTCTTAGCTTTGTTGAACTCTGATTCTCCCAAGGGATGCTAGTGAGGACATTGCACGAGCATTGTTCCCCGAGTCTCCAATCTGGTGTGGAAACGGCCTGTATACAGAATGTAACAAAGCTTCTTCTGCAATGTATTTGTAAACTATTTGTACAAAAATGACATATTTTATCACGTAGATTTTATCTGTACAGCCACCCACAGCATTGTAAAAACAAAAAACAAACACAGAACTCAAGGCAACAACAAATAAGCAAGTATTGTATTAAAGTGCTGTAAATTTCAATGGCAATATTGTTGGAGCTGGGCCTCCGGCAAAGGTTTGTTGCTAACTTTTTCCTCTTCTGATAATATGACTAACTTTCTGATCTTAAATTGATCGTTCCTCCCTCTTTTTTTGTTTTTTTGTTTGAACGTCTACAGCAGGGGTGAGGAGGAACCTCTGGCTTGGGGGCGAAATGTGACCCTCCAGGCCTCTTTGTCTGACCTTCAAGGCTTTCCTCAGGCAGGGCCGCCCTGCCCATGAGTCAGACTGAGGCAGCTGCCTTGGGTGGTAGAATCCTGTGGGGGATCTGCACAACCACAGTAAGCAAGGCTTTGGTGGAGGAAGGGGCCGGTTCCTTCCCATTTTGTCTCAGGCAGTATAACAGAACAGGCTGCCTCTGTCCCCAGGCCATGGCCTTACCTCATACCCTGCTTGAGTGTTTTTGGTTGGCTGGAATGTGTATTTTGAAGAATGGTAAAGCCTTTTGGCTTGTCTGGACATAGAGGAATAGGTATGTGCAGAGAGCAGCCCAGCGTACAAAAGGGGGAAATAGTATTTGTTTCCCCATCCACTCCCTTGGCTGATGTGATAGGACCCCCTCCAGAAAATCTGAAGACTCACCAGGCCCCAGGTCCTCCTGTTACTTCCCCGCTTGCTCTGGCTGCCTGGTCTCCTGTTCCCAACCTTCTTCTTCCTCCTTTGCTAGCTGTTGTCTCACAGGTGGCACAGAACCCCCCCCCCAATTAATGCCCCCCCCCCCATTTGATCGTGCTCCCTCTCTGTCTCTTCTGCCCGCATATCTCCCCACTCCTCTATCTTCTGCCAGTCCCTGGAACCCTCTTTCATTCAGAGTTCTCTACGTCTGCATCCACAGCACAAGAAGCAATCAAACTGTTTAAAATTACACCTCTTAGCTTTCTAGTCAGCACCATTTTTACAAGTATGTTTATATTGTTCATCTTTTTGCTGACATTAGCAAAAACTGTTTTAGTGCAAATTTGTGTGCGTGGGGGAAGGATTGAACTTTTGAAATATGTTCCCCAAAAGGCATGCTAAGGTATGTTGTCCTTCTTTTGCCCACACAACTGTGACACACCCACTTGTATTGATGGAGGGTATGGGGACATACATTCAAAAATGGGTTACATCTGTTGAAGTGTGGAGAGTCAGTTTCGGTTCTGTGTGGGCTTTACAGATTCTGCATTGCAGACACTCTCCGGAATCTCACTGGGCTGTCAATGACAACCTGTCTGGGGCTCCTGGTTTTGTACAAGAGCAGGATCAGGCTCTCAGAGTGCTTCCCACTCTCCAGTGGTGGGGAAATGACATGTTATGTACTGAGCTGAATAGGATCCAAAATGCAGCAGTCTGATTGGTCCTAGAACAATCGGATTCAGAATGCAACAGTCTGATTGGTCCTAGAACAATAGGGTTCAGAATGCAGCAGTCTGATTGGTCCACAGGAGCCACCCAATCCAGCTCCAGGTGGAAGTGAATCTGCAACCTGATTGGCCTACAGGTGATTCCCGGAATTAGCCAATCATGTGGGGCCCATTGTGTAAATAATGTATATAAAGCAGACATTCTGGAGCAGGGGTCTGCAACCTTTAAGACAAAAAGAGCCACTTGGACCCATTTCTGAAGAGAAAAAAAAAGGGAGTCGCTTTTTTATTATTTCTTTGTTTGGCCCCTCAGAATTACTCCTCCTCATAGAAATAAACATTAAATTAACAAGTAACCTTTTTGTGTGTGTGTGTTCTTCACTCCTCTTCAAAACAGTGACCAGTGTACATGCCCCCTTTCAATGCAGTGACCAGCGTACATGCCCCTTACACTGTAGCAGGCGGGCGGGCGGGAAGGTGACGTTGGGACGGTGTGTGACTAACGCACGCACCGCCCCCATGCAACGTCACAGCCAGTACAGCGCCTGCCACAGTGGGGAGTGTCGGGGCGCACAATGCACCTCCCCCCCTCGCTAGTATCCACCCCGGAGCCGCGGCAAAGGTGTAAAAGAGCCACATGCGGCTCCGGAGCCGCGGGTTGCAGACCCCTGTTCTGGGGGAACTTCCATTTTCCTCCTCACCACTATGAGCTGAATAAAGAGCATGAAATCCACTCTCGAATCCGAGTATATTTCACTGGCAATGAGGATGGGATCCTGCTGATCTGACCGCCACACACAGCACCGCAACACCGCCACCTCAGACTGCTGCATTCTGAATCCTATTGTTCTAGGACCAATCAGACTGCTGCCTTTTGGATCCTATTCAACTCAGTACGTAACATGACATATAGCTCTCTCCTCTATCCAATGATCCTTCTAAATTGATGTCAACTTTTTGCCACATTGAAATTCTCAGCACCAAGTGGGAACATGGATAATCAAGGCTGGGTGTTCTAGTAGGCACAGTGAGGTGGGAAGCAGCAGTGAAGTGCTAAAGGGCAGAAGCCAGGCTGCTGCTCTCAGGTGCGATGGCAGATACTGCCCTGTCATCGGTGTTGAAATCAGTGTTGAGCAGTGTTGAGACCTGTGGGTATGGGGCGATATACAAATTTAACTAATAATATTAATAAATAAATATAAAATCAGATTCAGCTCCAGTACAGTTGGCTTCTCTAGGTGGAACAGGGAGGGAGGTGCTTTCTTACCATTTGCCTCAGGCAGCACAATGTCTTGGGTCAGCTGGGTCAGCTCTGCTATTAGGCAGAGGGAGCCAGCCACCTCAGGTACAGTGCTGGATTTAAGGTGGTGCGGGCAGTTCCCCTGCACAGGGTGCCAAGCCGAGAGGGTGTAAAATTGAGAAGATCTATGATTAAGAAGATCCATTTGGGGGTGCCAAATTTTGGTGTCACACGGTGCCATATTACAAAAGATTACCAAAGCGTGCCCCTGTCAGGTGGCGGATACTGAGGACTGGGGAGAATTGTATGTGCCACGTGGACATTCCCTCCTAAGGCAGCCTGTGCAGTTGAGGACAGAGTGCTTGAATCCACTTTAATTCCACAAATCTAAATTTCCCAGCAGGCACTTCAATCCTTCCTGCAATAACAATATTGAGGCGACCATTGACAGAATGTGCATGCTTGCTTCCTGTGGGTGGGTGGGTGCATGCAGGGAGCAAAGCTGAATCAGTCTTCAAAAGAACAAGTGTGGGAGTTTGCAGGAGAGAACACTATGTATTTAAGTGTTCCACTGGAAAAAGTGTGTGTCAATTTTTATCACCTTCTCTACTTGAAACCAACTGTTATCTCGCAAATGTTCCACCCTATATCAACCTTCCATATTTGTTTTGTTTTTAAAGCTGCCTTTCCTTTCCTTTCCTTTCCTTGATGGCTTTGCAAAGTCTTATCTGCTCCTTTCAACCCTTCCCAGTCTCCCAGAGCTAGCTTGGATCCCAACAAGGAACTGACCATATTGCAAGTGTAAATGAGTTTAGCTGTCCTGGTTTCACTGCAAAGGATTCTGGAGGAAAAATAATAAGGTACCACCCTTCCAATTTACACTCGTGGCACTCTTACATTAAATAGTGTAATAAAAAATTATTTTCTGCATATGTCTGTGGGAAACTTCACTTCATATGCACTGTAAACTCTCATTAGCCTCCCCCAACCTGGTGCTTCCAGGTGTTTCATAGTACAACTCCCATTAGTCCCAGCCAGCATGGCCAATGCTCACAGGCAGTGGGAACTGGAGTCCAAAGACATCTAGAGGGCACTAGCTGGCCTGCATCATAAGGGGGGTGTTCTTGTTTCTTAGCTAGTCCTAACAAGGATATGGTGCTACTATGGATTCTGTCCTCTTTAGGCAGGGATGTAGAACCTGTGGCACTCCAGATGCTGCTGAATTACAATTCATGATTGATAGCTCAGTCAGTAGAGCATGAGACTCATCATCTCAGGGTCATGGGTTTGAGCCCTATGTTGGGCAAAAGATTCCTGTACTGCAGGGGGCTGGACTAGACCCTTGCCCCTTCCTGCTCTACAATTTTATGAACTCACAGTCCTAACTTTGGTCATACTGGCTGAGGCAGGTGGGAGTTGGAATCTAGCAACATCTGGAGAATCTCAGGCTCCCCCCATTTCTTGCATAGAAAAAACCTTTGAAAGTCCAGAAGGTCAAATATCTTCTACTGCAGCCTACATATAAGGAGACCTTCAACTTCTAGCAGGCAAAAGGTTCCAGATTCAATCTTTGGCATCGCTGGGTAGCGCTAGGAAGGACTTCGGTCCAAGAATCTGAACACCAGTTGCCAATTGGTGGAAACTAGGGACATGGAACCTGGTGCCCTCCAGCGGTTGCTGGACTACAACTCCCATCATACCTGTCCATTGGTGATACTGGCTAGGGCTGGTGGGAGTTGGAGTCCAACCACATCCAGAGGGCCACAGGTTTCCACATTCCTGCCTTAACGGACCAGCATTGGGGAGGAATCTTTCAAAGAATCCCTGGCTTCAGCTCTTAAAACATATGGCAGATGAGTGCATGTTTTGAGCATTTGGACACATTTCGTGGATGTGAAACCCAGCTCATCTTAAGTGAGTTCCACACACAAATGCCTACCATGGCGAGAGTATGCCAACCTATCAAACCTGTGACGTGTAATAATGGAACCACTGAACAGTGGGTGATGTTTCAGCATTATGTAAGATTTTAGAAGCAACAATTTGAGAGTATATATCAGGGATGGGGAACCTGTAGCCCTCCAGATGCAGTTGGATTACAACTCCCATTGTCCTTCACTATTCGCCATGTTGGCTGGAGCTCATGAGTGCGGGAGTAAACTACTTCTGGAAGGTTCCCCATCCATAGAAGGCCTATTGCTGTACTCTGGATACATTTTGGCATTTCTAAAGGAGAATTCAGTGCACTCTCCCCAGGCTGCCAGAGTTCCTTAGGGGAATCCATTAGAAGTTAAACCATTTTTTGTGGGGGTATTGTAGTATAGTATGTATGTACCCCTATGTGATGCTACTCAGATTCAAGGAAGTGATACTGTTGCCTGGTGTGAATGGAGAAGACTGAAGGAACTGTAAGTTACCCATGGTGGCCAAAGGCTTACGGTCCTTTCATCTTGCTCTGGTTATGATCTTAAACTAATGACTTTGAGCCATGTCAATCTATGCCATAGCTGGTTTGGGTGAAGGCAAATGTAATCTCAATGATCTACCCAGTGACAAGTTTTGCCCCTTCTCCATATGCTGCTCCATAATCACACTTGGCTGCACTTGTGTCCAAACAGAAACAGCAGGCCAGTGTTTGTTCTTTTTAAAAAAATAGAATCTAATGAACTACCATAGCTAGAAATAACTGCATGAAATTTAACTGTAGAGAGGCAGCATGAATTGTGTAGTGAAATAGGCACTGCATTAGATCAGGCCAAAAAATATGCTAAATTTATGAAACAGGTATGATGATCTCAGAAGCATGGTTGGCCAAGACCTTTTTGCCCTGAAATTTTATTCCAACTCATTGGTCACATCCATACCATACATTTAAAGTGCATTCAGAGCATATGGCTTTCCCCCAAAGAATCATGGGAACTGTAGTTTCTTGAGGGTGCTGGGAATTGTAGCTTAGTGAAGTTCTTGGTTCCCAAGATTCTTTTTGGGAAGCCATATGCTTTAAATGTACGCCAAACAAAAGAGATATAATAAGCCACAGCAATAATTTAACACAGAGAACCTAAGACAAAAATATCCTGAAATAAAATTTCTGTACTGCAGCAACCTAAACTTTAAAAGCATTCAAAACATCTGAAAACTCAACTGCTTATATCTCCAAATCATATAACAAGGTTTGGGCTACTGAATTGAATATAAGTTGAACTTACTGTCCCCAAGGACAATCCACCAGCCATAATTTATGCCCCTGATTTCTGAGCATATGTTGAGCTTTATTTGATAAATGGCTGGGGTGGGGTGGGGTGCGCGCGATGGGAGGGATCAAATGTATGATCAGAATATATGTTGGAATTTATACTGAAAAGTGTTATTTAAAATGAATTAAAATAAAATGTATATAATTTGTATCTATTCCAGTTTGGCTTTTGCCTTTGTTTTGTTTTTTAAATAAAACCTGTGAATGGGTCATATACAGCTTCTGCAGACATTTTAAATCGGGGTGGTGAATCTCAGGTTCAGGGGGATAATGTGTCCGTCCAGACCTCTAGCTGACCATTGGGGCTCTCCCTAGACTACAATTCCTCCCTGGCCACACCTTTCACCAGCCCTGCTTCAGACCCTCCTTGAGTATTTTTGCCTGGTTGGATTGTATCAATCTCTGATGATGCCTCTTGCTTGCCTTGGTGGAGGGAAAAGGGTGTGTGAGTGTGTGTAGAAACTGGCCACACTTAAACTCATTGCTCTGTCCACTTTGTCTCTGTCCATGCCCACTGCTGACATGTGGCTCCCAGAAGGTTGCCCAGAAGGGATTGCTACCCTGGAACTGGAAAGGGTACTCACCAGAGCCGTCTTTCCCATAGGGCTTAGTGGTGCGTTGTGCCAGGGCGCTGGCCTCTCAGGGGCACCCCAGCGTGTGGGGGAGCTGCGCAGCTTTGCCGGCGGCCTCCCCTTTCCCTGTACACCCACCAGCTGTGTCCCGTCAACCATATGGCTGGCAGGTGTGCAGCTTGCCTCCCAAACCTCTGCGGGAAGAGAGCGATCTCCGCAGAGGCTTAGGATGGAAGCTGTGCCCAGCCAACTATATGGCTGGCGGGCTTGCAGCTTCCTTCCCAAGCCTCTGCGGGGATTGCTCTCCTGCAGTGGCATGGGGGAGAGTTGTACACCCCCCCCATGGCTGGCAGTGCACAGATTCACCACCCCACTATCCATGGTAATTTGGGGGTGCTGAGCAGATATTTGCACCCCGGCGCTGCATCTGCTAAAGACGGCCCTGTACTCACATCCCTGGTCTAAAGCTGTTGGAATGGGAGGAAGTGACACCCCTGAAGCTGATGGAAGGTGTGTGTATATATGCACATGCAAGAGAGAAACACTAGTGTGAACATACAGAAAAGCAGAGATGCCAAGACTTTCTAGCTGGTGTTAGCTGAAACATTTTTTTGTGGGGTGGAGGCAGAGCCACAGAATGTCTTTACAAGTTCTTCTTGGATCTGCTGCTGCTGCTGAAAGGCTACCCTTTTGCCCCCACTGTGTTCTGTACATTTGTAAATAAAGCATATTACTACTACTAGCCATGATGACTATGCTGCCCCTCCACTGTCAGAGGCAGTATCTCTTTGAATCCCAGTTCCTGGGAATCACATGTTGGGAGAGTGCTATTGCATTCAGGTCCTGCTTGTGTGCTCCCTGGAGACATCTGGTTGGCTGTTGTGAGAACAGGATGCTGGCTAGATGTCGCTGACCTGACTTAGCAGAGCTCTGCTTATCATCTTATGTACAAAGCCACTGTGTTCCCCATCCAAAGGTATTTAAACCCTATTTGTCCTGCCCGTGCATTGGCTCTCCACTCCAAACTGAGGAGTGCAGAACAATAGAAAAAGTGGCCCACTCTGCTCCTGCCTTCTACTTCAATCCCACTCCACAAAAATAATGGTGCCTGGATAATTCAGGATTGTCTTCCCTCTGTTAGCTAGCTTCCAGACACCATATGCTTATTTAGTCAGAGTCCCATCCAAAGCATGAGAGACTAGAACTAATCCTAATCCTAGAAGCAGGCCTCTGTAGCTCAAACTTGAACATCTTCAGAGTTCACATTTTATCCCTTCAACAGATGCTGGCTTAATGACCAGACAACTTTATTATTATTATTATTTAAACTGCAAAAACTCACAACATTGATACTTATTCTTTGTAGTACTGGAACCTTGCCAATAACAATTTGCTGGTCAAATGGTTTAAGAATGGTTTAATCTCCCGAAATGTGCGGCTAATTGAAATAAGGCTGAAACAATGCTGATCTTATTAGTGGCAGGGAAGTATTTAACTGCTTCAAAACGATACTGTTTCACCACCTCTATCATAGCCCTGTGATGCTGTGGTAAAATATATAGAATCACAGTTGGAGGGGTCCAGATTTCTGCTAAAGTGGGGGTGAGGGCAAGCCTCAGGTGTTAGATGTGTGTGTATGTGTTGGGGGGATGTGGTCCTCCAAGCCTCTCCATTTGGTCCTTAATTGTGATAATGCCCCTTGTGTACTGGAGAAGCAAAGATCACCAGTGTCGAAGCAATGACTCTTCAACATCAACTTCATTGGACTGGTCATGTTGTTCAGATGCCTGATTATCATCTTCGAAGCAACTTAAAAATGGAAAACGTAATGCTGGTGGTCAACAAAAGAAGTTTAAAGAATCAAGAGGGCTTCAGGATTGCTCTCCTGTACTATTTCAGACATGTGGTTTATGTATGTGTGTTTACCTTCTGCATTTATGAACATTTATCTATATTTGAGACCTTGGAATTCTTATAACCCATTGAAAGTAGCAGCTGGAGGTGTAGAAGAGAGACTTCTTAATGCTAAACAAAACTAGAGATGTTTGAAGAAACTAGTGAAATTGGATGTCAGTACATGTACATGTACAGTAGGGACGCGGGTGGCGCTGTGGGTAAAATCTCAGTGCCTAGGACGTGCCGATCACATGGTCGGCGGTTCGAATCCCCGCGGCGGGGTGAGCTCCCGTCATTCGGTCCCAGCTCCTGCCCACCTAGCAGTTTGAAAGCACTCTTAAGTGCAAGTAGATAAATAGGTACCGCTTTATAGCGGGAAGGTAAACGGCGTTTCCGTGTGCTGCGCTGGTGCTGGCTCGCCAGAGCAGCTTCGTCACGCTGGCCACGTGACCCGGAAGTGTCTCCGGACAACGCTGGCCCCCGGCCTCTTAAGTGAGATGGGCGCACAACCCTAGAGTCGGACACGACTGGCCCGTGCGGGCAGGGGTACCTTTACGTTTACCTGTATATGTAAAACACTGCTGCTTCGCATGAAATGTTGGAAATCATTAAATAGTGAAACAAGACCTGTCAGGAGTGAACACGGACCACTGGTACCAAATCGTATGGGAAACAACCTTACTAGAAAAGCTAACCAGCAGACTGAAACCGACATGGGGACAAAAAGACAAGGACACCTTTACCCTGGTATGGCTCCCCTTTATTACATGCACAGCCCAACAAGATAACAAGAACCCATCAACTGCTTACAAATCTGTAAGGATAACTTGACCCAACAATCCACCCCCCCCCCCCACACACAGACAAATCTCACTGCAGCTAATCAGCAATGCCCTGCCCCCTCCCACTGCCAAGAGAAAATAAAAACCAATAGAAAGGGAACCTATCCAAGCGATGCTTGGATTAAGTAAAAGAATGGACGTTTATTGTTGTTAGCAGCTCTGAGCCCGGCTTCGGCTGGGGAGGGTGGGATATAAATATTTATTAATTTATTAATTATTATTATTACCACCCTCCCCCCTTCTCCCCCAACCTTATACTGTATAATGTCTCACGTAACTTATTTGTAGAAAAGACTCTACGACCTGAAAATAGAGACAATGCATGTACTTTTGTAACCCAAAAAATCTTTAATAATAATAATATTAATTACAACATATTAGCAAGTTAGGAAATAACACTTCTGCCTTTGCATAGTAAAAGAGAACTACATAACCGAGTTAATGGTTTGTATGGTGACATCTTGTTTTAAGATTGGTGGGGTATAAATAATAATAAAATAAAATAATAATAATAATAATAATAATAATTGAGAAAGGTTACTTGGAGACTTGAGCATTGTGATCAGTATTTTTTATTATTAAGAAACAAAGAACTGGTAGTATTGTGTAGTGGTCAGGATGTTGGACATCAGGAAGAACTTTCTGAGGTTAAGAGCTGTTCGAAAGTGGAACGGACTCCCACAAGAGGTGGTGGGCTCTCCTTCCTTGATGGCCAACTTCATGGATGCATAGCTGTCAACGTTTCCCTTTTCTTCAGGGAAATTCCCTTATTCCGAACAGGATTCCTCGCAAGAAAAGGGAAAAGTTGACAGCTATGCATGGATGCTTTAGATAAGATTCCTGCATTGCAGGGGGTTGGACTAGATGACCATCGGAATCCCTCCCAACTCTACGATTCTAATTAAATGTATTTTGAATGTATTGCTTCGGCAGGAGAGAAAATAACATTTCCCGCTTTTATTTCCTCTCCTGCTGCTTCACAGGACCAGATTGCCTCAACCACCCCTCCCCCCCACATGCCACGCCTCTTCCTGGAGAAAAAAAATGCCCGTATCGTGTCGTCACTTCCTGCCGGCATGCGCCGCGTACCCGGAACAAATATGACGGCTCAGCTTCCGCCCCGCCGAAAAAAATCCCGCTTTTGCATTCACCCGCCTATCGGCTGCGACGTGCCACATAATTCCCTTGACAAAGATGGCGCTCAAAACGCCCTCTCTCAATGGAAGTAGGCAGGGAAAGATGGCGGCAGGCCATAGGGTTAACTGCGCAGCTTTTGCCAGGGCGTCTCTCGCGGCTTCATCAAGATGGCGGGGGGCGCCGCTGAGGCCGTTTGAATTCCGAGGCAGCCGCCAAACTCGGACAATAACAGCCCGGGGCGCCGCCGGGGAAGTCGCAGCAGCCGCTCGCCCCTCCTCACCTCTCTCTCCCCCGTGTTTCCAGCTATGGACTCGCTGCCGGGGGAAGACCCCACCTTGCCCTTGGAGTTCAGCGGCAGGTACCTTCGCGAGGGAGGCGGAGACCGTTAGAACCGTTAGATGGAGGGAGGGGGGTGGAGAAGGACGAGGGCGAGTTGGAGTTTAATTCTAACTCTTTTCTACCCGTGGCGTGTTTCCACGGGCGTGAAAAGAGGTGTGTGTGTGTGTGTGTGTGTGTGAGAGAGAGAGAGAGAGAGAGAGAGAGATTTAATACCCCCCCCCCCCGGTGTGGGAGGAAAAAAATATTCCTAGAGGTGGGGGCTTGACCGAAAAGAAGGCATTCAAGGCCAGTACCACTCTCTTCCCCTCTCCGTCCCTTCCTCTCCCCACACTGTTGTTCCTTGTTACAGTACAGTGGAGCCTCCATCC